CATAAACAAGTTGAAAATTTGCTTTTAGAAAAAATAAGTCAGGTGTGTTTACAAACACAAATGCCCCGCAACCGTGACTGTTTCCATGACATAACACCACTCTAACATCAACTTACATGTACCTTAGTTGGTCAAATAGAACGTTCATTGACAGCATTAGTGTCTTCTGTAGGTTTTATATGAATTAATCCCTAATCCCTATGATCTCAGAATAAATACAAGATTTCTATTGTTTTAGTCACTGTGACCTTGACCCTTGACCTTTCGACCCCCAATGCGATAGGCTCCTTAGGACTGCCAAGGACAATCCACAAACCAAATTTGAAGTTCATATGTAAAGTATATCTCAAGTTATCACGCTGACAAAATTTCTTTTGTTTTTGCCACTGTGACCTTGACCCTTGTCCCCAAATGCAAAAGGCTTCTTAGAATTGCCAAGGACAATCCACAAACCAAATTTGAAGTTCATATGTAAAGTATTTCTCAAGTTAATTATCGCGCTGACAAAATTTCTATTGTTTCAGCCACTGTGACCTTGACCCTTGATCTTTCGGCCCCAAATGCAAAAGGCTTCTTAGGATTACTAAGGACAATCCACAAACCAAATTTGAAGTTCATATGTTAAGTATTTCTCAAGTTATCGTGCTGACAAGATTTGTCCGGACACACACACCCACACACCACCCACCCACGGAAGGACAAGGCGGAAACAGTATGATGCCCCTGCTTCGCCGCGGGGCATAAAAATAATCGAATTTGTTGAGAAGAGCACAGGGAACGCAAATTTAACGTTCTCTTGTACAAATTGTATTTGTTTACATACTTACCAAGGCAATTTATCACTACACAGACACCGACTATGATCAGAGACGTGCACAACCCAGAGAAGAAATAAGCTTTCCGTGCTACAGCCAAAATCTGCTCACTGTAGGGTTTGCCGTATCGACAAAGATTCACGAAGTGCTCGCAATTGTTGAGGAAAAGATCGTAATCCATGGCCGGGTGGTCTCCGAGCATTGTCTTTGCCCCTTCAATGATGTCGTTTGTCTCCAAAGGTTTATGTTTTTCGTCTCCTGAGTTGTTGACCCTCACCTTGCCATAACCGCCGAGAATTCTCCCAATCGTATCAACTCGTATCTCGGGCTTTTGACTCGCCTTAGACGCACGGCCTGATATCTTCATTGTAGAGAATGCCGATCCTCCTTCGAATATACCGAAATGGATGACAGCGTGTTCCACATCCTGGTGTCGACCAATGTATACACCCCAATGTGCATAAAAGAAAAGGTCGCGGTTGAACTCCAGTCTGTCACCAAGGCATAATGTTCTTTCCAAGGCTTCGATATTCTCAGAGGTAGGCCTATGCCAGTGACTCACAATCCCTAAATTGTTGTTGCCTGCCATGTGTAAACTTGCATGTCGAATGCGGCTAAATAATTGCAAGATGAGGTACAACATGATGACTTGCACCTAATGTGACGTGTGTTCAATGTTTGATCCTCCAGTATCGATCCAAATGACGCATATCATCTACATACTATTAATGTGGTCGTCGTTATAGTGGCGACTCTACATGGTTCAGTGGTATCTCTCCACCCCACCCCTGGAAAAAAAAATAGGAAAACTAGGCAGATAATTAAACGCCAACAACATATACTGCTGTGGAGTATATAAACGCTGTATCTACATTAGCCACTGGTCGTACCATCGGCACAGTACGTATTTCATGCACAGTACGCGATTCTAAGCAACGTCGTTAATTATGGTACAATCTTGCAGCGTCAAGTTGATTTCCATCATGGAGTCGAAGTCAAAGTACCTCTCCATGTAAACATTCATTTGGTGTTTTTATTATTATTATTAAATACAGCCGCGTATTATGGTTACCGCATAGACCCATGCACGAGTCATAGCAAGCGTCATGTGGTTACTATGGCTACTAATACAAATATACTGTTTGGCCGGCGTCTCTGCATGTCTGTATTGGTGAAAAATTAAGGCTCGCACGTATTTATATGCATGAATGATGCTTTCGCTCGAAGGCGGTCTCGATTATTATAGCAGTGATGGTGATCGCTAGTAAACTTTTAACCAAAAGAAAAGCAGCACACAAGGCGAATCTTAATAAAAGTGACAAATCAGAGAGGGATACAATATCACACGAGAAACTAAATAAGTTCAAGTCTTGGAAAATTGTGGCTGCTTTTTGAGCGAAAGAAATACTATGATTGTGTCGACTATTCTGACCAGACTCGTATTTGGCAAATCTCATCGTCAACCCCCGTGCCCTGGCCCCTTCCCGCCACACGTTGTCCCAAAACGTAGTTAACTTTCTATAATTGCAGTGTGTGTACATTAGCAGAGGGGTAAAGCTACATACAACTAACAACCTACCGACCTCGGCCGATCTTCCGATGGAACCAGCAAGGAAACGAAGCCTCAATCTCCAGATGTCTCTTTCCAGCGTCACATGGTGACGTCAGACCAGTGTCTCGATCGTGTGGCCTGCCTCCCTGGATTCTGATGACAATGTTTTGGCTGCCATATATTCCGTCTTAACTCTTTCAAGAAATTCCTGTGCTTGTTTTGCCTCTTCTGACAGCAGGACTATATCTTCATCGAACACAAGATCAGTAACGGTGGTTGGTGATATTCGCCTGCTTTTCCTGTTTTCAGTCTGAACTTGATCTTGTGCTTTGTCTCCGACTGCTTGCACCATCACCAGGACGATGGCAAACATATTATGTGCTTGTGTGTCCCCCTGTAGAACTCCTACAAGTATACACAAAGTATCAGTCCGGCTATATCAAGAGTCAAGACTTAGCTGATCTTGTGTTGTCGTATACTGCTTTCAGCATAGTCGTTCTGAAATTCCATATGCACGGACAATTTTCATAATTTTGCCTGCATGAACGTTATCAAACAGCTTTCTTAAAAGTCCACAAAACAAAGAATTGCCATCAGGTTATTTCGTTTGACTCCTTCGATCATTCTCCTGAGCGCAAGAATTTGTGCTGTGGTTGATCGCTTGGGTCTAAAGCCATTTTGATTTGGTGTTAGTAATTGTGGGGTCGATATGGCTGGATTCTATTCAGGATCATTTTTGTTTACGATATTAGATGCAATTGATGTTAGAACCCGCTGTGTGGTTTGTCGCTGTGCGGTTTCTTGATTTGATTTGGGCACTGATAGACCACTACTGAGGTTTGTCTCCTATCAAATAATAATACTGATAATTTCAATAATACCGGAGTCTTACAGCGAACAGCCACCAACAGCTAGGTAGGCGCAGGTAATTATGTCTATTTCCTTTAAATTCAGTTAAATGAGCTTTTATACAAGGTGTTGCTTTTGAAGAAAATGTCTTCAATATCTAATTCGCCCTGTTAAAATATGTAGGCCTAATTCACACTTGCTGCCTTTTCCGTCGTATAACGCATTTTTCCATCCTACTTTTGCGCGCAATGTTGACACCCAACTTATCAACTCGTACCTCAACCGGGGTATATCATCGGTGTATCCAAGGAGGGGGGGGGCGGGGACCATACCACCCTTAATAAAACGTGAAGACATTTTTCCCCTTTAAAAAAAAAATCGAGCCCTCTTCCATCCCCACCCCTTAAAAAAAGCTAGGTTTTGGGTCCATGCTTTTGGGGTGGGTACAAGTTCATTTCAGATTTTTACTGCACGTTCCCATAATCGTCGGTTTTGAACAGCGCCCCCATCGACAGTTGGTACCAGCGGCCTGTTCTCAGCAAGAGTCCGAACTCGGACAAACCAAATATTCCCCCCCCCCCCCCCCACGACAGCCTCCTATCCGCACTACTTACAATGGAGTCGTAACGCAATGAAGATCTGCTATAGGCGTCCAACCTGCATGGGCTGGATGCCTCCTACAATTTTCCTAAAAGGGAATTAATTTTTCCCTTCCCTACAATTGGTTACGGGTGATACTCAGACTAGGGAGGGGAACAGTGTTACATTGAAAGTCTCGATAGGGAGGCCATGCGCTACAGTACACGCCCCCTTCCCATGCATGCTTCGCAGCTCCAGAACTCTTTAAAATTGAGAGCGCCCTCTGTGGGGGAGAATCAGTCTCCGCGATCCGGCCGGTGTGTACCATGCCACGGTGACCGTTGTAGCCGATTTTCGGCTAATTTTGACATAATTTTTGTTAAAAAACGAGTTTGACAGAAAATTTGACAAAATTGTTTTTTTGGCAGATTTCTGGCAGAATTCTGCAAAAATGGTTATTTGACAGAAAAACAGCAAATTTGAACAAAAAGTGTACTTTTTTTTTAAAAAAGCTTCAATCCTTTTAAACAAAGCCTTGCATAATGGGACAGGTTGGCTAGGTGCTGATGTTCACCTGATTTTTTATTTATTTATTTTTTTTTGGCTTTTGATTTGTTTGTCTTATAATTATATAATTTACCAACTTTGTTCTTGACTTAATGTAACTTTATTTAACTTTTTTTTTGTATAGTTAAAACTTCTTTTTATATTTATTGCTTGTTGTTTTCACGTATGCCATTCAGTTTGGAGAACCCCTAGACAGAAACAACGTTTCTTTTGGGCAATCCTTCGGGAGCTGAATGGTATTTTGTTTTTGTTTGTTTGTTTATGTATCTAAAGCTTTTGTTGTTTTGTGTTGTAACTTAAGTCATATGTTTACATGTATTTGTTGATATTTTCCCGAGAAATAAAATAGTATAGTATAGTATAGTAAACGAACTTCGTTATGGCTGGATCCGCATTTAGGCATTTTGCCCAAAATTTTTAATTTACCAATAATTTCACAGCATCTTTTTGTGTGACTAGATTGTTTATTATGTAATTTGAATCTTAATTAAGGCAATACTACCAATCTGCATGTGATTTTAAGTTTATATTGTATTTCGAGTAATTCTGGGGAATTTGGCAGATTTTTGATAAATCTGACAGATTTTTGATGCGCATTTAGCAGAATTTGGCTCTGACCTTACGGTCATCCTGCCGGTGACCTCGACCCCGAACACTGCATAGAGAGTCTTTCGTCTGTTATTAACGTGTCACCGTTTTTTAATCCCATCTATCTCCTGAAATAATGAGCTCGTTGAAAGGCAAAGTAGCTCTCGTGACAGGTCAGTAAAAATTGTAAAGAAATGCTGTGGAATTGGCGTGCTATTTGCTGAAAAGGATCCGGTCTGGAATCGTCGATTGTGAACCAGAACTTGCTCGAGAAAGCGTGGAAAGCCCTAAGGGCCGGGGGCGGAATCCGCCCCCCCCCCCCCCTCAACATTTTCCGCGATAGCCTCTAAAAAAAAAATTTCGCGACCCGAGCTGTTATGACTTTTTAGCCTCGAGCTTTGCGCATCTTTTGATACCAAAAACATAAAAATCGGAACACGGGTTGGCAAGTAGCGAAAAATTTTCCGGCGCTACGCGCCGTGAAAACGGGAAAACTGACTTTTCCCATATACATCGTGTACACCGAGCAGAATTGCCATTCATACATATGAATAATTAATTAGCCATAATTCCAAAACCCTTTGACCTATAGTCATGAAATTTCTTGGGCATGTTGAGGAAGAGTAAAATTTTGAAACTCAACACATGCATAGAGCAACGTTGCTCTATGCATGGGGAGGGAGGGGAATATATGACTGTGGAAAGGGGAGGTGATTTCCACCTAAAACTAAAAACGATAAACTGTCCATTTAGGCCTACTCTACTGTCCATAGACTTGGAAGATTATGCTTGCGGGTCATTCCATGTCAGACCAACGCACTTTTTTACCTCATTTTTTTCAATTTTGATGCCTGTGCTTGTAGGTCCTGATGTCTGAGCAATGAATGCACACCAATTTTTAGCCCGATCTGACCTACCATGTGGTCAGGGCACAAACCACCAAAAACAGACATTTTTAGAGTAAAAAAACAACTTTTGGTAGAAATATGTCAAAACCATGTCAATTTTCATCGAATATATGCGAATTTGGTATTAAAATAATAAGAATTGCATGCTCAAATCAACTCTTTTGTCAAAATTAAATTTTGTGAAAAGTAGGTCACGTGACCTTTAATATCTTATTGTGACCTTCGACCCACTTTATGTACTAATGAATCATTCCGAAAATCAATGAAATGACAATGACTTGATAGAGCATGTATTCCTCTATCAGAATTCACCAAAAATCAATTTGGGTCTTTAAAATTAACAACTTTATGACTATTTTTGTACAGTTGGTACAAATTAGTCAAATTATAGACTTTACATTAGAAATCCAGCCACACAACTTACTATATGTATTCTGTTTCTAAAGGTTCTTAAATTAATCTTGGTTTGGGAATTTCTCATGTTTTGGGCTGATGATGTATAACCAGACTCATAATATAAATTATCAGCAGTGGCTCACCCAGGATTTTGCTTTTTTTGTGTGGGGGAGGAGGGGGGGGGGTCTCATAATTTGTTTGTTTTCAAATGTCTGTAGAAGATTGAAAAAAAAAATTACCCCAAAATCAAACAAACAAATTGACAACCTTGGAGGGGGGGGGGGGGGGGGTCCAGCCCCTCGAGCCCCCCCCCCCCCCCCCCCGGTGCCTCTGATATTAGTTATTCCACGAGTGCGCTTGGAATATGAAACAATGCAATGCTACTGTGACCCATGTGCCACCCGACGCACTACATTATTCCGTGTTCCACGAGCAGAAGTGGGCTAACGAATTTATCTTCAAGCAAACTTGGCGTCGAATGCTTGAGAGTCGATTGTCATCAGCAGTTACTGTTAAGGGTAGGCAACATGCAGCTCTATGCTTTCTACCCTGACCCAGTACAGGGGGATGCGGGCTTGAACCCACCCCCCTCCAATTGGCATGTCCAAGGTTGTCAATTTGTTTGTTTGATTTTTTTTTCAATCTTCTACAAATTTGACAACAAAAAGCTATGAGCCCCCCCCCCCCCCCAAAAAAAGAGCAAAATCCTGGGTGCGCCGCTGCTGATAATTTATATTATGAGTCTGATTGTACCTCATCAGCCCCAAACATGAGAAATTCCCAAAATACATAACTCGTATTATTAGTTCGTATTGATGTTCGGTATCGATATTAATAAGGTGCTTGATTTTTTTTCAATCTTCTACAAATTTGACAACAAAAAGCTATGAGCCCCCCCCCCCAAAAAAGAGCAAAATCCTGGGTGCGCCGCTGCTGATAATTTATATTATGAGTCTGATTATACCTCATCAGCCCCAAACATGAGAAATTCCCAAAATACAAAACTTGTATTATTAGTTCGTATTGATGTTCGGTATCGATATTAATAAGGTGCTTTAAATTTTCTTTTTTGCTCGAAACTGAAATTCTTTTTCAGGAGCAAGTTCTGGCATTGGAGCTGAGACGGCCAGATATTTTGCCTCGTTAGGATGCTACCTGTCTCTGACTGGTCGGAATGAAGCCAATCTGAAGACGGTTGCTGAGGAATGCCAACAGAATGGCTTGCCTAAAGATAAGGTACATGCAAGCCTATTCCGAACATTTGGGACCCTCAATACTGTGTATGAGAGTCCCAAAACCTAACGTATTGAAAACATGCAAAACAAGAAAATAGACTGGCACCTAAAACAACCAGTCCAACACAGCTTTCAGTACTGCATCAATCATCAATGCCAAAAGAATTTAAGAAACATGTGGCATAAAGCGGGAACTAGTCTCAATTTACCACACATTTCTCCATAGTCAATCCACCAGACTATTGACACTGAATGAAAAGGTCAGTCTTTTCAAATAGCTGGACCATGGTTGGACATGTACCAGTCTAGTCTTTAGCCCCATTTTGGAATCACTTGACTTCCCTCTCATGTGCAAAATATTGATGAAAATTCTCCTTCAAAAATTAAATTGAGTCTGCAAACTTGGTTGGTGAAAAACTGAGGACATGTTCTTTGCCCCAGTGCAATTTTTGGAGAAATTTGCTGGCTAAAGTGTGCGTAAAGTGGACCTGATTTAGGACCTGCACGTTTCAGAGCACTCCAGAGCCCTGTCTGATGCAAGCCTATTCCGAACATTTTGGGACTCAATACTGTGTATGACTATGAGATTCCCAAAACTTACGATTGTGAAAACATGCAGTGGAAGAAAATAAACTGGCACAAGAAACAACCAGTTCAACAACTCTTTATAGTACTGCATCAATCAACTGTGCCAAAAGAAACATCTGGTACCTAGTCTCTATTTCTACACATTCCCTCCCTAGTCAGGCCACCAGACTGTAGAATGGCCATCTTTTCAAAATAGTTGGATATGTACATTGTACCAATCTAGGCTTAGACTTCAAATTGAAATAATTTTGCATTACCCTCAAGTGCAAATTTTTGAAGGAAGGTCTCCTTTAAAACTTTCATTGAGACCTGAATTCAACTTGGCTGATGTCTTTGCCTCATGAAAATTTTGGAGAGTTTTGTCAGCTAAAGAGTTAATAAAGTTGGCCTGATCTTGTTTTGCATGGTTTTCTGCACTCGAGGTTCAGTCTTAGGTAAACCCAACAACCAGCAAGAACAAACTTTCAAACAGCTGCATAGTAAATATGTGATGGCATAAGAATGTTTTAGCTTTCAATATTTTGTGACATCAATTTTGCTGAATTCTTCCATAGATGTGTGAACCAGACCTTATTATAAAAAAAACCTGCAGAATGTTACCAATTTATTGTTCCTTCTTGGTGTTCAAAATATAATCCCACTGCTATTTCAGATTCAATCCAGCCGACCGACCCCGGCAAGCTGGATGGTCGGGTGGTAAGACACCAGAACTAGTAAGTAGAAGGTCGTGGGTGCGAGTCCCACCCGAGTTAGCTTGCTCAATTTTCTTGCAAGCCCGCGGACAACATGGAATATACAGTGTTTGTAAAATATGTCGGGATGGGCAAAACCCAATATTGAATCGTGTTCAAAGAATAATCGCTCTTCCTACCATTGCTTTCCCCAGATTCTGCTCATTCTAGCTGATCTTGGCAGCGAGGAAGACGTCAAGAAAGTTGCTGATAAAACCATCGAGTACTTTGGTAGCTTGGACGTACTGGTTAGTGTGTTAGTTATATATTAGTCGTACAAATCCTTAATTTAAAGAGAATGTACAACATTTGCTTTTGCTGCAATTTTCAGAAATAAATGGATTTGGAGGATTAGTATGTTATAGCAAATATTGTTAAACTGACTTGCTTCACGTTTTGGGTTCGGAGATGCTGGAATATCCAAGAAAACCAACCATATTCATGTAGTCTGGTTCCCTGACCCCACTAAAGATGAACCGGAGCAATTTATAAACTTTGGAAAATTCTAAGGTCAGAGAATTAGTCTAGCAGGCTTGTACCCCTTCACTGGTGTGTAATCAGTTGCAAAGAAAATGCGGAAAAACTAAAAATGGAAAGCTTGGAGCAGTTTTTGAAAAAAAAACCAGTTTTCCCCCAACGCTGGTCGGCCGACCAGCGTTGGAAGAATACAAGTTTTCTTGAAAATGTCAGCACACCAGGAGCCACGATATTACAGGATGCTTTGGACTGTCATTCTCTAACAATCCAGTCAGATATTTCGTGATAATTTGATCATTTTGTTTTTTGATGTTTGCAAAATGTTGTATTTTCCCTTTAATTGAACTCTTCGATTGCAGAATTAAAACAATGCGTTATGACTAGGGCTGTGCATCGGAACCGGGTACCCAAGTACCCGACTGTTGAACCAGTTCCAGATTGGAATTGGTTACCCGTAAGGCCAAAAAAAAAAGTCTCCGGTTTCTGGTATGGAGCTTGCCCCAAAAGTGGTTCGGCGACGCATTTTTTTTTTGGCTTCAAATGTCGGCTGATGACTGCAAATGGTGCCCGACTAAACTTAGCGCAAATATATGGGAGTCCAGAGAGGCCACATAAAGCTTATTCTCGATCATAACCCCATCTCAAAACACCTTAAAATTGTGCAGCAGCAGGATTCCAGTCAAACCAGTGAGTTTGGCGGTTTTGAGACATCATCTTGTATTGAAAAAAAAACTTTTTCATTTTGCCGACGCGCATGGCTATGGCGACGCGCGCGCATACCAGAAACCAGAGACTTTTTTTTTTGGCCTAACCTCTTAACATGTTACTTTCTGTTTATAGTTTTAAGATCCATCCTTTTTGCCTACTTTCTGTTTATAGGTCAACAACGCGGGTGTCGTCTATCCTGGTTCAATTGAGACGTTTACTCTGGAGCAATTTGACAAGACGTTTGATGTCAATGTCCGCGCACCGTTGCAACTCACACATCTACTCAAACCACATCTCATCAAAACTAAAGGTATGTGAAAGCAACCTCTATTTAAAAAAAAAACCCAACAACAACTCCCAGTCTTTTTAATGAGAGATGTATATAGTCACAAAACAAAGGACCTTTTTTTTCTGAAAGTTTCAAAACTAACATCCAACTCATTACTACATGTAGAATAAGAAAAAAATTGTCTTGATATTAAAATCTTAAAATAAAATCTCAGACCTTTTTTTTCTCTTAAACCAACCCTCAATCCTCCTGGCGGTTTTGAAGGATATTGGAGGATTGAGGATGAATGGTGTTTTGAGAAACTCGAAGATTTTGGAGGATTGAGGATGAATGGTATTGAAGCACATGAGGATTTTGGAGGATTGAAGAATGGTGTTTGAAGAAGAGGAGGATTTTTAAGGATTGAAGATAAAAGCATTTTGAGAGACGGGACTGTCTTGAGGATTTTGAAGGATTTTGAAGGATTGTGGCACTTGGTATCCTTCATCTGAACATAAGTGCAAAATTTTGGAGGAATTTGAAGGAATGAGGATGGTTCCTAGCAAAACACCCCTAGGGGGTTAGGGTTAATTTGTAGCAGCAGACTACATATGATATTCAGCATTACTTTTTGATTTTGAAGAATCTTCAAAACTGTTTTTATTTCTTTGATCTCTGTTTTCTTAAAGGTGCCATTGTAAATGTGTCTAGTGTCAACGGAGTTATGGCGGTAAGAGTCATTGGCAAGGGGGTTGGTTAAGTAGATAATTTGTTTAAAGGCACATAGGATCATTTGCTTTTCATGCATTTTTTTAGTTTCCAATCGACTCTAAATCCAAAGATGAATATTCAAAACCTAACCTGTTGAATTTTAAGCTCAGTGGATATTACATTTTTCGGGAAAATAGTTTAATAACTGAACAACCTTCTCATGAGCACGAAACACAATTTTGTCAAAAGCACTCTTTATTCCAAAAATCAGTCAATTGACTGATCGTTGGAAATCACCTACATTTCTTGATTTCTTCTAAATGACAGTAAGTCAGACAGAGTAATTTCAAAGGGTGTTTAGTACCAGTATACTTTAATCCAAGTGAAAAAGCTTTTTGATAATAATTAGGTAGGTTACCGATAAATGCAAATTATCCTACATGCCTTGTAAATTTCATTCAAATTAATTGCTTCTTGTCTGTTTCTGGCAATGATTTTCACTACAATTGTTTGTCTCTACAGTTTCCTGGAGTGATGACTTATTGTATGTCCAAGACTACTCTGGATTGCTTAACACAGAACAGTGCGCATGGTATGTATTGAATACAACACAACCAGAATAATGTTGTGCATCGGCTCGGGTTGACCAGGCCAAACTGACCAGAAACATTACAGATATAAACCGAACCCAAACCAAAACCAATATGAGCTCCCCAAATCCAACTAGTCCCGACCCAACAAAATCAAGCAAAAACTGACCCGAACGAACCGGAAACCGAACTGACCTGAAAAAAAAACTGAGTATCTTGCTAGGGCAACTGTGTACGCCTTTTGTGCCTGAACTTACCCGAAAATTGTCGTCCCTCAGTAAAGAATTATACTGTACGGTTCGGTGAAGACTCATAACTTTACCTACTGGTCGGCCTACACGTTATAGACTATGTGATAGACAGCAAACCACATGCACAGTCGCACGGTGGTTTGACACACAGATCCTCTTCACAAGGATAAACAACTTCCCCTAATTTCTGGTTAGATGCATGATACGGCACTTGGGTGTCGGATGCGCGCGCGCGTTGTACTACATGTTCTATGCGTTGTTCTATTTGCGGACGTGGCATATCACGCATATAGACAATCCGTTCCATACATCTTGTACACAAGCTCAGATGAGTCGTTTATCCTTGTGTAGAGGATCCGTGGTTGACGTTGGTCATACCAGGCACAGTAACTCGGCAATAATATTGCACCGCGTGAATTTCCGAACTGTTTGGTTTCTTTTTTGTTTATTTCGGTTTATTTCAGGTTTTTTTACAAGACCTGACCTGAAAATTGCAAACACAAACTGAAACCGACCTAATCCAACTGAAATGATGGCAAAACCAACCCGACCCGACCTAAAGTCGGTTTTGGGTCGGGTCGGTTTTGGTTTCAGGTTGGATTTGCTTGACATCAAACCAGACTAACGAACAGATTATTTAGACATCATAATTTTGTTTCCATGTTTTACCCTTAAGCAGAAAGAATTGTTCACCAGCCTTGAAACCATTTGTGAAATCTTACAGGTCTTATTGCTTCATCAACTTAGAATGATTCAGTCAACTGAATCATTTCCAACAGAAAAAGGGATTGTTTTAAGTATTATTATTTATGTTATTTTCTTTTTGCACAAAATGCTCTGTTATTTCCCTGGTAATAGTTTCGTCAGTGTGTTAGATGATGGCCTGTTATTATTGCATTTACCAATCATAAAAATCTCAAATGAGCTTTTATCAATATATTTGTGTTTCTCCGTATTCTAAATTGCAGATCTGGCCCCCCATGGCGTACGGGTGAACTCAGTCAAGTAAGTCTTTCTGACAAATCAATTATAAACTCTGAATTAGCTCATGATAGTACAAATTCGTAAATTCCACAAAATCACTTTCCATGAAATATAGGGTTTTTTTTAGGCATGCATTTGGGAAGTAACAAAAAAGAGGAAATTCCAATCTTTAGAAGACTTTACACTATTGTTTTTTATTAGTTAATGGCATAAAAATTAGGAATTCGGCTGATTCTAGGAAATATTGCGTGGCTTTTTTTTAGTAGTCCAATTATGTCATTTTTCTGTCTTGGTAGAAAACCTCGGTGTTCTTTTATTAACCCTAACCCCTTGATTGAATTACTAGGAACCTTCCTCACTCTTGCAAAATCCAACACCATATGGTAACTCAACACCCAAACTGTTGGACTCTGATTATGGTGGTATGCCTAACCCCATGTAAAGCATAAATCAGTTTACTAGTGCAGGACTAACTCCAACAGATTCCAACAAAACATGCAGTTGGATTTTGAAGGGTTGGGGTGTTAGGGTTAATATATGCAAAAATGACTATCTTTTTTTTTTCTTTTTAGTCCTGGAGTGATTAAGACTGCAGTGCACAAGCGAGGGGGCATGACCGATGAGCAGTATGCACAGGTAGGTGCTGGAGGCTGATAGACCTCATGTGTAGCAGCCATCTCAGAGGGCAATGCCTATATTTTGCTGGGATATGCATGAGTGAACCTTTAGTGCATTCATTGTTACTGAATTAAATGAACCAAAGATGCCATCTAAGATTGCCACTACTCATTTGGTCTGTTGTAGACGTGACAGTAGACGACTATTTATTGAAATGTGCTTTAAGCATAACCATGCTTTGAACTCTAAAAATGCAAAAAGACGGTCACTGATGGATTCTTTAGTATTATGTCCATCATTTGTTCGTGGGTGATCCTAAGCATGAGCAAGTGTGGTCTAGCGGTAGGGCACAGGATTCATGATCGTGAGGTTGTGGGTTCAAGCCTTGCCGTGGCCATGCCTGTTGTGCCCTTGAGTAAGGCGCTTTACCTCAATTACTCCTCTCAACCCAGGTGTTAAATGGGTACTGGCATTAATGCTGGGAAGGTAACAGACTCGCTCATATGCCACACAGTATGTCAAAGTTGCATGTTTCATGTTGTAGTTGGACAAAATGCCATTTTTGGCAAGCCTGAATGGATTGTTTTGAGATAAGCCAATTTCTAAAACATAAAGTTCCCTCTGTTTCCTCCTGTTGCAGTTTTTAAAGAAGTGTGAACGCACCCATGCCATGGGTCGTCCCGGCAACGTAGATGAGGTTGCCAAGGTGATAGCGTTCTTAGCCTCCGATGATTCGTCTTACGTCACGGGGGAGCTCATCACTATAGATGGAGGAAGACATCTGCTTACCGTCATGGCCCCAGAGAAAACCGAGTGAAGAAAAAACACATCAAGGAATCTCTTCCAACAATTATACCCCCAATTACATTTTTTGCTTATTAAAACCAATTGTATCTTGTTCACTTATATTGTATTCAATGTAGGGTTCTTCTGGTTTGGACTAAAATGTGTTGGCTTGAATGTAGATTGTATCAGCCAATTCACAACACAGTGTGTAACTTACGCCACACGTAGGATTTCTACAACAAATTTGTTGCGCAGCTGTGCAGTGAAGTTACGATCAATTTCAGGAACTTGGCCTAGCTGCATGTCTTAAATCCATACTAATAAGTGGGCCCTGTCTGTCTGGCTGTGCATTTCACCGTATGATCACCTACAGATTTGAAACTTGTCACATTGATAGTTCATGTAAAGGAGGGGGGCAGCAACATCTTGTCCCTTATTAACCAACCCCTAATTAATTGGATACTTTCACTTTACATCCTACATGTACATCATAATAGAGATGTGCAACTACGTGGCACAAAGGTACGCACTGTGCAACTTTCATGAAATGTTGTGGAAGTTACACAATCAAATATGGCACAGGGGAAATCGGCTGTATAAGTTGATTATATTTCTAGATTATAATTTGAATTATGGAACCCGTTTGATTTTTTTATGCATTTAATGCAAAAACTGATGATTTACTGAAATAACAGTATTAGAAAAAGTAGCTTTCTTTACTTTCAGGGGAAATGACCTATGATATTTTTTCCAGTATGAGTTACATCGATATTGGGTTGTTTTTACTTTTCCTTGTCATTTTTGCATGTTTATTTTAATTTTTGATGAGATGAATATTACGAAAAACATGTGTAACATGAAAACGTAACAACCATGCGTGTTGTACTTTGGAAGACATTGGAATTTTCTCTGTGAATAAAACCGAAGGTTATTTTCAGTGTATGGTATCCTGAGTTCTTACTTGTTCAGGTTTATCCTTTCTAAAGCAAACCGGAATTCTTGACTAATGATAAATTGACAAACCTGAGTGGGCATTTTCAATTTGTTAAAGAAATTAATTTAAACAAAAATCTAGATATAAGATTCCAGAATACAAATGTGTGAGGCTTCCCTTACATTCTCAGTAAAGGTAATAACACCACGCCAAGAAATGAATTTAAAAAAATAAAAGAAAAAACAAATGACATTCCATATACATTTTATGAATTTTTTTATTAATATTTAAAGGCCAGTTACATGATTGAATACATATTGCTGAGTAAGTGAAAATGTATTAGACATTTAAAAAAATTACCAAAATTTGAAACGATAAATGAAATTAAAAAAAAAAACATTAAAAATCCATGTACAACCCAAATAAAATGGCGTTCAAAATTTTGATCAAAATTCTTTACATTCGAATCTTATGAGTGCCTCTTAAGAAAATACCGCTTTTAAGTACAAATTATAGAAATAATGTACAATTAGTCCCAACTCCCTGGAAATTATTGCTAAAAACCCTCCAGAATCCTCTAAACGTCCAAGGAGCATCAAGGCTCTCTCACTGACCAACATGACCCGGCCTACATCCGGGTACCGAAAAGTTAGCATCGCCATTGTAGTATGGAAAGATCGTATAGCGCACTATGCAGAAGTTAGTAGGCAAGCCATAGAAGCTGTGATGACAAAAAACTGAGAAAAATGCCAGGCCAACACTAAGTGCTGGGTCGGCACGATTGTGACAACCCTACACGGCATAGGTATTATTATGCCATTGGATAAGAATTTGTGGTTAGGCCAAAAAAAAAAGTATGTCTGCTTCTGGTTTCCCTACCTACCCTCTTCTGACAGCCCCTACCCTAATTTTTTTTACGGGAAAAATGAGAAAAAACACCCGAAACCATCAATTTCTACCTTTTACCCTTGACTACACGCAGATGCTCCATATGATCGTACACACACACAAATTCTTTACCTACCTACCCTATTTTCGAATGCCATGTTATCGGAAGCAGAACTTTTTTTGTTTGCCTTATTTCACATGAAACTAAGCCCTACTGTCTACTTTACAACGCATGACCCGTTGTCAACCAAATGTTTGCTTGCTGCAATGGTGGCCAATCACAGGAGACTGGATGGTCACATGGTACTCTGACGTAACACAATCCGGACCCTATAGTAGCTGAGGTCTGCATCCTCACTCCTACAAAATCTTCCAAAATTCTTGATTAATTTGAAAGAAATCAGAGAGTTAGGATTAAGTGATAGACTTCATCACAACATCCCTTGCAATCTAATCTCGTACTCAGAACACGGTTTAAAGCTATATTCCATCATTTGCAGCCATCCGTAAAGTAACTGGCGTAATTATTATTGAAAAACATACTTGGTTGAAAGATAGTAAGGGGACTAAACTCCCTGTGAAATTATTCTTTCTGGCAAGCTGTCATTTTGAAGTAATCAACGAAAGAAGGCATTTCCAACGGTGCGTCTTAAGACGCACCGTAGGAAAATTGAAATTAGTAGTTCGTTTTGATATTCGGCGAAGCACGCGCAAGCATTGGCACGACGTACATGCACGCGTGGTTGCTATAATTCGTCGGATCAGTGCGCGACATCGCGTATAGCTGCAATCGGCTCAGTGAGAACGCGTCTCGGAGGCTGAATTCAAAACATGATTCAGCAACTTTTGATTTGAAATTGAGATCCTAGAATGCTGTTTTTCTCGGAATATACAGCTGAAGCTGAGCTGAAACTTCATCAGGTTAGTTGTTCAGTATCCGTCATTAAATTTTGAACACTTTTGTTGCTTCAAACGAACAAAATGCACAAATTACAAATGATGGACTATATCTTTAAAGCAATAAACTACATATCATTTAATTGTGAAATAGGTGGATCAATGTCATTGATTATTGCACATTGAATTGGAACAGATTGAAACACGCAGTAGTTACTTTAAGGACCCCTCTATTTCTTTCGCCGTTGCTATTTTTACGGAAGTTGACTGTTGCAAAAACGTCATTTGTCAACCGAATGGTTCTCGGACTTTACGTCCCTTAAAACAAATCCTTCAGAGCCATGAATCAGAAAGAAGAAAATAAATCTGGCTTTTACCAGCTGGTTGAGTGCAAAACATAAGAATGTATTTTCGTTCCCGTTATAAAGAAAGGGTCCTAGTAGTAACTGATGCCTAGAAACGGGTAGAAATAAACCATTCCATTAATTTGACAGCAAATGCCATTTTTAAAAATTATTCTAATGATGACTCCATGCAGTGCCAAGATCTTTGAAATCATCGGTAATTTTAGCCAATAACTTAAAAGTGTACAGGTCCCTTCAGTAGTAACGCTGTCACCACAGCAGCCAGTGCAAAATCCACGGCCGGCTTCTTGAAAATGCTGACCAAGGTCCTGCCAAGACTTCGTTCAGTCGTCCCCGTGTCTTCTTCTTGTCTTGTTTTGTCGTCGTCATCTTCATCTCCATCGAGATCGTCCATACGTGGGTCCGGCGGAGGTTTTGCCACGGACCCACACTTGCTGCATCGTCTGGGGAGAATCCCGGTGTTGTACAGGGGTAAGGTTTGGGGTGCGTGGAGGTCCATGAGCCCCCCTGAGAGAGATCGTAGTGGTTGGGTGATGGGGTGTGATCCATGGCTGGCTGGGATGGGATGTTCCATCAGGGCTGACAGCCTATCTCTGCACTCATGGAATTCCTATTGGAACAATCAGATACAAGATAACACAGCAGCCCGATTACAGGAAATAAAAACAAAACATGCATATCTAAAGTAAATTTCTTAAAACCAGTTGTAGTTTTCAAGTGGCTCGGTCAGTGGTTGGTAAACACTTAAAACCAATGATCTTGAAATTGCAGTTTTTAGGCCAAGAAAAGCTTTTAGAAAAAAAAACCTAGTTTCTTATGCGGTTTTTTTGTAAAAAGGAAGGAGGCTGTCTTTCTCCCCCCCCCCCCCCTGCTCTTTTTCCGATACTTTTGTGGCCAAAGGAGCCCTCGCCCTTTTTACCAGATTTGAATTTGCATATAAAGCTACAATTTTGCCGGAAACAAAAGGATGAAATATATTGTTCGGGTATAATTTTTTTTTTTTAAAGGAGGCGTATGGGAAAAGGGAAGCGGGCGGGCACGAGAAACTGGTTTTATTTTTTACTTCGCCTTACATTGATTTGTTGTTATATGAAATTTATTAATTTAAGGACAAGTTATTGTGATGGGATTGGGTTTATCTCTTCAAATTGAACAATTGCACTTTTTTCCAATAACTGAAATCAACCAATAAATCATTTTTTGAATCTTACAAACAATGCTAAAATGTTTAGGCAATCGTTCTCTGAATGGAAAAAAACCCAACAAATTTTTTTTAGATGACTAACTTCATCCTCTGATGAACAGCTATCAACACTCCCAGGGTTGTCATCTTCAGCTAGACTCTTCTCCAGCAAGACTTGCTCGGTAGACTCCTGCTCCAGCCGTTGTTGTTCTCTCTCCTGTTGTTTTCTGATGGAGTATTCCAGCATGGCTTGCTGTATGACCCTGGCCGCGTCATTCATTATCTCTAGACACTGGCGCACTTTCCAGCCGCGATATGCTAAGAAAAAAAGAAAAAAAGGAAGAAAAAAACAGTTGCAATTAAGAATATGCAAGTTGATAAAATCCCTTGGCACTTTTGACTGAAAATTTCCCTAGACTTCCAAAATTATGTACTATGAAGAAATTGCACAGTCTTTGTACTTCAACTTTGGGAATCCAGTCCCATGCAAATTAACTGTGGCTGTGATCATCTTTCCCCAATCTTACAAAATCCTTCAAATATCATACTGCATTTTGAAGGATTTTGTAGGAGTGTTAAAGGTATATACATGGGATCATTTGCTTTTTGCGCATTTTCTATGTTTAAACAAGGGCCGGGTTATTTTGACTCAGCCAGGGAGGGGGGAGAGGAAAGTTCTGCTCCCCTAAGATCTCAGCCATCGAGTGACGAAAATTTTTGAAACTCTTCAAGAACATACCCAAAAAATTTCATGACTATAGGTCAAAGGGTTTTGGAATTATGGCTAATTAATTATTCATATGTACGAATGGTAATTCGGCTCTGTGTACACTACGTATATGGGAAAATTCAGTTTTCACGGCGCCAACATTTTTTTTTCGTGGTCCGATTTTTATGATTTTGGTGTCAAAAGATGCGCAAGGCTCGAGGCTAATAAGTCACAACAGCTCGGCTCGCGAAAACAATTCTTTTAGAGGCTATCGCGGAAAAAGTTCAATTACTTTTTTCTGTAGATAGATCATTTCAGACGGAGTAACTTCACAGGGTATTTGGATCCTGCCCTATCTTCACTTTGAGCAAGGTTTTTCTGATTAAATCACTAGGTATGATTACATGCTATTACTAATATTTCTACGACCCCTTAATAATAATCAGTCTCTTCCATAAAGTTCTCAATAAAGCTGTGGGGTTAAAGCTGGCATGTACCCTGTCTCTTTACCTGCTTGGATCAATGTGGCAGCCTCCAGTCGCCTGACTTTCTGCTGCCTCTGATGTCTCCTCCATGATCGTTGGATGCAAGACGCTGCTTGAGTCAAGGCCTGAGCTCTCAGTCCCTCCATCTCTTCAAGCTGAAAGGAGAGGAAAAGAAGAGAAAACATTATCCCAGTGAACTTGAGGTGTCAAAATTGTAAACCATTAAGAACGCAACAAATACACAGACTGCATTAGGAGCTGTAACTGTTACACTACAAGGAGCTATTTTTTCCCCCAGAGATACCCGGTAGATTGTAGGGCAAGGTAAACATTTTTGAAGAGACCAACTTCGGAAACCTTCTCTTTAGAGTTATTTTGGCTTGATGTCATGTGTCATGGGGTACTGCACGGTTACATTTTGGAAGGGGTTAGGGTGTTTTTCTCCAGGAAAGTTAAAGATATAAGTAACCATTATCTGATATCAAAACAAATAACACAATACCTGTCCAGAGCGAAGGAAAACTTTAGTTTTGCCAAACTGTGCCCCGACTTTTGCATTCTCCTTGTCTTCATCACCAAAGATGCGCTCCACGACAGACAGACAGAATGCCTTGGCCGTCTTGTCATCATTTGTAGCAGGGAGGGATGGCGTGGGCTCTCTCTTGGTGTGATACAGGGCTCGGTAACGCTGACTGAACTCGGCATAGGGAATTCTGAAAACGGAAAAAGACTTAGTGATGAGATTAAATGCTTAATAACCAGTCATTGTTTGACATGATTGGTACATTCTAGAGTTGAACCCCACACAGTTCTCATTTTCCCACCCCCCTTTTTTTTTACTGTTCCCTTTTATCATATATTTTGCAATACATTTTGTCTTTTATGTGTTTGCAACAAAATTGTACTATGAATGCAAGCTCAAAATCTGGTAGAAAGGGTGACAGCTCCTTTGGACACAATTGTATAACTATCAGCAAAAGAGTTGATAAAATGGAAAGTATCTTTGAAAAGTTTGAAAGAAAAAGAAAAAAAATGCCACTTCCTCCCATTTTTCAAAAATCTGGGATGAGAAACTGCATGCATATCTTTTTCTTTTTTTTACTCGGCCTTAATGCACAAACCAAGTTATTCTGAAGATTTGAATTACGTTTATGAAAAGTATTATTTGAGGTTTGGAACAGTTTGGAGTGACCACCATATACTCATGAAGGTCCCCATCAATGGCAGAAGCATTGTGCTGGGTATGCTTCAAAGCATCTGCTCCATGACAAATTATCTGTACAATAGCTAGCACAATGCTTTCGCCATTGAAGGGGCCTTCGTGACTGTACAGTGATAGTGAGTTCGGAACGGTCTGTTGCTTGGCACGACTCTGAAATTCCAGTCTGAAACAGGTATGGGCTCCGTGCACAAGTACCCCTTCAAAGGCCAGAAAAGGAGAGTTGGGGGAGACCTAGACTGGTCCCGGTCCATCCACTGCGTATTTCGAATGATCCAAAGTTATTTGGGTGGGGATTAGTCAGGGAGACCATTGCAAGTTAAACGTATTCGCGCACCAACGACGCCTGACGCTCACGCGCGAAGATGCTATGGCTTAGCTTTGTGCACAGTCAGGATACATAAGTCGTGCGTACTTCGCGCGCGAACCAGTACAGTACGCACACGCGGTGTCCCATCCAAGGGGCTCTCAAAAGTGGTAAAAATGCGCCCTCTTTTGTTTTCTATCTTTCTAGTATTGAAGAGAAAACAATGTGTCAGTTCAGTTCTAAAAGTTCCAGAGTGGAAAATGCGATTGAGTGGAAAATGTGATTAGGTTAAAATGTCCTTCTGAAAAAATGTCCCTACTAACAAGTCACATCAAGAGATATGAAAAGAAAAAAATTGGCAAAATGAAATAGTCTAATAAAACTAATAAATCAAAAAAAATAAGGTGGTCTGCAACTTTTTTTTAGCTATAAATTTAAATACATTCGTTCAATCTTCAAATCTCACCGAACAGTGCACATCTTAATGTTTACAATTACAGACTATTTTCTGGTCATGCACAAACCTTGCAGGGAAGCCTTTAGCGCTGATGGCAATAGTCTCTAGCACACCGCAGGCCCTCAGCTGAGACACCACATGGCTGCTGTCAAAGATGTCTGGCTGACAGGCTAGGTTGGGTTTGATGCAGCGGATGTAGTGTGGAGCCGTGGAAGTCAGTATGGTCATCAGGCTATCTAAGGAGGTCTGAACAGCAAGGAAGAATAAAGACACCCCTGAAATTTCATCTTAAAATTTCCCAAACCCAAGGAAGGAAGTTTGGAACATTTTCTCTTAACCCGTTAGCACTTATAGTACAATTTATGTAATTGTATTTATTCACCAAATTTATTCACTTTTTCTCCATAAAACCATAGAGTGCTGGGGCAGTTTCGGCGCTGCAGGGAGTAACAGGAGGGGTAGTTTGGGGCGGTATAGGGACTAGTGGGTTAAAGGGGCACTTTCAAGAAAAAGCGTTCATTTGGGCACAAAAAGCATTTACCAAGGAAAGGTAAAAGTAGGAAATATCTTTTAAAAGTAGTATACGTACCTTCAAACAACTACATGTATACTTTGGAAATTTGCCATTTTTGTGAAATTACCACAAGAAGATATTTAAAATAAGATACTTAACAATCTAAAACATGATTTTTTTAAAACAAATCTGGCCTAAAGTGCGTCTTTAATCAAATAGTCTTGGTTCTCCTAACTTTGACTAACTGACTTTTTGCGTATCACATTTATTTCTGGGCTGCGCCTTACGGTATAAACAGATGTTTATTTTTTAGAAAGGTACACTTACCTTAAACTTGGAGACCACAGTTTTGGCTTGGACTTTTCCATTCTTGGCTGCCTGGATCTAGGGTGAAAATGAAAACTGGAAATCACCAATTTATATCAAATCAACACAAATACAACATGGTCAGCAATTTACCACAATTGTTCATTTCCCTACACAGCCTCATCATCTAAATTCTCTGAAATAATTTGAAGGTGCATTCTTTTACTTTCAAGATTCAAAAGAACACCCTTCGCAGATTACGACAGACACATGTAGAAAGTAGACATTGGGACAAACTGACAAACAGGGAATAACAGTTTAATAATCCAAGGCGTACATTCAGTCTACATGTAGTTTTCTGAGAAAAAAAAAACGATATTAAGTTTCATGTTGTCGTTTTGTAAGGTTCTCTTTTCCAAATGATTTGAACACACCTCATGTTCTACCAGATCCATCTGCACTAACTTGCTGACGAATGGGTTGGTACTGCCGGCTGCTAGCTCTATCAATTCCACTGGGATGTGGTCCTGAGTGGATAGAATAAACAGGTTATATTCAGGCTATTTAAATACATTACATTGAGGGTGTCTTTTCTGCTGTTTGCAAAGTAAGATCACGTAAAGTTGCGTTCCTTGAGCTTTTTAACAACTTCAATTTTTTTTTCTCTTAATAAATTTATTCCAGACAAAAAACTCTTTTCAAATCTTTTTTGGGCATCTGCAGCCCTCTGACGAAACTTTTTTTTGGGCACAAACAGATCTGCTTTGCAAGTAGACTGGCTCCCAGTCTGTACATTATCGATACTGATTGTGGGGCAGGTACCAGCCTACCCCGCAGGAATGGAATTATTGTCAGGCCACAAGTTATTCCAAATTTGTAAAAGTAATAATTCAATAACGAAACATGGGCATTGGGAAAAATAGCATTGGGAATGTAACTTCAAAGATGACTACTATCAGTGTTGTCGTCAATCACAAGTCTCAGGCATGCAACTTGGACTTGACAAAAAATGAGGAAACTCCAATCTTTACAAGACATTGTACAGTGTTTTATTCAATTTTCAATGGCAAGTGTGAGGTGAAAAACGAGGAAATCAGCTGATCCGAGGAACACTTGCATGCCTGAAGTCTGTTCAATAGTAAATAACAAGGCTGTGGTCACATGGAGCAGGTGATGAACAACAAAGGAATGTTTTTTGTCACAAGATGAAAAGCTTGTGGCTTGTCTTGAACTGAAGCCTTGTGGTGGACTCGACTACAACACTGACTGGCACGTTCAAAGTCTTCATCAACGTTTGGGTAAGTATCCTGATTTCCACATGAAATACACAAAATTAAGTGAAGTAGCGGGATTCGAACTTGCAACCTCTGAAGTACTGTACTGGAGCTCTACTAATTCATCTCTCCAATCCTGAGTCGGCTAGTTCCTCAGTTTGTCAATGTATTTATTCTTGGGACGCTAATCAATTTGTTAACAAATGACTTGGAAAATGATAGTAACAAAGTTCACACAACCAAATTGTGTTGACGTCTAATTCAGATTCTGAAGAGTTCAAGTTGAGTCCGGTTGAACACCCAAAAAAAATACAAAGAATTGTCTTGATTTAGCTTCAAAAATAAAAAGACCTACGGCTACGACCGGCGATGACACATGAGTCTATAGGAAGAGGCTGCAGCCGCTAGCCAGTGGCTTCCATAGGTGTGCATGTTATTCCCAGCCATAGGCAAGTGAAAGGGACTCAGCCTTACAACTTACCTTGTTTTTCTCAATGAGGCCATGTGCACTGTATGTGACATCATCCGCATAGTGCTTGACAATGAAGGCGGGGGACCGGACTGCGACTGGGGGTTTGTAGATGTGTTTACCATTGATGCCATCCAGTAGTCTGGTGCTGAATGCTGAGGCATCTGTCTGACGGTTGAGGCGACACTCCTAGACATAACAGATAATGGAAACAGGGGAGTCAGGTTGGCGTAGCGGTACTTTCCTCGCCTTCCACTGCTGTGACCCAGGTTTCGATTCCTGCCTGGCCACATGTGGAATTGGTTTTCAGTCCCTACCTGATTCCGTGGGTTTTCCTCAGAATATTCTTCTGGGGTTTTCATCCCACATCTAAAACTGTCATTTCTTCACATTGTCTTCTCTTTGCTGGGCCCCATGGGAGACCAGTGGATTCCTCTGAATGGGCTACCCAGTTAAAATCAGATATATACGTAAAAATAAATCAATAATCTAAAGGGATCAAATGCTGCAAATATTGTCAAACGGCTGAGACAAATTGGAACTTTCTGACACGACTACTTGTTGAAAACTTTGAAAAGCCCCGTGGTTTGTTTTGGGAATTCTGTAATATCTCCTTAGCAATTATTACAATGAGTTATCGCAAAGCCAATATAAAGGTTCAACTATGAAAAGCATCAATTCACTTGAGATGCAAACTGCAAAAAGTTAGAAGTAAATACGTCTGTACATTACTTTGTACAATCTAGCATAATCTTAATTTACAAAGAAATACACATTCTTGCAGACAAGGAATTGGATATATGTTTAAATTTTGAAAACTTCTTCACAGTTTCATCAATTTAGCCTATGGATTACTATACCTCATTCAGGAAGGAGAAGATGCTACATTTGCCCTCGATGACGTCAAGACACGGCTGGTTATCAGCGAAGCTGAAGAACTGCCAAGGAATTCCCTCAATGGAATACTCCTCCTGTAAAAGACAAGCAAAAAATTATTCAAAACTGACACCTTGAATAGTATTATTATATCAACTCACCCACAGATTCTGTAGCTGGATTAGCCAAGAGCCAATCACATGGCATTTGCTATTTTTTTTTATCTTTCGGTGCACGACCAAAAAGATTATACAACGGCTGAAAAAGTAGTGTATAAGTAACAACCAAAGTACCAGTACTATACACATAGCAAATGGAATGCATGTGTGCAAATGCATGGGTGTTCGTGTTTATCTTTTCATACCATGGACGAAAAATACCAGAAAACAAAAGAGAACAATTTCGTCCACGATTCCTAGCATACGTCCGTGATTGGGGTCGTGTACAAAACTTATGGGGGGGGGGTCTTCCTAAAAAGTTAGAGTACAAACACAAGAGGGATAATAGGACGTTCACGATCGATGGTGAACACACGTTTGTGTGTGTGTGTATTGTTTGTATTGAAATAGAAATTGAAATTAGTTTGTATTGAAATAGAAGTACCTTTTAATTGCATCTAGATTAAATTAATCGGTTATCGCTTCAAATCAAGCAGAATCTGTGGGTGAGGCATTATAAAATAAATAGCTTGTGGCGTAGTAAATATAACCTCTCTTTTTTCCCTCGGCTATGCTTCAGGAAACCAGAACGCTCCGTGGATCACTTTGGGAGGCTAGTTTTACTACACCACTCGAAGCAGTCATTATTTGTACACTAGCCTCCAATGGTTGTTACTAGCTGTACATTAACCTATCCAATAAAAAAAAATACAGCCACAAAGCCTGATTCTGTCCATTATACAACGTTTACTTTACCTGTTCTGCTCGGAGAAAGTGGGCCACAAAGTGCTGCTGCAGCTTCTCATTTGCATAATTTATGCAGAGTTGCTCCAGGCTGTTTGATTGGAAGCTTTCAAATCCATAGATGTCCAGCAGACCAATGAAAGAATGCCACTGACCAGCGCAGGTGGACTTGTTGATGAAGGCAACCAACCAATCAAAGAGTCTGTACAAAATAGAATTGGAAAAGAAAATTAGGGTTGTATTTTTTTTTGATATGAGCTCTTCACTTCTAAAGTCAAACACAAATTCCATTGAGGTAATTCCTTGAGCTTTCTTGTTAATTTTCTTTCCTCAGAAGTTTTCTATTTTGTCATTATCTCAAGAATTCCTTCATTGAAACATTTTTTGCAAAAAAAAATCTAAGATCCATAGTTCATCAGGGTCGAAATGGATTACTTGCTGGATTATGTTTGATTATGCTGGATTGGATTATGTTTGTAGTTAATCTATATTCTAAAGGCGGATCGGGGGGGGGGGGGGTTGCGCAATGGGAGCCATGCAACCCTCCCTCCCCCTGCAACAAGCGGTTTTTTTTTGTAATTGAACGAGAAGAATGAATATGACTGTTTTGAAATTGATGATACTCATTATCTGTCTCTCTATAGATTTATAATATATTCATAAAAAGAGAGATAAAAAAAGTGGAAAAAGAGCCATCCACCCTCTTCCCCCTAGTCTGAGTATCATCCATTGCTCAACGGAGCCTACTCAGAAACAACGCCTGATATATGCGAGCATGCACATTTTATGTGCCCCCACACCAGCCAATCGGAGTCGACTTTAGAAACTGCAACATCATTTCGTGCAGAGTTGTGGACTAAGCTGTTGATTGGTCAAATAACAGGCAGCTGCGTAGCACTGGTGATGTCAATTCAATTTATTTGTTTTGAATTTATATCCACCAATGAAATGTACCGAGCGTATAGCAGTTTGGCCATGCAATCTCGTCTGGTTCCGGCCTCCTCCACTGTACACGGTCTCATGAAGACACTCTTCCTCTTACTGTGAGTGGCCGTTATCTTCCTGAACATTAGACTCTTCTCAAGCTGCTCTCCATCCAAGCCAAGAAGGGTGGTGGCAAAATCCCTGGACAACTGGTAGTCTGAGAAACAAAAATAATATCTTCAAATTGTCAACTACGAGCAAAGTTCGATCTGATAAAAATTTACCATATTTCGACTAACTTTGATGGATGACGTGTAAGTCAAGTATAATTGGATATTCTAGTCAACATTTGCAACCAGCGTATAATGAGGCTGGTCAATTGCATCACTGGTTACTACATCCATGCACCTTACAATTAATAGCTGGGAGCCAGGATCAAGAAGTATTGCGATTCAGTTTTGACAAGTGTTTGACTAGAGACGTTCACACGTTGCTATTAGTGCGCAGGCGAAAGTTACATTATGAATCAACCACTAGTTGACTAATAATGGTCCTCACCCAAACTTGCTCTATAATGCTGCTTTTGTGCATAAGGCCCTCTTGTGGCCAAAATTAAACATCCTCCACAATAGATCACTCCGTTCAGCCTTGCCCAATGATGTTTAACCAATAACGGCCGTAGCTGCACAACCAAATGTCCAACAATGTGACAAGCACTTATGATGTCACACGTGCCATGTGATGGGAGGGCTCAGCCTATCCTACACCATCTCGGGACTTGATCGCACCCCCACTCTTCCCTATACAACATAAGGGTCCTCATTTCCCCCGTGTCACTGAGACCAATGTCCCGCCCCAGCGTGACAATGCACGTGGCTCATCCCCTCCCTCCCCCACCTACCCTCCTGCCAGTTACCCGAGTCGGCTTCCAGGATGGTGTCTTGGGCTGCAATACAAAGTGGATGGGGCTTATGGCCAAATCTGGAGCAAATTTGTTAAAACTACCTTTATTGTCTTCATCGATGTCACATGGTTCCAGTTCTCCATCACTGGTGAAGCTGATGTTACCCAGGTGAAGTAGACCCGACAGCACCTGAGTGTAGAGACAAAACCAACAAGAACTGAATCACGCTTCCTCTAGTATTACTTGGAAATGATCACATGTTGATTTTACTATGATTCAATACCACTTCAATTCATTGCATGTACAACTTTTTCTCACGGTAATTTCCACAAGACTGTTAAAATGTGACTGGCTCCATCTGTACATGTGCCAGATAAAATAGGTAACTCTCTCTTTGAGACAAAACTCTACTTTTTATTAAATCACTAGGTTTCCTGTAAAAGCAACATTTGACACAAACAGAGTTGCGTGCCATTTACATCTAGAAAGCATTTTTTCTGCTCTATCCAATGGCACTAAAACCTCAGAACTAAAGCTCAGTTATTTAACACTCAATTTGAGGAAACAGGTCACAAAACTTCAATGCGGGACAGAACAAACATACTCAATCATATCACAAACACGGAGACCAAAAGCGCCAAGACTTGAAAAGAGTTCACCAATTCACCTGGAATACATCCATCTGTTTGTCTTGGGAGAGACCGACATTGGACATTGCTTCTCTGGTCATCTTGAATGCTTGGCAGTCATCTAAGGCTTTGTCAGTGACAGCTTGCATTGGCAAATACTTGATATGATGATTAGGAAGACCTAGACCCAGACAAGCTTTCTCTTCGGTACTCGCTCCTTGATATAACTGCAAGACAGAAAGTAACGTGTGGATTAACATCTTCGGCACTTTGGGCAGGAACCTTTATGAATCCTTTAAAATCCACCGCTGTGCAAGAACTCAATAACAATTCATAAGATGGAATTTGCGTCAGGGTGATGTAAATCAATATTAGGTTTGTTGCCCTTCACGGCGTATAAACACTGTATACTCAGTGTGTTACCTCCCGAGTGAAAGTTGGAAAAAAATCACTCGGGTGGGACTCGAACCCACGACCTCCTGCTTTCTAGTGCAGACATCTTACCACTCAGTAACAAATTTAATGCTGGGTTTCGCCCTTCACCAACATATTTTACAAACACTGTATACTCAGTATTGTCCCAAGTGATTGTGAGAAAAAAATTCACAAACTACTTGGGTGGGACTCAAACCCACGACCCCCTGCACACTAGTGCAGACGTCTTACCACTTGACCATCGAGCTTGCCAGGGTCGGCTGGCTGGTTCTAATCTGATATAGCAGCGGGTACCACAACTATTCATAAGATGTAATTTGTGCAGAGGTGATGTAAATTCAATATTGAGTTTTGCCCTTCACCGAAGCATTTTTATAAACACTGTATACTCAGTGTTGACCCGAGTGATTTTTAGAAAAAAATCACAAACTATTCGGGTGGGAATTGAACCCACGACCTCCTGCTTACTAGTGCACCCGAGTAGTTTGTGATTTTTTTCTCACACTCACTCGGGACAATACTGAGTATTGAGTGTTTATAAAAGCAAAACTCAATATTGAATTTACATCACATTTACATCTTATGAATAACAACAGCACATTGTTTGTATTTGGATAACAAGCTGCATTTGAAGTAACGGTGTTTGGACTCTATACGTTCCTCAATTAACCTATCGTGGTAAAATCACGTCAACGCAGCTTGTGAAAAATATTGTCCAGTTAATTACATGATATTCAAATGGACGCGAAACGCGCACAATCTGAGACAAACAAAACTTAACGTACAAAATTCCATGGGGTTGGCTAAGGGGCGCTGCTAACTTGCAAACGGCGATAGGTCAATTCTGCAAAACTTCCCTAGGGAAAACCTACCTGGTAAAAGATGTGAAAGTTCCTCTCTCCGGTGGACTGGTGAACAACTCTAGTCTTCTCAAGTAAGTAGGTTTGGATGGACGCACCAATGATATGCTGCCCTCTAGGTGTGAGAAAAAAACAAACAGGTGTTGAAAGGTTTAAAGGGACGAGACTCCATGAAAATGAAATCCAAATGAATAGTTTAATATGATTGCAATTTTTTGTTTTGGCTTTGTCCTTCACTGATGTGATTTTTTTAAACAGTGAACACTGAATGTTGCGCGAAGGCTTGCGACGAAAAAATTCACAAGCTTACTCGGGTGGGACTCGAACCCACGACCTCCGGCTTACTAGTGTAGACGTCTTACGACTCATATAAATAATGATGATGGTAATCTGAAAAAAAATTCCAAAAAAAGTTTTGCACAACACATTTTTTGGCAATAACAATCAAATTTGTAATATGTCACCAAAATGACTTATAGAGTTTAGGAAACTGACATTAACCGATTATTGGAAGCTCAGAGAACTGGTTCTTACCTGTCAAACTGGAGTTGTATGTATTTGCCGAAGCGACTGCTGTTGTAGTTCCTGGCTGTGCCAGCGTTACCAAACGCCTCGAGGATCGGATTAGAATCAAGGATGCGGCTCTTGATGCAGTCACCAGGAGAAGGTTCAAAACAACTGCAAAGGAATTAGGTCCATAACAGTTTGTGAGAAAGAAGATAAAATAGACACATTCAAAGAAAAATATATACATGTATCAAACTTTTTCTAAAAGAATGTGGATTGTTATATCATGTGCTTAGATAATGTAATTTCAATATGATTGGTATAGGACGGCCACGTCCCCAGACAATAAAAATGCATGTCACACACTAAGGGTGATATTGCACTGCGTTCACTGCGCGTGTTGCGTGCGTGTGTGGATGCAATATAGCTTTGCGTAATAAGAACTGCAACGTTAAACGCTCAGTCTCAAGCCCGGTTCATACTTCATGCGAAAGCATGTGCGAAGCGAAATTCATGTCGTCAACAATGGTGGACGCGCTTCGAATGTATTGTTAACGTCACGAATTTCGCTTCGCTTTCGCTTTCGCGTGAAGTATGAACCGGGCTTCATGCCATTTTTAACCCCCTTTGGGGGCATAGCACTACCGGTATGCACCCCTCGGGTGTTAAACACGTCATATCCCATATCACAGCAGTCAACAATTATTAATTGTTTTATATGTTACAGGGCCCATACATATTAAGTATTAACCCATTTGTCCAATGTCCATGCTCAACCCAAACCACCATTCCTTTACTTCCCAAAACTACCCTAGCACTCTATGGTTTTATGAATTCTTTAGGGAATAAACACAATGTAATACAATGTAATACAATGTAATACAATGTAGTACAGGCGCTAATGGGTTATCACATGTCGAATGTTCTCCAGTCATAAGAGAGGTTTGTACACTTCCTGTCTCAACAAAATAATTTGTGTTGATGAAACTTCAAATCCACTTGACCTTCCTGCCCCCCTCATGAGATTTTTGACATTGATCTGAACCACCTTTCTGTTATCACTTGCAACCTTTTGGCCTGATTTTAGTGATCAGAATGAGTAGATATCTCGTGGGGATTGACCTAGTGACCTACCCTGGGTTGTAGACAGCCACAGTTGCTAGGTAGGTCATGAGACACCGAGCCGTCCACGTCTGAAATAAAAACATCAGTTATTAAAATGACAATAAGGTGAGACTGTGCTGTACACGTACATCACAATAACTTCATAGCACTCGCTACTTTAGACACTTTAGTCTTGGCTCAAGACGTTGTTGTATATTGGATACACGATAGCCTGCCACAGTGAGACTCGAGAAGAAGTCCAAAAGATGGTCAAACTTTAAGAAACCAACTGGCCAGAAAGAGAACTACATGTGCTCACTTTGCCAGCGCCACTTTCTCCGCTGACGATAATGGATTGGTTGACTGGGCCCAGGCCTTGTTCCATTTGACTGTAAGCCCTCTCTGCCATGCCATAAACATGTGGTGGCTTGGTCTGCAAAACATATAACAAACACAATTATTCAAAATATGTGAACAGTTCAAATCAAGAGTTACGTCTGTTTCATGGTAATTTTTTAACTACTATACAAACCAAATGACAAACTGGCTTTAAATAATAATTTTAGAAAGTGAGCAGTTTCATAATTCAGCTTGAAGAAAATTTGACGATGATTATTCAGTTATTATTTCAATTGTTTGCTGTCAGAATATGAAACAAGTGAATAAAAGAAAAAAATGTAATCACTTCATAATTCATAGTTGGCATTAATATTCCATTCAAATATCATTTTGATTACAATTTGGAATTAACAATTTCAGGAAAAAAAACGAACTTCAAAAATAAAGTTTCCACAGATGTGACACACCAGCAATCTCAACATCAATACCTACAATTGGGCGACAGTTCCCTTTAATATTCAGATGATTATCTAACCTTTGACCCCTCTGTGTATCTCTGCACAACATCCTCTCCATAGCATCCCTCCAATTCCTTAAAGGGGTTCACCGCAATCAGAGTCGCTCCTGCGGAGGTGCTGCAGGATCCAGAACGGAAGCGGGAACGTAGACAATGAAGAACTGAAAGGAAGCGGTGAAAGTGGAAACAATTACACGTGTTCTGTTACAGATTCGGTGAACTTCATTGTTAGGGCCACTGATCTTCGACTTTGGACCAATTGGAGGATAAACGGATGAAAATCATGAAATTAGCAAAGTTTCTTTCAAAAATGAATATACATTTGGAAAACCTTAAATTGTACAAACATATAATAAATACATTGGTAATTAATCCTTTTTGTTGACAGTTTTTATTTCAGGCATAATGTGTTGCATTGAGCAGTTTTTTTTTAAATTCTTTACATTCCATGATTCCAGTAACAACAGGAAAGAGATTTTCCCTAAAATTTTTGAAATGGAAAAAAAATAACCAGTTGTCCTACAATATCAAGGCTTGCTCATAACACTGATAAGAGATTTAGGTTAGGGTAATAAAATGAGGTGAAAGATTGTTAGTTATCGCCCAGTTATTGAAAATGGGCAGTAGAGGGCGGTATACTACCTGCAGCTTCACAGAGAGGGCTTAGCGTTGTGAGATCGTCAGTCTGTTCACAGCGTTGGGTGCTTCCACTCACTGGAGGGTAGTCTCCTTTTGATTGTACGGTGGATTCCTTCAAAAACAATCAAATTATCAAAGAAAGCATGAATTCACACAAGACAATTTCAGGAGCAATTTGTCTTGATCTGTATCACAAAATATGAGGCAATTTTAACTGATTGCTGTACAAAATTTCACAGATAACTATATAGTGTACAAACTTAAAAACGCAAAGTGTTTTGCAATACAATTTTTGTACATGAACATATATGCAACTCACTGACGGACTTAAAACCTTAACCCTGCTGAACCCAACTATCCAAGGATCCAACTATATATCATATACCCGTTGGAGCCTGTTGGATTGAGCAGTAAGCCCCTTATACAAATGTACACGTACATATTCAGAGTCCAATTCTGTTGGGTACTGATAAATAACGCCAAGTTGGACTCTGTTGGATCCAGCAGACAACTAAAAATTAGGCACAGTTGGATTCTGTTAGATTGAGCAGGAAGTTTCCGTTGGACTCTGTTGGATCCAGCAGACAACTAAAAATTAGGCACAGTTGGATTCTGTTAGATTGAGCAGGAAGTTTCCGTTGGACTCTGTTGGATTTAGCAGGATAGTCCTGAGGAAGTACTATGGGGTTAATGACTGTCACTTGTGAGCCGGGCAACTATATCACATAGCATAAGGCCGTGTCCGAAACAGGCTTCCAGTGCTACATCTACGTCTATTGTCAGCGCGTCCCCGTCTATTTTCAATGGGCGCAGGCCTAGACCTAGCTCTAGACAGTTGATTCAGATGCAGCCTTACTCTGTGGCATCAATGAATGGGCCAAATCTGCTTTTGTAGGATTGCCTTGTCTTGATTTTAAAGAAAAGGCTCCCTGCTACAAGTGTATTGTGATGTTTTCTTCTCTCAGAGGATTTCTCTCAGTGTCAATGTTAACATGATCACCCACCTTCCCATCTTCAAACCTAACGCAGAGACTGCCATCCTTTCCAACAGAGGTCACGGTAGCTGGTAGCCACACTTCACTGGTGTCATGTACCCATACATCAAGGCCCTATTAAAAAGGGTTAAGGTGTTATAATTTTTTTTTTTATTTCATGCTAACTGCAACTGATTAAATTAGACTAAAACACTATCTACATTTATTTATTGCCCCAAAAAATTGCATACATGTATGTACCAGAGAAGAAATATGGACGGGTGCATACCTATGTTCCGCAACTCTAACCCTAACCCTAAGGATTTGGGGGAACATAGGTATTGGGGAACATCGGGTACCCCATATGGACTGGTTTTTATACTTAAAACAGAACTACAAGCACAATATAAGAGTTCTAAGGAATAACTTCTTTACCTTGCTGTAATGAGGTTTGTGCTTCTTTGGGGTAGCCTTCTTAGGTTTCTGTAAAAGATATAAATAAGGGTCATTCTATAAATTTGGGGTCCACGTTTTTCCCCGTCCCTGTTACATCTGGCATCTATGATTGTATAATTCTGATGCACTCCTTAATGCAGTCGTCCTCTAAGAGTGATTATGAATAGCAAACTACCTACCCAACAAATAAACAATCATTTGAAGTCATTCTTAATGATGCTTGAATGGCAAATTACAAAGTACCAAGGTAACAGGGACGGGAAAAATGTCACACTTTGGACCCCAAATTTATAGAATGACCCATAAAGCAATGTGATCAGTTGAAGAAATTTGAAGTGATCCGCATAGGCCTAAAAAGTCCGGGAACATTTCGGGTGATTGATACTAATGATAGTTGACAGTTTGGTTTCAAGAGCCAAAGAACCCGACATAATGTAGAATATTGTCAATCGTGTCAATTTAGTCTTTTGTCAGGTTGTCATTAATCATTACGCAGTGGCTATTGTTACGGCAGCCGTAACGCATTTCCCATTTTCTATCGTTACGGTAGACTGCAACTTTTATAAAAACATGAGAAGAAAATATAAACATGATCAATTAGAAGGAAAAAAGTGAATTTGAACGTTATGAAATTTGGACTTTATTTCCCTTTAAAAAAAATCCTCCAAAGCCTCAGGTTAGAAAAGGAAAACAATTTGAGTGCAAAACTGAGATGCGAACCCGCAACCTCGCGGTGCAAAATCCTACCCGCCATCGACTGAGCTGTCACACTGCTTACCAAAGCGTGGGGAAACAAATAATATACCTGTGTGCGTATCAAAAAAGTATTGTAGAGGGCGCTAAACAACGAATGCCGTAACGATAGCCACTTCGTAATCATTGATGTCAGGGATCAACCACATAGACGTTAAGTTAAACGATGGCCAATGCTTTTATCATGATGTATCCTCGAGTCACCATTGACGCAGGTAACACTTGCATTTGCAACGCGCGCGCATTGTCCAACGCAAATTGAATGCGAGTGCTTCAAAACATATCCTCGTCATTTTTACTTAATTTAGGGGGGTCTGACGATATTTGGCATGTTGTTAATTGTTTGGACATAATTCATAATCATAAAAAATACATTATAAATTACTAATTAGGCATGTTAGGATCCGTCTACTCTACTTGCCACAGCCAATTTTCATACGGTGTCGCCACTGTCGGTAATTAATTTAAGAATATCAAAAACAGACAGAGTTCAGTCACTGCACTCGTTAAATAGCGCCCTCTTGTGTGCAAACACTAAAGTCTAAACCAGAACTTTGTGCCAAAACAAGTTACTCGCTCTTTTGACACTGGAACGAACGATTTTCGGAAATTGCGATTCAAGAATTCGGGGGGTAAGACTACATGTAATTGACGAAGTTCGTGAATAGAAATAACATTTGACCTTTCGCCACTCTTTCTTTGCATCCTGCAGAAGATTTCCAAGTTTTGCCGTCGCTGATCTCAAGGGAGCTGCCATCTTGATTTTCTTTCGAATCGACCACGCATTTTCCTTTGACCAATCAAATTACGAATCTCCACTGAAGCTCCGCCCCAGGATATCCATATAAGATTTCTTGACGAAAGAGGGCGCTAGACTACCAGCCAGAGTTCATTGTAAATCGTAAACACAAACTTGATAGAACAATATTCTTTATTTGATCACGTTTTAGCGTCTTCTTAACCAGTATTTATTTGTCAGATAGGTAACGTTTTCTTTGAGACACAAAGATGGGTAAACGGCAGCATCAATCGGATAAGATGTAAGTGTTGACGACAGAAACAAAACAAAAGTACATTCACTATCGATGTCCGAGTCAGCAGGTCAAGCTGCACGGCGCTAGAGGGCGCTATCACTTAAATGAATCAATTCAGTCTTGGGAATTATTATTCCCAATACATATGTACTGAGTTGTGAAGTATGCTCAAATTTTCGGGTTGAAGTGCCAAAATTGTTTGCACTTTGACCCAAGAAATTTGAGCATACATGTAGTACTTCACAGACGTTAGATTGATTCATCTTGTTGATAGCGATAGCCATCCCCGTTTCCTTTTCCGCTTCCGTTTCCCACCCGCCTCCTTTTTCCCACTCGCCTACTTTTTTCTTCTCTTTCTTTGTAATTCATACATTGCAATCTTGGCAACTTGGGCCAAAAAAAAGGGGGGGAAAAGGAAAAACAGGGACCACCTCCTTCATAAACAAAAAATGACAATTTTTTTTTAATCAGTCCTTGTTGACCGTCAAGAGACGCACAACTACCCCGTGTGATGTCCCCTCCCTCTCTCCCCCCCCCCCCCCCCCCACGGATCCTTTGAGATCTATATATACGCTATACAGATTTATAAATGTGAATAGGTTCCTTCCCAGTATTTGGACTATCAAAATAAACTTGTTACATTTAAAAAAAAAAAAAAAACTCTTGACCTTTCCTCTTGCAGATATTTCCCCCGAAGTAATCTTGCTCATTAATTCATAATCCCTTTCCCAGGTATATTACATCCAAGGAATATACAGCATTCTTCGGAGGCAAGAAACTAGGTAATTGAAGGCAGTTTATCATCGCTACTTGAATGACGAAAAACATTTTACACAATAAAATATTTGGCGCAGTTGAGAATTAAACTCGCCTAATACCATGCAGCAGACATTCAAAGGATTGACTTGAAACAGAACAACACTGACTACAAATTGAAAAAATGCCAGCGCTACATGTATATGTTGAATTCCCGATAAGCATTTGCGCTGTTGTTTTCCAAGCTATGTGTAATGGTGTCCCTTACAGCTGCTTCTTTTGTACCGCAGTTTTATATTTAATGTATGAATAGACATTATATGACATGATTGCACTTTTAATTTGTTGGCATGGTTTTATTCAAAAGTAGAATTTCCAAATCTCCTATCTGAGCTGTAATAAGTGATGTGAATTGTAACATTAAAAGTCATAATGTGTGTCATTGGTTTTGTATAAAACAGAAACCGGGGAGAAAGCGGCATTTCGGCGGTTGCCATTCGACCATTGCAGGTAGGTTTAGAGCATAATCCAATTCCAAGTTTGAGAAGTACCATATTTCCTTCCAGTACAGAGTTTTTACATTTTCATAAAATCCCAAATATTTTTCCATACAAATATTCAGTAAATTATCATATTGTTAAATAACAAAGAATCCTGTTCTCTTTTATCTGCAGTTTATCCTTCCAGCCTTTTGAGCATCCTTACTGCACCAAAGATGGCGTCATGTTTGACCTCATCAGCATTATGCCGTACATCAAGAAGTACAAAACCAACCCAATCACTGGAGAGGTGAGTTCTAGCCCTGCAAGTCACATTATCATGAAGTTACTGATTCTGTCAAAGCTGGACTATTGCTGCTGTCTACTAAACGGTGTCTCTAAGAAAGACATAATTTATGTCGTCTTCCGAGACTTCAAAATAGATATGCAAGGCTTAATTTTCAGATGTCCAAACACGCCCATACCTCTCCTCTGCTCAAACAACTACACTGGCTCCCAGTCGCCCAACGCATTCAGTTCCGCACATTGGTTCACACTTACAATTCACTAAAATCCCTGCCCCAGATTATCTCTCCTCTCTTCTCACAATCCAGACCCGTCCTTATTTCCTTCGTTCTTCTGCGGGAGAGTCCCTTGTTTATCCACAAGTCACGTAAACAGGCTGGTGACAGGGCCTTCTCCATTGCCGCCCCCCAGTTATGGAATAACTAACCCATCCCCATCAGAATTTGTATCAGTGTTTTGTCCTTAAGGCTAGACCCACCTTTTCCCCAAATCGTAGCTGGCTGTCATCTTTTCGTATCTTCTTTCGCTTTTTCAATCTTTGTTTAGCACCTCGTACCCTTCGGCAATTTGGCGCTCTATAAATCCAGTTATTATTTTTATTATTTATTATGACAAACTTGCTCTCTTTAGAAATATGTTTTACTTAGCTACATTAACCAGATAATCTTCATGTAAGGAGTTTTTGCCATTTTCATTTTTCCCCCCAAATCAGGCTATGGACACCAAAGCGCTTATCAAGCTCAATTTCCACAAGAATGCTAACGGTAAGTCACACAGTATGCTGAATATAATAGTAATAAGGTCAGGTCAGGTCAGGTCAGGTCAGGTCAGGTCACTCCCGTGGCTGTGAGGCCGTTAGACTATTTGATGAGTTTAGACTCCTTCATCTCACCCGATATGTTGCAGTCCGCACACGCTTCACCATGCTTTTGCCTGTCCGTCTCCGAATGTTAGAGTTCCAGTTGGCTCTTGGTCTGCCCGGTCTTCTACCCTCTACACTTCTGTGCATGATGATATGCATGTACAACCACTGCCTTATGGGGTACCGAAACAATGGGAGGTACCCCACAAGGAATGCCCATCGACTTGCGGGGTACTGTTTTGGTACCCCATAAGTTTTTCACGAAATAGATATATGGATTTAACGCAAAAACTAGGAATTTCCAAGGTGGGTCGATCCGTCACAAATGGAAGAGATTTAGAAAAGGGATATTAAGTCTGAATTTCAGCCCAGGAAATTAATTCTGGTTAAATAGCATTTTGAAACTAGTGTGCGACATTGCAAAATTTTAGTACACGAGAACAAAGGAAGTACCCCACTTCTATGCCTGTGTAAGCGTGTGTGCGCGCACGAGTTCCTGATCTAAGGGCTATGATATGTGAAGCTTCCTTCATATCAATAGCAGGTAGCTGGGATGGTCTTTGCTGGTCTTCTTATTAGAATTCCACGTGACATATTCAACTTAAATTTTAACTTCTGTTTTTTTCTATCAGGTAAATACCATTGTCCAGTGACATACAGAATCTTCAATGCAAACACACACATCGTAGCTGTCAAACCCACCGGCAATGTCTTCTCATATGAGGTAATTTTCCACATAATTTTAATGCTATTAACTTATTTTATTTTGTTTAATATAAGGATATTTTATTGTTTTCTTCCGAAAATAGTGAAGTGTCAATAATTGTCTATGTGCTTCCAATTCCCAACTTCAGAAGGATATTGAGAAATTTTGACAGGTTTTGTATGATGTCCAATTTGCTGTAGAATTATGGACAATTCTTTCTTTTCTGCTGGTCCCAAAGTGCCGGCCTAGTGTCTTTTTTGTACCCATCTTACTGACTGACTCACTGACCGACTTGAAGTATTGACACTCACTTGACTGGTTGTAGGTCCGGTGAAGAGAGTCGGGCAGTGCTATCGTCTAGGATCACCCTGTCATGGGCTAAATAATATTCATAAATACCTCAGACAGTTTAGCCATTCCTATTGGTTGAGAGCCCGTCACGTGGCCGGTCTTAAACGGATGATAAAGACATGGCTAGCTGTGACACTTTTCCAGTGTCACAATAAAATGTGGACTCCTAAAAATCCAGTGCCTCTTACCGTTTCATTGGTTGAACGTTCACAATCCTCCCGTAGGCATGCGTAACACTACCAGTGAGTCAGATTTTTATAGTTCTAAATTCAAAACGCAACGCCCCAGGTGCGTTCTGCGCGATGTCGCGCAGAACGTGCTACGCGCGCGTCAATCTCCATAAAAGGGTTGTTTACATCTTACTCGCCAGCTGAACACTCCATTATTTTGCTAGAGGGATGTTTCAAAAAGCTGAAGTGAACTTGTTGATCAAAATCGGGATTTTTTGAACGAATTTCTTGATTTTTTTTTATCGAAAAGGTATTTATGAATGGGAATAAATATGTGCTCGGTCGGTATTAATCACTCTGTTTAAGACTGCTTAGAGTCTGGGTGCTGATAATTACCCCTTAAACAGAGTGATTAAAACCTCTCGAGCACACATTTATTCCCTTAATAATAATAACAATAATCGGCATTTAAGAACGCTCTTATTAGTGAACTGAATCACAGCGCTTACAGTATTATTATTATTTCCCCTGATCATTGGGCCAATGAAACATTCCAAATACCATCTCAGCTCCCCGGGGAGTATACAGCTCGATGCTGCCTGTTAGGCGCAATGAAGCTAATTCAATCACAATAACCAACACTGCCCTCACAGGTGCCCATTTACTCCTGGGTGGGGAGAAGCAATGAGTGACAAAGTGCCTTGCCTACGGGCACACGCACCATGACCCTAGGCTTGACTCGAACCCACAACCCGCAGAATTATCCGCAGATGGCGAATTCAGTGCCCTTAACCACGAGGCCATAAATCCGGCCAATGTCGACCAGATGCATGAAAAGACTTCCAGTCAATAGCCATTCGGAATCAATCGCATTGAATTGTTTGCACTCTGGGACCAGCTTTACTAGACTTGCTTAGTCTTGCTTTCAAGAAAAAAATGAACAAAATATTTTCAACAAAAGGGAGTTCTGATAAATGGCTCAAGGATGGATCATACAAATTTTCAATGGATTCTTAAAATTGGCTTTCCAGTGTCTTATTTAAATCTTTTCACGTTCACTCAGTTAATCATTACTTTCTCTCTGATTTCAGGCTGTCGATCAGCTCAACATCAAGGCCAAGAACTGGAAGGATCTGCTGACGGACGAGCCATTCACACGCAAAGATTTGATCACACTGCAAGATCCTAGTAACCTTGATAAGTTCAACATTACCGCTTTCTATCACGTGCAGAACAACCTCAAAGTGGAGACTGAGAGTAAGCACACTGCTTGGTTATGAACTATGAAGTGTAATGCTGCAACCTTTGTGGTTTCTTTAAAAATTTGTAATAAAAAGCTGTATCCTCTCTGAGTGATCCCCGTTTGCTATTTCCTAGATTTGCAGCATTGCTAATGTTGCTAGCATCATGACTTAGGGTGTGATCCCTGGCTACATGGCATATACGGGTTTATGGCTTCTGACTAACGCCCCTTAAAGGGAATGTACATCATTTGCTTTTGCTTCAATTTTCAGAAATATATGGATTTGGAGGATAAGTATGTTATAGAAAATATTGTTAAACTGACTTGTTATACGTTTTGGGCTTGTAGATGCTGGAAAAACCAAGAAAACCTATCATTTTCTTGTAGTCTGGTTTCCAGACCCCACTTAAGATGAAACTCGGAGCAATTAATACACTTTGAGGAATTGTAAGGTCAGAGAATCAGTCTAGCAGGCTTGTACCCCTTTACAGGTGTGTAATCAATTGCAAAGAATAGTCAGAATAACTAAATATGGACCATTAAGAACAGTTTTTGAAAAATAGCCAGTTTTCTCCAACGTTGGTCGGCCGACCAGTGTTGAAAAAATACAGTTTTTCTTGAAAATGTCAGCACACCAGGAGCCACGAGTTTAAGTGATGTTTTAGACTGTCAGTCCCTAACAATCCAGTGAGGGATTTCGTGATAATTTGATCATTTTGTTTTTTGATGTTTGCAAATGTTGTATTTTCCCTTTAAACAAAGACATTGACTAAAAATGAGGACCCGCCAACAGAGGGCTGGATGGCTCAGTTGGTAGAGCACTTGAACGGCAAACCAGAGGTCGCAGGTTCAAACCCCGCTTCATTCAATTTCGTCGCTTGACCTTTAAATTATGACTCTTGTTTTGGCTTGCAGGTGAGAAACAGGCAAGGGAGGGCGCCAAATATTTCATGAAATCTACCAACGCGGAAACCAAAGACATTCTGGAAGAACTGTACAGGGACTACAAACCAGCAGTAAGTGGAACAATTATTTTTCAGTCTTGGACGACATTATTATAATGGTAAATGCTTTAGATATACCAGAGTTTTAATCCTTCATAAGTCAATCAGAAGTTAGGTCGCTAGTAACAGGGAACAAAATGCGTGTGTCACATTTCATTTGTTTAGTTTGTCTCTTGACTAGAGACCAGCACCCGATTTTACGAGGGGCTGCGACATGTCACATCCTGAGTTACGACGTGTAACACGTCGCAACTCGCCGTATGATCCATTTCACGAAATTTGCGATGTGTTGAACGCGTCTTAAGTTCCTTGACAAGGCTTTAACATGTCGTAAGTTATGACGTGTCTAGTTGTCATCGCAAAATAAGTAGCGTTCCTTTCTTAGCCAGTTTTATGCCATAAAAATGACATAAACGAGACTGTAAGACCGAGACAATGTGTGTAAAGTTGTAAATGGAAAATGCATTGAAGTAATTATGCATCAGTCCGGAATATTGCAGTTGAAATTTCAAAGTAGCTATACAGTCCATCACAAGCTTGTTTTCCTTTTAACCTGCATCGCACGTCCGCCATTATGTGTTCCGTTTTAAGAGCTTTTCGAGAGGAGATCCGACAACTCTTTGTTGAATATCAGATGACTATTTACTGTATGCTGAATAAATACATATAACAGTCACCGAGTTTTGCTGTAAATTCACCTACAATGCGTCGCACTTGCAGTTCTGTAAAATGAATAGCAGGAGGCGTCGCAGTTGCGACTCATCGTAGGAATACGGCATGTGAAGTTAGGTCCAGGTGACTTGCGGTAGACTTGTGATTGACTTAAATATGATGCAACTAATAACTCAAATTGTACCAAATCTGACACTTAAAGCTATAGTCCATCATTTGCAGCCATCCGAAAAGTAACTGGCGTAATTATTGTTGAAAACAAACTTGGTTGAAAGATAGTAAGGGAACTAAACTCCCTGTGAAATTATTCCTTCTGGGAAGCTGTCATTTTGAAGTAATCAACGAAAGAAGGCATTTCCAACGGTGATTCTTAAGAAGCACCGTAGGAAAATTTTAATTAGTAGTTCGTTTTGTTATTCAGCGCAGCGCGAACAAGTATTGGAACGACGCACACGCGCGCGCGGTTGTTATAATTCGTCGGATCAGTGCGCTACGTCGCGTATGGCTGCAATTCAAAACAATTCAAAACATGATTCAGTAACTTTTGATTTGAAATTGAGATCTTAGAATGCTGTTTTTCTCGATATGTACAGCTGAAGCTTAGCTGAAACTTCATCAGGTTAGTTGTTCAGTATCCTTCATTAGATTTTGAACACTTTTGTTGCTTCAAACGAACAAAATGCACAAATTACAAATGATGGACTATAGCTTTAATGTTTTTATTATACTGTTACTGTTATATATATATACATTGTACAGTATCTGTGTTCCTTCCTTTAACCTTAACTCCCTACTTAGTTTTACGAAGTAGAAAACCAATTCCATCAAAATCCATCACTCACTCTGCTTTTACATAATGCTTCAGGACCAAATCCATTGAAATCCACCACTGGTGCTGGTGGATTTCATGGATTTGGTAAATATGGCTTATCTGCCAAAATGGAGAGATGGATTTTGATGGAGTTGGTAAGGTTAGGGTTACATGAGATAGCACCAGCACCAGTCACATGAGAAAATGGTCCTTGTTTTTTTGTTAAAGATTACAATTTTTCATCTTTTGCTCAGGAAAAGAAAGAAGACGAAAAGAAATCTGCAGACCATCTGAATGCTGTGAGTATAATGTAATATCTACCAGGAAATAAAGTCAAACGAAAAGTAAAACACACACTTTAAACTAATCATTTATGTACCGATATGTCATTATACATATTTCCTCTTTGCAACATAATTTGTTTTTGTTATTCCACTATCGGTATCGCCATAGCTTGTTTGAAAATTAAAGCCACCAAAACTACTGCATTGACAACATCTTCGTAGCTTTACAGAGAGTGGTTTGTTACATTTCAGGCCCACTACAGTACAGGCATGGTAGCGGCCGGCTTCACTTCAACAGCAATGACTCCACAGACATCCCATGAAGCAGGTAAAATGGTAACCACTTGGTAACACCTGGTACTCGTCACTGTCACCGTGGCTACGTTATGCGGTGTAAGGCAAGGCCTCTGCTGTTGAAATTTCTAGCACAATTACCACAAGATTCAGGCACCATCCGAAGTCTTGTCGAGAGCTTTTGCATTGGGTCTTAACATTATAACCATGGGAACAAACTGACAAGCTGCATGGAGTATAGAGGGCGCTGTTTACCCAGCAATGAGGCTGAATTTTTGAAATTTGAATTGAAGGGATCAGAGCAAGTTGAGAAATTAGAGAACATTTTAAATTCGTACACCGTGTTTTAAAAGTGGAATTGATTTATGCCGATTTTGTCCTTTCTCTTTAGTTGGAGAACAAATGTCCCTTGAGTCAGATGCATTGGTAGGGGGTGTGACACCTCTACCTCCTCCCCATCCCTTCTTGTTTGTTTTGGTCAGCAAAATCATTGCCCTGTGGACAACATCATGTGTCCGTCAGCAAGTATAGCCCAACGAATAGCACCACCTATTGTTTGATAGTTTTAGATAATATCCACAGCAGCCAGGTAACCAAAATAGAAAAAATTATACTTTCCGCACCGAGTGGACTATTTGCAAATTTGTCGTTGCATCCCTCCCCTCTGATCTGATGCCGCACCCATGACTAGAGTATCCGCAGAAAGTGTGATGAAATGTCTTTTTCTTTCTTTTGGATTCCATATGTAGCTATCATTGATGAGGATATCATCAGATATGAAAGAGTCAAGAAGAAGGGCTACGTTCGACTGGTGACAAGTCAAGGAATGCTGAATCTGGAACTACACTGTGATTTAGTAAGTTATCTAGAAACTTGAAATACTTTTGCTGGAGTCATCTTCACCTGACTGACTGACTCGCTGACTGATTGTCACTTGTGACTTAAACTTGCTCGTTTCTCTTTTGCCCAAATACAGGGTGAGTAAAAAAAAAACGAAACCCAAATGTCAGGACTATTGTTTTAGTAAAGTTCTGCATGTAGCATTTTCAAAATCTAGGATATAAAAGCCCAATTCATAAACTTTCTTTTAGTACAAGAATCATTCTAATCACTCATGTACTTTTCAAGTTACGGAAATTTAAACACAACCACCATTTTAAGGTTCTGTCCACGGATCACAAAAAAGTTCAGTGTTCTTTCAGCAAAACGAAAACAAATCACATAGGGATGTCTGTGAATTGTTTTTGTTTTGCTGATAGAACACACACCTTTTTGTGATCCGTGGACAGAACTCTAAAACAGTGGTTGTGTTTAAAACTCCGTAACTTGAAAAGTACATAAGTGATTTGAATGATTCTTGTATTAAAAAAAAGCTTATGAATTGGGCTTTCAGATCGTAGATTTTCAAAGTGCTACATGCAGAACTTCACTAAACAATAGTCCCGACATTTGGGTTTCTTTTTTTTTTAACCCACCCTGTATTTCAATCTGATGACAATGATCCGGACGGTTGAGATATATCCCTTTTCCTTGCAGGTGAAAAAGACGTGTGAGAATTTCCTGAAGTTAGTTGCCAAGGGCTACTACAAGGGGACGATCTTTCACAGGTCCATCAAAAACTTCATGGTGAGTCACAGTGTCCTTCCCAGCCACTCTGGAAATCAGGGAAAAATTTCAAAACGAATTTCCATTTTCCAGTCAGGGAAAACTCAGGGAATTTGACAGTGACCCAGAAGGGAAAGGTTTTTGTCAGTCTGGTGCATATGCGTCTTGTGTCATGTGTCTAAGTAGTGTCCATTGACCAACTGGCAATATAGCTACAGGGTGAGTGAAAAAAAAAGTGGAACCCAAACCCCCAAAATATATTTCATATTTAATAAAATATGTAGCACCAAAAATAATAATGACTGGAAAGCCAATTTCATAAGCTACTTTTAGACAAAAAAATTAATGAAATTGCTCAATCCGTTCAAAGAATATCACCATTTAAACACAATGACCCTAAAAACCTGTCTCATCCAAAAAAAAAAGCAATTTATTGTGTGTTTTGACTATTTGGAACAACAAAGAAAATGACACAGAATACTTGTTTCAACAACTGTAGTACATAATATCTTTATAAACAACCCTGATTAGGCAATCAATATGAATTATAAAATCCACCTTTTTTAAAAGACAGGCCTTATAAAGGATTTTGTTGAATATTTTTAACTTTTAAACTGAGATTTTATCGCTGGTGATGTTTGAAGACAATTGTGACGACGATTGTTGAAATCGCATTTTTTTGGACGAGACAGATTTTGGGGTCATCATGTCGCCCGCAGGTGGGATCCCCTGCGGCGTTTCCAATCCTCCCTATCCTTTATACAAGCAGCCAACTCTGTTGTGGTCTCAGTCCCGGCATCTCTCCTCAGAACCCCGACATAGCTCGTCCTCTGTCTTCCCCTCCGCTTCACCCCATGAGTCGGTTCCCACAGCACCAGACGGCTTGCTGGTAGCTCAGGGTGTCTGCAGCAGTGCCCTGCCATGCCCATCCGCCTGTATGCGATCTTCTGTGAGATCCTAGGTAGCATGCCGTAAAGGGTGTTATTAGACACGTGGTTTCTCCAGTCGATGTTGAGCACCCTCCCCAACATTCTGGTGTAACAACCGTCGAGGGACTTCTGAAGGGTCGTTGTTAAGGTCCAGCACTCACATCCATATAGCATGATGGACTCCACCGTGGCCTGGAAGAAACTGATCTTGACATCCCTTGACATGTTAGAGCTCCATATGGTTTTCATCCCATGTAGAGCCTTCCAGGCAAGGGCTTTCCTAATGCGGATGTCGTGCTCAGAGGAGTCGACCCATGATCCTAGATACTTGAAGTCGCTGACTTCCTTGAGAGGGCGGCCCTCTAGGGTAGTAAGGGATGCATGGTCTGGGACGTTGTAAGTGACCACCTTTGTCTTTCTGGCATTGAGTGAGAGACCCACCCGGCTACATTCCATCTCCACACGTGTCAGAAGCTCCTGTGCCTGGGAAGTGGAGTTAGAGAGGAGGCTGATGTCATCCGCAAAGTCGAGGTCAGTCAGGGCGACTGCGGGATAGCGGCTCGATCTCCTTGGTATCAGTGTGAATCCAAGATCTACCTCGTGTCCGCTTATAGCTCGTCTGAGGGCAAAGTCAAGAATAACGATGAATATGAATGGGGCGAGGGTATCGCCCTGCATGACTCCTGCCAAGATGTTGAACTCGTCTGTGTTTCCATTTTGGGGTCATTGAGTTTAAATGGTGATATTCTTTGAACGGATTGACCAATTTCAGTAATTTTTCCATCTAAAAGTAGCTTATGAAATTGGCTTTCCAATCAGTATTATTTTTGTTGCTACATATTTTTTTTTTATTTGAAATATACTTGTTGGGGTTCGGGTTCCGCTTTTTTTTACTCACCCTGTATAAGGGGAGAAGGGAGGCCCTCGCTTGTCAACAAGTTGCCTGTGTGTTATCAGTATCTTAGTTGCTTTGCTGCAACCATCTCTTGACTTCCAAGCAACCTTATTCAAGTGAAAATAGCAAGGAAAGGATGGCTGTAAGGTGAGAAGGGAGGCCCTCGCTTGTCAACAAGTTGCCTGTGTGTTATCAGTATCTTAGTTGCTTGGCTGCAACCACCCCTTGACTTCCCAGCAAGATCGTTGAAGTGAAAATGTTTCAGGGAAATATCAATATCGAATTTTTTTTTCTCGTAAAGTGCTGGGATCCACAAGAGAGTCACGTTAAAACATTATAAAAGACACATATAGCATACAAAATAGAAATAATTGAACCCCTCTAAAATGATTTTTTTTATTTTAAAATGTCACAATGGCTATTCCTATTAGCTGTTCCCCCTAGTACACAAAAACTTTTGTAAACTCTCTTATATTTTATTTCTCCATGCTTGAAACAAGGACGGGCAATATATAGTAACTTTCTTTTGGAAGCTAAATTACATCAGGACTTGAAAAGATACCCCCCCCCCCCTTTTTATTTTTAAGTCACTTTAAATGATTGTATTTCATTTACAGATTCAAGGTGGTGATCCAACGGGAACGGGCAAAGGTATTACAACTTTTGAACTTTTTTACACAAGATCCGTGATATCTTTTGGTCACTTTTAGTGTATTTTTTCCCTGGACATGGACTAATTTTACCATCACAAAATGCAAAGCAAAAGATTTGTTTTTCTATATGTGACCCTGGAGCCAAATACCAGTCGATAGTCACGCGGCTGTATGCAGCTTACAATACATTGTACAGGCAAAAATTATCAAAATTCAGATTTAGAAGCTAGAATAATGAATATACAGTAAACTCCGGCTAAACCGACATCGTACAACTCGTCAAATCGCTCAAGTCGGCCGTCTGACTAAAGTCCCGATTGTCCGTAATGCATTTCCATTGAATTTTTTATTTCTAAGTCGGCTTTTATAAGTCGCCATTTTGCTCAAGTCGTCGTGTTACTCTCGGTCCCCTTTTCAGCAAAGCATTACAAAATCCTTTGTGTAAGTTGGCATTCAACAAATCACGCATTGGCATAGACTTCCTGTACTGCGGTTGGCAAAGCGTCGAGTGAAAAGTGGTTTCGCACGGCCTGTGATTGCTACATGCATCAGTGTCGAAAAAGGGTGTCCTACTGCATACATCGCATATGCATCGTGAGCATATCAATACCAGTACCCCCTCTAGGCTGTATGCATGCGCCCTGTCCATTTTGGGGGTCGTCTTATTGAATGACTGCTGCTGCAGTTAATGCGTGCGTGGTATATACCGGACCACGCACGTATTTAATTCGTTACTGTGCACGTACACATCTGTATCGTGGTCTCCACTATCAGTACCCCAAACGTGATGATACAATTCGAGGATTAATTTGCCGGATTCAACTAAAGCATTAAGGAGACAATCCAGGGTAAATCGAAGCCAATTAGTGCAATGAATCATGTGTGCAAAAGACCATTCATGTAAGTCAGCCAAATGACGACTTACAGCCGATATCGGCATTCGCGTAAGTCGTCACAAATTCTCTGGTCCTGAGAGTGCCGGTTTAGCTGGAGTTTACTGTATTTCATTTTCAATTTTAATTAATGTGAGTTCATTTGGGAAACTTTAACAACAAATTTTTGATTTTGAAAATTTCTGGGACCTGAAACGTGGAAACTTAAAATATCTTTAAGTCCATCAGATTTTGTTAGAATTTGATATTCTGTACCTCATTGGAAATCAATGTCCTTTCCAATAAGCCAAAAGTAACAGCTTTGGGTTTTGCCCTTAGATCTCCCAAAAATGCAAAGTTCTTCTTACAAGACGTTGATCTATTTCTTTTTTCACTAAACCCTCTTTTTCCTTGACCCCTAAGGTGGTGAGTCTGCTTGGGTCCAGCCATTCAAGGATGAATTTAAGTCGACCCTATCACATACGGGCCGCGGTGTGCTCAGTATGGCAAACTCTGGACCAAACACCAACAAATCACAGTTGTAAGTCGGTTATTTAATAATAATCGTAGTGCTTATGTAGCACTTTCCATCTCCAAATGTTTTACAATTATTCACCTGTTCATTGGTCCATGAGACCACGCGGCAGCCGATATCAGCTCTCAATCGGTCTTCGACCCTCACAGGAACCCATTAATACTCCTGGGTGGAAAGAGGCAATTGTAGTTAAGTGTCTTACCAGGGTTCGAAATTAGCGGTAGCCGGCTAGCCAAATGCTAGTCAAAACAGCAGCGGGCTAGTCAAACTATTCCTCAAGTAGCCCGGTTGGTGAGTCAAAACTTTATTGGAATATGGCAAAGATGAAAGGACATGAAGAAATAAATCATGAAATTCAGAAAGCAAACCTATATCAATTTGTGTATAATTTGTGTTAACTGTTTAGGGTTATATTATTAGATCTGTTTATTAAAAACTATTAAGACAACATTGCCTCATGATACATGTTTACATGTATTCACTTTTTTGTTTACAAGACACTGTATAAAAGAAAAACATGCGGGCTAGTGAAAATGCCCGCAGGCTAGTTAAGAGTCTGTTTCAGTAGCCCAGCTGGCTAGTGAAAAAAAAGTTAAGGTCGAACCCTTTCCAAGGGCACAAACACCATGTTCCTGGCAGGATTTGAACCCACGCGTGAGTCAAACACCGTAACCACTGGACCATGGTGCTCTACTATTTAAGGCCTTTTCACACCATCCAAAATCTTGGTGTTGACCAAGGTCAAACCCCGAGATTTCAGGAAACCTTTTTCACACTAGCAAGAACCCAGCACGGCTTCTACTCGAGTCCAGCGCTCTATACGGGTGAAATCTAACCCTGGTCAGGACCTGGGTTGAGAGATTGTACCTCGGTAGAAAGTCCAAAATCTACAGCCAACCTGTGTACAAAACCATGAGTGTGAACGTTATACCTTGTCTACCTGCGTTTTTTTCAGACACGGTTCTGGTCAAAGTGGGCCCATGTTGATTTGAGCACAAGTTGGAGAGGTGATAGTCTGAAAAAAATGTTTTGATTTCAATAAACATTTCTTCAAAATAGTCTTGCTTTTCAAGCTTTGGGCTGGGTTTTTTGGGGTTGGATTTCATAGCTGCCAACTTTAACAAATTGTTGTAATTATTACGAATTTCTTGTTAAATTACAAGATATTTGGCCCTAAATGTGTGTAAAAACATACGAACTCAAAACTCAACATCGATAGCATGCATCTCAGAAAAATATGCGCATGTTATTATTGTTATTATTTGACAGTAAAACAAAATTAATTAAAACAAAATTAATTAAGCTTTTTATAATTTTTTGTTTTGTTTTTTAATTATTCTATGGCCTACAGTACATTATTAATCACAACAAGGAGGGTATGCATGTGTGTAAACCATGTACCTATACGTGATGTTGGTAAAGCTGGTACAGATACTGTTAATGTATGCGCAGTTGAAAATGACCACGCGAGTTGCATGATTACTAATTTCGATTTTGAAAGTTGACAGCTATGGGATTCAATTTCAAAGAATGCACTTTGTTACAATTGCTTAATTTTGGTTGCAAATTTTAATTGAATAATTGTATAAACAGCCCTGAATTTTCTCAAAACTTTTTAAAGGTTTTGGGGCTGTACGTTCAACTACCCTAACTTTTCATAGAGAAGGCTGACCCGATTTTGAAGTACAAAGTACCAAGAATGTGTCAATGGATGACTTCTCAGTGTTAGTTGTTGGATGTTTGATGTTGAAAACATCAAACATCAGAAAGGTTCATTGCAATAATACTCACAATTTGATGATTTTTTTTTTTAATTAACTTGTCGTTTGTGCAGCTTCATCACGTATCGGTCTTGCAAGCATTTGGACAAGAAGCACACAATTTTCGGCAGGTAAGTTGAATTGAAATGAGTTGTTTTGGGGGACTCAAAATGGGTCCATACACTGCTTTAGGAACATCAGGGGTGTGAAATCTCAGCTTTAAAGCTGATTTCAGCTTTTTTTGTGGTGGATTTCAGCTTTTTTCAGCTTTTTCCCTCAGTTGTTGTGCACAAAAGTATAGGAGATTTCCAAAGTTCAGCTTTTTTGCACTTTTCCAGCTGTTTTCAGCTATTTTTTTTCAGTGGTCACTCACACCCTTGAACATGAAATGTGATTATTTATTATTATAAATTAATTATTTCCGGTAATGAAACCAAGGAATCCTCCAAAGCGCCCTAGGCACTGTAGCTTGAAAGCCGGATCTGTAGAAGGAAGACAATGAGAAAAAAAATTAGAGATGAGAGAAAAATGTTGAAGAATAGTCTTGAGAAAACCCAGGGAATCAGGAAGAGAATAAACCCAATTCATATGTGGACCGGGGCAGGAATCGAACCCGGGACCATGACCATAGAGGTGGGAGGCGAGGCCCACTTCGCCAACCTGACTCCTGACAATATGAGACCAAAGTATTGAGTTTGATATACCTAAGATTATCAACGGTATTACTAAGAATATTGACGTTAACCCCATGGTCGTCTGCGATGGGGTCACGGATGACCAAGGTTCTCCTACGAATAAAGCATACATATTCGTAGTACAACCTTAGCAGAATCCTAGCATATCTGGGCATATCCGTAGGACATTCGTAGCGAATTCGTAGAGATTTCTACCACGAATGAGCTACGAATCTCCAAGAATATGCACGAATAGCCACGAATATTATTTCGTAGAAGTACGGTTGTCCTACGGATGTCCCACAGTTGCACTACAGATTGATTTTCATGATGATTCACCACGGAAGTTTTGACCCATTTCACACTTCCGTAGCCCATCCACGAATACCCAAGGAAGATGAGGGATAACCACGGATGTACTAAGGATGATTACGGTACTCCCACGGTTTATCACGAATTTTAAACCGTGGATATCCGTAGCTCCAAACCGTGAATGTGTGACTGGGGCTTTAGTTGTGCAAACTTCAAGCCATTTGAGCAGAAACCAGTATGCACATGCAGTGTGTCCCGTCCACATGGGCGCTTGAAAGAGGTCACGAAGCGCCATCTAGTGTTCGTGCTCGGATTTCATCATGAATCTCTGTCTCATTTCCATTTATTCAGGGTAGTTGGAGGTATGGACACCCTAGCTAACATGGAGAGAATCGAGACAGACAAGAAGGATCGACCCAAGGAAACAATCACCCTTGAGGATGTCATCATCTTTGTCAATCCATTCGATGAAGTCGACGAAGAGGTAAAACAAATTATCTGAATGTTAACCCGCTTCAACTTCACTGTAGGTTCTTGGTTGGTTCTTCTCCTAAATACTCCGAGTTTTAACAGGAGGCCAGAAACACGGGGGCAAACCCTTTCTCTTAGCGACAAGTCTCTAATTACTGGGTTCTTTTACGTGCATTACATCACTCAACACACGGGACCTACAGCTTTACGTCCCATCCGAAGGACGAAGCAATAATGGTTAAGTGCCTTGCTTAAGGGCACAAGTGTCCAGACCCGGGCTGAACCCACATTGCTGCCCCTGAAACACCAGCGCATGAGTCCGGTGCGGTGCTTAATCGCTAGGCCATGACACTTCGTAAATACACTGACCTTTATCCCATAAAATCCAATATCTCCTGTATCCAATAAAATACATCAATAGCGTAGGGTCATTCTATAAATTTGGGGTCCCCATTTTTTCCTGTCCCTGTAACATCTGACATGTATGAGTTTATCATGCTGATGCACTTCTTAATGCAGTCATCCCCCAAGAGTGATTATGAATAGCTTACTACCTAGCCAAAAAATACAAACAATTGGAAGTCATTCATAACCCTTACTCCGTAGGCCTTTTTGTTAGGATGTAGCCTCAATCCTGCAAAATCCTCCAATTAGCCTCATGGAAAAAATATTTCTTGAATATGGTCTGAGTAGGGGTGACCACTGCCTGAATCCTGCAGCAAAATCCTGCAGCAGTGACTGTCAATATGTTGAGGCCTGGCCAGTGACATCCTGGAGCAGTACGGAGGATTTCAAGCATAATCCAGGCCTATGTTTATGCATGACTGAGCAAAAACAACACAAGGCCCGGCCCAAGACCTTGACAAAGTGCATCCTATGAAATCAGTAATGCACTTTTGCCATGTAACCTCAATGCTCCAAATTCCTCCACTTTGGCAAAGAGGATTTTGAAGGATTCAGGGCGGTTAGGGTGGTTAGGGTTAAAGATACTTAATTCGAAATTTACAAACTTTTGACAGTTGGGGAAAATGGCTTACTTTGCACCCTAAATTTATAGAATGGCGCATACTTCACAGCCTGCTGGATCCAACGCAACCCAACAACAACAAAGTGTGATACCTGCTGTGTCCAACAGACTCACATAACAGCAAAGTGTATGGTTTGCTGAATCCTACAGCACCCATAGATCGATACTAAATCAACAAAATCCCAAAGTCGTCGCAAGCATTTAGACATTATTGAGTTCAGCAACATTGGGTTAGTTACCAAAAGTTACACGTACAGTACGTTCACGTGAATTACTAGGCAGTACTCATCAAATCTTACATTTCATCTTCGTTTCATCTTTTTTTTCTGCTACCCAGCTTGCCAACGAAAGGAGGAAGAAACAAGAAGAACTCGAGTCCAAGAAAGATGGCCGACCCAAAACTGTCGGCGTGCTTCCTACTTCGGAAGAGAGACCGGCGACGTACAGAAAAGGTGTTGGGAAATACATCCCCTCGACTGTCACATCACCCCCTGAAGAAAAGAGGTACATATGAATAGTCGTATTGTGCTCAATCGTTTAAAGACAACCAAACAAAGAATGTATCATTTGAATAAAGGACTAAAATGTTTAGAAAGAAAGATTATAACACCTTGTGAAACCATTGTTAGATAACAATGGTTTCACAAGGTGTTATAATTTTTTGTTTCTCCATAGTCCGATTTTTCATCCTTGTTAGATAACAAGGATGAAAAATCGGACTATGGAGAAACAAAAAATCGCATTTGAAAATATATGACTGTTTTGCTTTTATTTGATAGGTTTTTTATACACAGGTGTGCCTTGACAAAAATAATAACATTTGTTGTTTTTTTTATCATCCAGCACAACCAAGCGATCAGCTGAGACAGCTGTCACATCAGACACAAGTTCGTCCAAGAAGAAATCCAAGTCATCTTCCAAATTAACGGACTTCAGTGCCTGGTAGCGGATGGCTGATGCTAGGACCTTGTCCATGTGTAACATACCTGTAGAAAGTCTGGATGCTAGGATTAACCCTGAAAATACATTTGGGACGAAAGAACTTATAAATAAACTTGCCATTAAGGGGGGGTTGCGAGAGGGATGAAGGGGGGGGGGGGGGGGGAGGTTGTCACCTCCCCGTTGCTATTCCTTTTTGTTGGCAAAATCATTAACCTGTTCTCAAAATGGCGTGTCTGTAGGCATATAGTGGCACCTATTGTCTGACAGTGTCCAGTCTAATCCACTTTAAATAGCACCCCGTTAGTCAGATGATGCCCCGCCCCCCCTTACTTTTCAATTTTGTGATTGACAGGTTACCTCTGCTGGGCTCCTAGTGGTGGAGTGGTCTGTTCGCAATCTTGATTTTTACGCCCCCCCCCCCCCCCCCCCATTGAATTTCTTTTTCATTTTCACTATTTATTTGTAGATTTTTTAATATATTTTTTTAATCCCTTATTCTTATTTCCAATTGGAGACCAACTTTTTATCACTGCATTGAAACTGGTAATGACATTTTAGAGAAAGACAAATGTAATTCCTTTGCAACAAAATAGAACATTCAGTGTGGGTTAATTTCAATTAATTAATTAAAGCAAATTGAAGTCAATTTAAAACTGAAATTGTCTCGAAGGTTGAATAACTCAGTTCAGGAGACATGTTTCAATCTTACTAAAGACGATACATTTCCACTGTAAAGACAGTGATTCATTTGACGCAAAAAACTTCTTAACTTTTGTCCTCTGAAAAATAATCATTTAAAAGACAAAAACATTTTATTCTACGTCTGAATATAAAAATGTGTAAATGCTTACTGGAAATCTGTCAATAAAATGTCGAGGGCTATGGAATGCCTTTGTGAGTTCGTTTTTAAAGATTTCATTTCCAAATTAAAAAAAATTCCAAATTCCAAATTGAAAGCAAGGGTTATTGTTTTTATTGTAAATACTTGCGATGTGTAAATACCAGTGTTGGAGCAAAGACTTTAACCCTTGGCCAAGTCCAAGGCCAAGGCTTTGACCCTCAAGGCCAAGGCTTTGACCCTCAAGGCCAAGTCCAAGGCCAAGGCTTTGACCCTCAAGGCCAAGCCCGAGGCCAAGGCTTTGACCCTCAAGGCCAAGGCTTTGACCCTCAAGGCCAAGCCCAAGGCCAAGGCTTTGACCCTCGAGGCCAAGTCCAAGGCCAAGGCTTTGACCCCCGAGCCTTAAGGATAAGGCCAAGGCTTAACCCTCAAGGCCAAGGCCCTGTTTTATAAAATGACCACTAATATCGAACTAGTTATAGTCACATGACACATCATTATGAATCACTTATTAAGAACAGCTGGTCTATAATTGCAATCAAAATGCTCACATACAATGTTTTATGACTGCATCGTATCTATTAAATTACAAGTTCAGGTCTTCATGAATATGGCTCAACTAAAACAACAAAATGATTTACTTCTATATTGACGCACAATTCTCCCGAGTGTAACAAAAGGGGGATACAAAAAACTGATTTGGGGAATTTTTATTTGCTGGGCCAACATGGTCAGAAATAGTAGCATTACCTAAAACAGATACATTAACATGCAAATCTCCTTGCATTTTGCTCTGTATAATATGTTTACACGGCATTGTAACATTTTATTGTGTGGAAATGGCAACATTGAAATAAATGTTTCGACTACTACTACTACTTATCAGGGAGACATATTCAACCAATCAGATTGATCATCAAATGTGCTACAATGGTAACAAAATGTGATGCTATAAATGTGAAAGTGTGCCCAACACACAAATCTATAGGGTATTTCCCTCCTCCATGTTAACACGATTAAAATGGTAACAGCAAAACTTTAAACAGATTTATCTGGAAAATGCAAAAATCTATGGGCCTTGAAGAGCGTTGACTCAAAATTGCAATGCACCGATCCCTCAAGGCCAAGGCTTTTGCTTTTAAGCCTCAAGGCCAAGGCCCTAAAGTCCAGCCTTAAGGCAGCCTTAAGGCCAAGGCCCAGCATCACTGGTAAATACAATATGTACGTGTGTAAAATGTGAATCAGCCGTTTGATTGACAAAGGATTGAGCATTTTCAAGTCATTCCTTTCCATTAAGAATTTCCTCTTTAATTATATGAAAAAAAAAACAAACGTGTGAAAAACCATCATTCTTGATTTCGAAGAGGTGACATAAAACAAGAAGTTGACAAAAATATACTGATGAGGTCGGTTACATTTGAACAATGGTGATATACAGCTTTTCATGGCTCATACATTAATTATTAACCAAATGAATTTACTTTTTGCACGGAACGGAAACCAAAAAGATCATTGTCATGAAACGTTGAAATTGTGCTCCCGCTCCCGTCATACGTAAACAAAAGGAAATATATACACGCAAAATATACAGAGCTAATTGATCCAGATTATTCGTAGATCTCTCCAAAGAATGAAATGATCAGAACTATCAAGTTGGGGAAAAAAAGAAATCGGCCGTTACGTGTGCCTTCTAAAAAAATTTGCACGTGTATTGCTCTGAAAAGCACCATAGATTGTCTGTTATTGCGCATAATTATCGATTTTGAACCCCCCCCCCACTATTCGAGTTTACGGAGGCCATTTCAGCATGGATGTGTAGTGCCCTTTTCAAGAACACCCCCCCCCCCCCCCCCGTCAAAATGACCTTGCTACACCCCTGCATCTTTGTGGATTTCAGGCTACCAGAGGGGGCATGATTGCCGAAGCCGATTACATCCTCTTAAAGATCTTGACAGAGTGGCTGTCTGCGACAACGACGTCACCAGCGGGGGTAAATGCCATTTCAGAAGGATTGTACAACCCTTGAACAACTGTTGCGATGAATGCACCATTCGAGTCGTAATGTTGCACTTCACCGTCTCCGAACTCACCAGACTCAGAGTGAACGGCGACATAGATGCTCCCATCATCATCGCACAGGACACCAGTCGGTCTCCCTGGTTTCCCTTTCAATAATGGCATCACTTTGAACACCTCATTACCCTTAAAGTCAACGCACAGCAACCTCTTCTCTACGTAGTTTGTGAAAATTAACTGCTCTTTGTTGCTCATTGCTATGTAATACCGAACCATGATGTTTGACGTGCTTGCAATCAACGATCCATCCAGGTTGTGGACACTGATGACTTTTCTCCCAAAGTCAGCCACTGCTACTCGTTGCTTGTCCACGGCTATACAACGGAGATCACTCTCTGATAGCCCCTCTGCATCGTCACCCGAAGGTGCAAACTCACGAACAAACTGTATCTCGTCATTGAAAACCTTCACTTTATCTTCGTCCGTGGCAAAAAGCAGATCATCACAGTTCACTGCCACGCTCCAAGGATCTTCCAATGCATGACATTCGGCTCCTTGGGCAATCGATGTTTTGAACTGCCCAGTGGAGGTAAACAACGATACCTGTTTCAAGACTGTGTCACATACTACGATGTCACCGTTGCTGAAACATGTGACGCCCCTTGCAAACTGAAATTCCCCGTCACCAGTGCCTTTCTTGCCGAAGTCTTCCTTCAACCGCCATTTCTCTTCAAGCAATATTTCCCCCAGATCCGAGTCACTGACGATATCTTGACATTTAACTCCGATGAACGCCATGTCCAGCTTTGCCGGTTCACACTTGAGCTCCTTCTGGAATTCCAAGTTGTGCATCACCTTCGGCTTGAGCTCCAAAAGCTCGAAATCATCGGCTTGTCTCATCAAGTCATTTACTGCCGTGACAATCTGATCTGCGCGTTCCACCTGGTCACAGTTGTGCATGAGCGCCTTTTCGTACTCTCTGTCTCTCTCCTGACCTATTTCGTCAAACTTTTCGGTGAGAAACTTTGCTTTGCTTCTGATTTTTGCAATTTCTGCCTCCGCTTTTAAAGAAATATCACAACGACCCTGAGCCAGTTTCCTTTGTAATCTATCTCGTGCATGTTTGATCGAGTCTGCGTTCGATTCAAACTGCTCTGTGATTTTCTTAAACTTTTGCAATATGCCGTTGACACTCTCACGGAATGATTCCATGGCGTCAGAGATTGTTGTGTACTTGTGATCTGATGACCGGTGCTCGGTTGCAGCACACATTGCGCAAATCAATTGATTACAGGTTTCACAGTGAAAACACAACGGCTGTTCAATGTGCTCCCGACATGTTGGTGTGACGGTCTTGGTCACATTGGTCGGTATACTCCTCGATTTGACAAGATCCTGCATTGGAACGATGCGATGGTGTTTGGTGTATTTAAGATGTTGGTGTGCCTCTTTGCATTTCTTGCAGATGTTCGCCTTGCAATCGAGGCATCTCGATATAGCCTCGAAACCTTCTTCACATTCTTCGCATCTTTGAGAAGGTCCAGATGCCTCGCCAAGCACCTGTTCGTGCTGGTTAAATTCATCAACGAGAGACCTTAAAACGAAAGAGTTAGAAAGACCCTTCAATCCTCCATCAGGAACTTGCGTCTCTCTCCTGCAGACTGGACATGTTATCTTCTCTGCCTCTGACTTCTGTTTGCTCATCATCTCTTCCAGACAGTTCAGGCAGAAGCTGTGCAGACAGTCAAGTATCTTGGGATCCTTGAATCGACAGCAACAGATCGGACATTCTAGATGCCCCTGGCTGATCTTGTCCAACACGGTTTGGGCTGCAGCTTCCGCCATTATCTGAAAATAGCTCCTAAAACACAACCAAACGTTTAAAACACGATTTATCAATTTATTCCGATTAAATAAAGTCATCCATCCAGTCCTATGATCCGTGGCGTCGCCATGGTTAAGGGAAAAACGTTTCAGTTAAAAATCTGTTAGAAACGGCAGTATTTGGCCTTGAAACTTTAACCCCATAGGCCCTCTACTAACTTAACCTCGACGTTCGCCATTTTGTTGGTGTACGCGTCTTTACCACAGAAAACCAAAAGCTTGTTACCTTTGATAAATAGCTTATAATGTCACCTACCTTTAATAGTTCAAAACTTTAGAAACTTCACAATTCTCCTTGATAGTAATAACCTGTAATTCAGACGAAATTTGAGGGTTTTCTACTACAATATAGATGTACATGTATATCAAGCAACAACAGGAACTGCGAGCCACAATGTCAACCAACACAATGCTCTCTGCGCAGTCAAAGTCATGAATGAACTACAGCAAAATACGTCAGAACGTTCACTGTACGATTCACGTATGCAGCAAGGTAGTACATGTACATGTATTGCTCGCAAACGGAAAAACCAAAACTATTTTTAGAGCACCATTGCAATGGCCGAGAGAGTCATGCAGAACACAAATACAATCGAGTGGAAGCCGGTTCAAAGTTGAATTTTGGAAGTAGGCCTACAACGACTGTAGTAAAACATGGCCAATGCTGATTTACTGATGTCACTATACTAGTTAATACACGATTCACCACGTTTGGTTATAAGTGGATCATTGAATAAAATATCGGTTGCTGAATTGATAAAGTATCTGGAGACATGCAATTCCAGTGGATATCCATTCTAAACCCAATCGAATAGACGTGTGTACGCTCTGGGACCAGCTTTACTAGGCTCGCTTATCTTTTTAAAGCTCTGGCAGGAACTTCTAAATGTCGCTAGGTGGTCGGTCGGCCGGCCGTCGGTCGGTCGGTCGGTCTGTGTGTCTGTGTCTGTCCCCAAAAATAATTGACTAAAAATAATTGACTATTGACCAAATGCCATGGTGGTAAACAGTTGTTGCACCTGAAAACTAAATTAATAGGGCCTCCGTACGTCCCCTCTGACTTCACCTAAAAGTCAATGTAGAGAAATCAGTACAGTGTTTGCAACAATGGAATAACATCCAGATCATTCATAAAAATGGCGTTCTTTTTCTCATTCTGTTATAATACACATGTGACTTTCAATTTGCTGTACGGTTGTCTGAACATTGTGATGTAAAGCAATTAACAGAGATCTAGCTTATAACATTGAACAGATTTTGCGATGTACATGTATCAACAAATATTGTAACGTATTTGCTTGTAATAATTTGTAAGTTTCGTGATCAAATGAAATAAGTTTTAGTCGGTAGAATGAAGGGCCAACTTGGCTGAAGTAGAAAGTGAAAAAACATTATGCTAAATGTAAAAAGCTTGATACACCATATTTACATATACATTAATATTACCGTGCCTTCTTGTTCAATGTACATGTACACATTTGATCGAAACTTTCAATTTCAATTTCCTAAAGCCATTAAAGCAATGTTTCCGTTTAATATATGTGTAAGGATCAGCAAAATAGCCTGTGATTAACATGGGCGTCACCAGGATTTTTTTCTAGAGGGGGGCAAAACACGTCCCCCCCCCCCCCAAATCACTGTACTTTTCCAGCATATTCTCGATTTATCATTTTTCGAGGGTGAGCAGGGACATTTGGCCCCCAACTCATGAAATTAACAGCAATGTGACTTCGCGCCGCTTTTTCTTTCTTTTTTATTCCTTTTTTTTAAACATTTTTGTTGTGCTTTTCCGGGGGGCAAGCCCCCTTCCCCTTACCCCTCGCGATGCCCATGGCGATTAACATTAATGCAGTCGTCCTACAAGAGTGATTATGAATAGCAAACTACCTAGCCAACAAATACAAACAATTGGAAGTCATTCGTAACCCTTACTCCGTAGGCCTTTTTGTTAGGATGTAGCCTCAATCCTGCAAAATCCTCCGTTTAGCCTCATGGAAAAATTATTTCTTGAATATGGTCTGTGTAGGGGTGACCACTGCCTGAATTCTGCAAAATCCTTCAGCAGCGACTGTCAATATGTTGAGGCCTGGCCAGTGACATCCTGGAGCAGTACGGAGGATTTCAAGCATAATCCAGGCCTATATTTATGCCTGACTGAGCAAAAACATCACAAGGCCCTGCCCAAGACCTTGACAAAGTGCATCCTATGAAATCAGTAATGCACTTTTGCCATGTAACCTCAATGCTCCAAATTCCTCCACTTTGGCAAAGAGGATTTTGAAGGATTCAGGGCGGTTAGGGTGGTTAGGGTTAAAGATACTTAATTCGAAATTTACAAACTTTTGACAGTTGGGGAAAATGGCTTACTTTGCACCCTAAATTTATAGAATGGCGCATACTTCACAGCCTGCTGGATCCAACGCAACCCAACAACAACAAAATGTGATGCCTGCTGTGTCCAACAGACTCACATAACAGCAAAGTGTATGGTTTGCTGAATCCTACAGCACCCATAGATCGATACTAAATCAACAAAATCCCAAAGTCATCGCAAGCATTTAGACATTATTGAGTTCAGCAACATTGGGTTAGTTACCTAAAGTTACACGTACAGTACGTTCACGTGAATTACTAGGCAGTACTCATCAAATCTTACATTTCATCTTCTGTTCATCTTATTTTTCTGCTACCCAGCTTGCCAACGAAAGGAGGAAGAAACAAGAAGAACTCGAGTCCAAGAAAGATGGCCGACCCAAAACTGTCGGCGTGCTTCCTACTTCGGAAGAGAGACCGGCGACGTACAGAAAAGGTGTTGGGAAATACATCCCCTCAACTGTCACATCACCCCCTGAAGAAAAGAGGTACACGTGAATAGTTGTATTGTGCTCAATCGTTTAAAGAAAACCAAACAAAGAATGTATCATTGGATTAGGCCAAAAAAAAAAAAAGTCGGTCTCTGGTCAGCGCGCGCGTCGATTTTAATCATGCGCATCAATCTTTTTTTTTCCAAAATGTTCCGCGGTAGCTCCAACAGAGCCCTCTATTGCCGCACCTCCTCAATTTTTTTTACCAAAGAGCACCAAGGAATGGGAAATTGCACCAAGGCAAATGATCGAGAGCACCAAGGCAAATTATGGAGGGCAACAATGTACATGAGGACACCAAAAAAGCAAAATAGTACCCCACTTTGTCTGTACAATCCAAGCTTGAAGAAGAAAAAAAAAAAGCCGCGTCGCCGCGTCAATTCTGGAACTTTGGTCTGACCAGCGACCGAATATTTTTTTTTTGGCCTTAAAGGACTAAAATGTTTAGAAAGAAAGATTATAACACCTTGTGAAACCATTGTTATCTAACAAAAATGAAACATCGGATTATAGAGAAACAAAAATTGCATTTGAAAAAATATGACTGTTTTGCTTTTATTTGATCGGTTTTTTATACACAGGTGTGTCTTGACAAAAATAATAACATTTTTTATTTTTTTTTTATTTTATCATCCAGCACAACCAAGCGACCAGCTGAGACATCGGTCACATCAGACGCAAGTTCGTCCAAGAAGAAATCCAAGTCATCTTCCAAATTAACAGACTTCAGTGCCTGGTAGCGGATGGCTGATACTAGGACCTTGTCCATGTGTAACATACCTGTACAAAGTCTGGATGCTAGGATTAACCCTGAAAATACATTTGGGACGAAAGAACTTACAAATAGACTTGCCATTAAGGGGGGGGGGGGGTTGCGAGAGGGATGAAAGGGGGGGTGTCACCTCACCGTTGCTGTTCCTTTTTGTTGGCAAAATCATTATCCTATCCTCAAAATGGCGCTTCACAATTATTACCTCTGTTCATCAGGCCTTGAGACCAGTTTCTGCAGCAGCTCGAGATCAGCGCATTCTAGTCTCTACCTTCACAGGTACCCACTTATACCCCTGGGTGGAGAAAGGCAATTGTAGTAAAATGGCTTGCCCAAGAACACAAGCACCTTGTACCCGTCAGAGTTTGAGCCCATGTACCACAGCAGGCGAGTCGAACACCGTAACCACTTGACCACAGCGCTCTAGTGGTGGAGTGGTCTGTCCGCAATCTTGTTTTTGAGGCCCCCCCCCCCCCCCATTTATATTGGACTGGCAACACCCATGTCACCATTTGTTTTCCAAACTTGAATTTCCTTTTCATTTTCACTATTTATTTGTAGATTTTTTAAATATATTTTTTAAATTCTTTATTTTCATTTGGCTGGCGAATGGGGGGATGTCTTAATTATTTTTTTTTTGCATTGGAGACCAACTTTTTATCACTCTTAAAGTTCACTGCATTGAAACTGGTAATGAAATTTTAGAGAAAGACAAATGTAATTCCTTTGCAACAAAATAGAACATTCAGTGTGGGTTAATTTTAAGTAATTAACAAAGCAAATTGAAGTGAGTTTAAAACTGAAATTGTCTCGAAGGTTGAATAACTCAGTTTAGGAAACATGTTTCAATCCTACTAAAGATGATACATTTCCACTGTATAGACAGTGATTCATTTGAGGCAAAAACTCCTTAACTTTTGTCCTCAGAAAAATAATCATTTAAAAGACAAAAACATATTTTTCTACGTCTGAATATAAAAATGTGTAAATGCTTACTGGAAATCTGTCAATAAAATGTCGAGGGCTATGGAATGCCTTTGTGAGTTCGTTTTTAAAGATTTCATTTCCAAATTAAAAAAAATTCCAAATTCCAAATTGAAAGCAAGGGTTATTGTTTTTATTGTAAATATTTGCGATGTGTAAATACCAGTGTTGGAGCAAAGACTTTAACCCTTGGCCAAGTCCAAGGCCAAGGCTTTGACCCTCAAGGCCAAGGCTTTGACCCTCAAGGCCAAGTCCAAGGCCAAGGCTTTGACCCTCAAGGCCAAGCCCGAGGCCAAGGCTTTGACCCTCAAGGCCAAGGCTTTGACCCTCAAGGCCAAGTCCAAGGCCAAGGCTTTGACCCTCAAGGCCAAGCCCAAGGCCAAGGCTTTGACCCTCGAGGCCAAGTCCAAGGCCAAGGCTTTGACCCTCGAGCCTTAAGGATAAGGCCAAGGCTTAACCCTCAAGGCCAAGGCCCTGTTTTATAAAATGACCACTAATATCGAACTAGTTATAGTCACATGACACATCATTATGAATCACTTATTAAGAACAGCTGGTCTATAATTGCAATCAAAATGCTCACATACAATGTTTTATGACTGCATCGTATCTATTAAATTACAAGTTCAGGTCTTCATGAATATGGCTCAACTAAAACAACAAAATGATTTACTTCTATATTGACGCACAATTCTCCCGAGTGTAACAAAAGGGGGATACAAAAAACTGATTTGGAGAATTTTTATTTGCTGGGCCAACATGGTCAGAAATAGTAGCATTACCTAAAACAGATACATTAACATGCAAATCTCCTTGCATTTTGCTCTGTATAATATGTTTACACGGCATTGTAACATTTTATTGTGTGGAAATGGCAACATTGAAATTAATGTTTCTACTACTACTACTACTTATCAGGGAGACATATTCAACCAATCAGATTGATCATCAAATGTGCTACAATGGTAACAAAATGTGATGCTATAAATGTGAAAGTGTGCCCAACACACAAATCTATAGGGTATTTCCCTCCTCCATGTTAACACGATTAAAATGGTAACAGCAAAACTTTAAACAGATTTATCTGGAAAATGCAAAAATCTATGGGCCTTGAAGAGCCTTGACTCAAAATTGCAATGCACCGATCCCTCAAGGCCAAGGCTTTTGCTTTTAAGCCTCAAGGCCAAGGCCCTAAAGTCCAGCCTTAAGGCAGCCTTAAGGCCAAGGCCCAGCATCACTGGTAAATACAATATGTACGTGTGTAAAATGTGAATCAGCCGTTTGATTGACAAAGGATTGAGCATTTTCAAGTCATTCCTTTCCATTAAGAATTTCCTCTTTAATTATATGAAAAAAAAAAAAACGTGTGAAAAACCATCATTCTTGATTTCGAAGAGGTAACATAAAACAAGAAGTTGACAAAAATATACTGATGAGGTCGGTTACATTTGAACAATGGTGATATACAGCTTTTCATGGCTCATACATTAATTATTAACCAAATGAATTTACTTTTTGCACGGAACGGAAACCAAAAAGATCATTGTCATGAAACGTTGAAATTGTGCTCCCGCTCCCGTCATACGTAAACAAAAGGAAATATATACACGCAAAATATACAGAGCTAATTGATCCAGATTATTCGTAGATCTCTCCAAAGAATGAAATGATCAGAACTATCAAGTTGGGGAAAAAAAGAAATCGGCCGTTACGTGTGCCTTCTAAAAAAATTTGCACGTGTATTGCTCTGAAAAGCACCATAGATTGTCTGTTATTGCGCATAATTATCGATTTTGAACCCCCCCCCCCACTATTCGAGTTTACGGAGGCCATTTCAGCATGGATGTGTAGTGCCCTTTTCAAGAACACCCCCCCCCGTCAAAATGACCTTGCTACACCCCTGCATCTTTGTGGATTTCAGGCTACCAGAGGGGGCATGATTGCCGAAGCCGATTACATCCTCTTAAAGATCTTGACAGAGTGGCTGTCTGCGACAACGACGTCACCAGCGGGGGTAAATGCCATTTCAGAAGGATTGTACAACCCTTGAACAACTGTTGCGATGAATGCACCATTCGAGTCGTAATGTTGCACTTCACCGTCTCCGAACTCACCAGACTCAGAGTGAACGGCGACATAGATGCTCCCATCATCATCGCACAGGACACCAGTCGGTCTCCCTGGTTTCCCTTTCAATAATGGCATCACTTTGAACACCTCATTACCCTTAAAGTCAACGCACAGCAACCTCTTCTCTACGTAGTTTGTGAAAGTTAACTGCTCTTTGTTGCTCATTGCTATGTAATACCGAACCATGATGTTTGACGTGCTTGCAATCAACGATCCATCCAGGTTGTGGACACTGATGACTTTTCTCCCAAAGTCAGCCACTGCTACTCGTTGCTTGTCCACGGCTATACAACGGAGATCACTCTCTGATAGCCCCTCTGCATCGTCACCCGAAGGTGCAAACTCACGAACAAACTGTATCTCGTCATTGAAAACCTTCACTTTATCTTCGTCCGTGGCAAAAAGCAGATCATCACAGTTCACTGCCACGCTCCAAGGATCTTCCAATGCATGACATTCGGCTCCTTGGGCAATCGATGTTTTGAACTGCCCAGTGGAGGTAAACAACGATACCTGTTTCAAGACTGTGTCACATACTACGATGTCACCGTTGCTGAAACATGTGACGCCCCTTGCAAACTGAAATTCCCCGTCACCAGTGCCTTTCTTGCCGAAGTCTTCCTTCAACCGCCATTTCTCTTCAAGCAATATTTCCCCCAGATCCGAGTCACTGACGATATCTTGACATTTAACTCCGATGAACGCCATGTCCAGCTTTGCCGGTTCACACTTGAGCTCCTTCTGGAATTCCAAGTTGTGCATCACCTTCGGCTTGAGCTCCAAAAGCTCGAAATCATCGGCTTGTCTCATCAAGTCATTTACTGCCGTGACAATCTGATCTGCGCGTTCCACCTGGTCACAGTTGTGCATGAGCGCCTTTTCGTACTCTCTGTCTCTCTCCTGACCTATTTCGTCAAACTTTTCGGTGAAAAACTTTGCTTTGCTTCTGATTTTTGCAATTTCTGCCTCCGCTTTTAAAGAAATATCACAACGACCCTGAGCCAGTTTCCTTTGTAATCTATCTCGTGCATGTTTGATCGAGTCTGCGTTCGATTCAAACTGCTCTTTGATTTTCTTAAACTTTTGCAATATGCCGTTGACACTCTCACGGAATGATTCCATGGCGTCAGAGATTGTTGTGTACTTGTGATCTGATGACCGGTGCTCGGTTGCAGCACACATTGCGCAAATCAATTGATTACAGGTTTCACAGTGAAAACACAACGGCTGTTCAATGTGCTCCCGACATGTTGGTGTGACGGTCTTGGTCACATTCGTCGGTATACTCCTCGATTTGACAAGATCCTGCATTGGAACGATGCGATGGTGTTTGGTGTATTTAAGATGTTGGTGTGCCTCTTTGCATTTCTTGCAGATGTTCGCCTTGCAATCGAGGCATCTCGATATAGCCTCGAAACCTTCTTCACATTCTTCGCATCTTTGAGAAGGTCCAGATGCCTCGCCAAGCACCTGTTCGTGCTGGTTAAATTCATCAACGAGAGACCTTAAAACGAAAGAGTTAGAAAGACCCTTCAATCCTCCATCAGGAACTTGCGTCTCTCTCCTGCAGACTGGACATGTTATCTTCTCTGCCTCTGACTTCTGTTTGCTGATCATCTCTTCCAGACAGTTCAGGCAGAAGCTGTGCAGACAGTCAAGTATCTTGGGATCCTTGAATCGACAGCAACAGATCGGACATTCTAGATGCCCCTGGCTGATCTTGTCCAACACGGTTTGGGCTGCAGCTTCCGCCATTATCTGAAAATAGCTCCTAAAACACAACCAAACGTTTAAAACACGATTTATCAATTTATTCCGATTAAATAAAGTCATCAATCCAGGCCTATGATCCGTGGCGTCGCCACGGTTAAGGGAAAAACGTTTCAGTTAAAAATCTGTTAGAAACGGCAGTATTTGGCCTTGAAACTTTAACCCTAGGCCCCCTACTAACTTAACCTCGACGTTCGCCATTTTGTTGGTGTACGCGTCTTTACCACAGAAAACCAAAAGCTTGTTACCTTTGATAAATAGCTTATAATGTCACCTACCTTTAATAGTTCAAAACTTTAGAAACTTCACAATTCTCCTTGATAGTAATAACCTGTAATTCAGACGAAATTTGAGGGTTTTTCTACTACAATATACATGTATATCAAGCAACAACCATGACAACAGGAACTGCGAGCCACAATGTCAACCAACACAATGTCAATGCTCTCTGCGCAGTCGAAGTCATGAACTTCAGTAAAATACGTCAGAACATTCACTGTACGATTCACGTATGCAGCAAGGTAGTACATGTATTGCTCGCAAACGGAAAAACCAAAACTATTTTTAGAGCACCATTGCAATGGCCGAGAGAGTCATGCAGAACACAAATACAATCGAGTGGAAGCCGGTTCAAAGTTGAATTTTGGATGTAGGCCTACAACGACTGTAGTAAAACATGGCCAACTGATGGATTTACTGATGTCACTCATTATACTAGTTAATACACGATGCACCACGTTTGGTTAGGTGGATCATTGAATAAAATATCGGTTGCTGAATTAATAAAGTATCTGGAGACATGCAATTCCAGTGGATATCCATTCTAAACCAATCGAATAGACTTGTGTACGCTCTGGGATCAGCTTTACTAGGCTCGCTTATCTTTTAAAGCTCTGGCAGGAACTTCTAAATGTCGCTAGGTGGTCGGTCGGCCGGCCGTCGGTCGGTCGGTCGGTCTGTGTGTCTGTGTCTGTCCCCAAAAATAATTGACTAAAAATAATTGACTATTGACCAATGCCATGCCGGTGGTAAACAGTTGTTGCACCTGAAAACTAAATTAATAGGGCCTCCGTACGTCCCCCCTGACTTCACCTAAAAGTCAATGTAGAGAAATCAGTACAGTGTTTGCAACAATGGAATAACATCCAGATCATTCATAAAAATGGCGTTCTTTTTCTCATTCTGTTATAATACACATGTGACTTTCAATTTGCATGACGGTTGTCTGAACATTGTGATTTAAAGCAATTAACATAGAATCCTATAACATTGAACAGATTTTGCGATGTACATGTATCAACAAATATTGTAACCTATGCTTGTAATAATTTGTAAGTTTCGTGATCAAATGAAATAAGTTTTAGTCGGTAGAATGAAGGGCCAAAGGCAGAGCAAGTGAAAAAACATTAGGCTAAAGTACAAAGCTTGATACACCATATTTACATACATTAATATTACCGTGCCTTCTTTTTCAATGTGCATGTTCACATTCGATCGAAACTTTCAATTTCAATTTCCTACAGCCATTTAAAACATCCCAATGTTTCCGTTTAATATATGTATAAGGATCAGCAAAATAGCCTGTGATTAACATGGGCGTCACCAGGATTTTTTTCTAGAGGGGGGCAAATTAACACGTCCCCCCCCCCCCCCAAATCACTGTACTTTTCCAGCATATTCTCGATTTATCATTTTTCGAGGGTGAGCAGGGACATTTGGCCCCCAACTCATGAAATTAACAGCAATGTGACTTCGCGCCGCTTTTTTCTTTCTTGTTTATCCTTTTTTTTTTTTACATTTTTGTTGTGCTTTTCCGGGGGGCAAGCCCCCTTCCCCTTACCCCTTGCGATGCCCATGGCGATTAACATTAAACATTATATTACTGAGGAAATCTAAAACTTGTTACTGTATTTTTGTTCTAAACATTAGACCTATCTAACATATGTACGTTTGTTTTGTGACGTCACAGTGACGTCGCAGTCCGAAAATCGGAAGGTGGGGGACTGTTTGTATGTACGTCACATTGTCACATTTTGCTAGGGCAATTTTTTTAATGGATTTTTTTAAGATTAGTTTACCTAACTTTCAATTCAATATGGCCGACTCGTGAATAGGCCTAAGGCTCATGGGGAGAACCAGTTGCTTTTTGATTGGCTCGCAACTACAAATGTACAATGAATGCGCCTGATTAAAGTTCAAAGTTCAAACAGCAACCCCGCTGTTGGCGTAAAACTACAGAAGCTCCAAACGGATGATATGCAGAAAACAATAACTCGTTCTATGAAATCTTCCCTCCTGTGTATGAAATCGATATGTTTTTATAATGGTTAAAGTGTTTTCGTCAAGTACATGAGAAATAATAACGTTTATAAACCTATTTTTAACCGGTTTAAACCTGTCTGCCTTATTTTGGTTTAGAAAATGTTGCTGTTTCTGCAGTACTTCGATATTCACTAGGACCAAACTTCATTTAAATCAAATCGGAAAGAAATAGCAGATTTGAAAAATGATGATCAGTCAATTTACTGATCGTTGAAGATAAAGAATTTTATTGACGAAATAATGTTTCGTGATCGAAAGGTTGTGCATGGTCTTTACTGTTTTCTCAAAAATGTATAATATCTACTGAACTGGTTAGGTTTTGAACATTCTTTTGATTTTGAGGGGTGTTATTATTGAAAGCGAACAAAATGCACGGAATGCAAATGATACAATATGCCATGCATTTTAATACACTACAATTGGAGGGACGAATGTTGGTGATTATCGCCAATTAATTCTGGCTACGGACGCAATCGCGGTTCGTTCTTAATTAGGAGTGCATAGTACAACACGATCAGCATTTGGTTGTTTTGTAAGAGCATCTGAGCACTCGTGTCGAGAGTTATTACAGCGGCGTTAGGATAAGACAGACGAGCTTTTACCCAATTAACCAGGCGCTGCTGATTGATGTGACTGATACGAACTAGCGGAGCCGCGATGTATATAAACCTTTGTGAATGACCTTTTTTTAATACAGGGGGCCTAAGTGAATCGGTCTTAAGTGCATGCCTGCCAAAAACCAGGAGATTTGTTTTTGTTTTAGGAGCTAACGGACCCGACAATTCTGTCAACAACTCTGACGTATTAAATTAGCGGTTTCTAAATGCAATTATGCGCAGGTGTATTTTCTTAAATGTTGTACTATTCCCGCCCCTTCCTCTTTTCCTTCGTGACAGCCATTATTTTGTCAATCAATTTATTCGTAAAATTATTCACACGCCTTCCGCAACCCGAAGGCTGAATTGTGGGCAGATCTGCATAAAAGAAAAACATTTTAAAACTTGTTTATCAAATTTAAAAGACAGTGATTACAGTATTTGAATAAAAGTGTACAATATTTCGTAAATCGGACCAAAATGAAAACAACGGTAGTGGAATTCATCGAAAATGTTTGCGCTATACAGTATGTCCCCCAAGTGTCCGTCTGGACTTTATTGAAGTAACTTTAAAACCATGAAGTCAATTTTGAAATATTTTACTATGCAGATACTCCTTATCATTGGCCTAAATCCCAATGAGTTTCATTTAATTTCAATCACGCATCACTGCACAGTGGTCAATTAATCACAACAACATTTGTGGACACTGTGTCCAAGGTAATTGCCTTAAAGAAAATCAGGGATGTGTTTATGTAAACGTGTAAAATCCACCAGACTGCATAATGCAAGCTTATTTTTATTGGTGGGGGGAAGAATATCTTGAAAAGGGCACTCGCACATCCGGACCCTTGGCCTCCCGTCCGTAAAATAAAAAATAAAAAAATTGGGGATAAACACTTTCGAAAAAAGAACACTTGAATGGAAACGGGCAGTCTTTACAAAATATAATGGGGGGGGGGGGGGGTAAATACCCCCTTCCCCCACTGGCTACGCCACTGCGCTGGAACTACCGGTACTTTATACGCGTGAACCCGGGATGGCTGTATGCATGGTGGACAATGCCAAGGTCATTGTTAGGAGCAACAAAGGTCATAGAGTAAGTGTTTGTTTAATGATATCGCAAAATTCTGCGGACACCTCTGAACCTATATTGTCAATAATAAACAGAGGGTGATATGTACTAAGTTGATACCGTGAGAGAGTGCATTTCTCATGAATCAGTTAAACTGGAAGCATCATCGAATAAACCAGGGTTTTAAAAAGACAACAAATATTCTGCAAAACCATGGCACCGATTGATATGAGCGGCACCTGGAAAAACGTCAAGAACGAGAATTTGGAGAACTTCTTCAAGGCGCTGAATCTGGACATTGGGGTGCGCACGATGGCGATGGCACAGAAACCAGTCATTGAGATCAATCAGGACGGGGAGGTCTTCAGAATCCTCACCGAGGGTATCAAGACGGTCGAGTCCAACTTCACCGTGGGGCAGGAGTATACTGACATAAATCCGCTGGATGATAATGAGCCGAGTACGTATCTGGCGGTGTGGGACGGAGACAAGCTACGCACGGAGAACAAGAGCCACCCACATGCAATCCATTTTGACCGTGAGTTGGTCGACGGTCAGCTGGTCCAGACACTGACCTCAGGAACCGGAGACAAGGCCGTGGTCTGCAAGAGGATCTTTGACAAGGAGTAGACGTTGGAGGCAGACACGACTTACGGGCGTCAACGATGCGGTACAAACATCTTTGACTTAAAACTGGTTATAACCATCAATTGACATGCATGCCAATATTAAATGTTTCACCTCATGCATTGGAACAAAATGGGGCCAAAAATTCCTAATCATAGTACAAAACTCTGGGATCTGCAAGGATATTCGTTTTGTGCAAGGGCGGATCCAGAACACAATTTTTTTTTTTTGGGGGGGGGGGGGTTTTGAGGAAAAGATGGTGGTGTACTCATTGCCTGCCTTTTTTGCGATGTCACATAAAAAAAAAAAAATTGGTTTCGTTTTTTTTGGGGGGGGGCCATGGCCCCTTTGGCCCCCCCCCCCTGGATCCGCCCTTGGTTTTGTGTAGGTTTATGCCACTAGCAGGAGACCCACTATCAGCTGAATATAAACAACATTTTGATTAAAACAAATCGAATGTAACATTTTCAATTCAATGTCAATCTCCACATGAGACGAATTTCCCGAAACTGGGACGTATCGGAATGCTCACATTTGGGTCATTCTATAAATTTGGGGTCCAAAGTGTGACATTTTTCCCGTCCCTGTTACCTTGGTACTTTGTAATTTGCCATTCAAGCATCATTAAAAGTGACTTCAAATGATTGTTTATTTGTTGGGTAGGTAGTTGGCTATTCATAATCACTCTTGGAGGATGACTGCATTAAGGAGTGCATCAGAATTATACAATCATAGATGTCAGATGTAACAGGGACGGGAAAAAAAGTGGACCCCAAATTTATAGAATGACCCATTTGCGAATTACACTGGATAAAAAGAAATGAAGTCCATTGCGGTGTAAATTCGAAATCGGAATTAACAATGGAGCCAAATAAACGGCGTTCTGGAACTTGTCTGAGTATATACTGAGTTTGAATTTGTATTCCACTATTTTGCAGCCAGTCCCGTAACAAACGCGGTAAACTTGCCCCGGCGGTGGAGTACTAGGGTTCCATCAACCACATTCGAATATATTCCTGTCTCGGCAATATTGGCAACGCTACCCAGGAAATTCCGAGCATACCTCAGGCACATGCCGTTAGCTTGAATATAGCGCCCGTCAGCTGAGGTTATGCTCAGAAATCCGTTGTAACGCAGCCAGTATTCAATGTTAGGTTTTGCACTTCACCGACGTATAAACACTGTGTACTCCGAGTGTCAGCCCGCCCCCGAGTGAAAGGAGAAAAACAATCTCTCGGTGGGACTCGAACCCACGATCTTCTGCTTTCTAGTGCAGACGTACTTACCACCATTTTTCTCACTTTCACTCGGGTGGGGGGGGGGGGGGGCTAAGCCTAACACACTGAGTATACAGTGTTTATATATGCCAATAGGGCAATACCATATTGAAGTTACATCATCAGGACGTAAATTTCATCTTATTAATAGCTTCCAGTATTACTGGTGAATATAGCGGTGCCGGGATGGAAACAAAAAAACCTTGATGGTTTTCTTGTTTTCTTTGAAGAGCAACGATCGCTGCCGAAAACCCCTCCAGGTAGATATCTGGCGGACCCGATATTTTCGGTCAACGATTCTGATGTATTTTAGCGGTTTCCAAATGCTATTTACGCACGTGTGTTTTCCAAAAAAAACCTGAAATATTCCATACCACCACCTTTTCCTCCTCAAGACAGCCAAATCTTGAACTGGATTAGTACGTAAGTCGGTAGCAGCACCGTTGCTAGCTCCTGGCATGGGGGTGGGGCCTCTCCCTGATCGCAGACTTGGCGGGGGGGGGGGGGGGGGGTCTTCCAATCTTAAAGTGGAACTTTTTATGTGCGAGCGTGGAGCGCGAACTAGGCCTTCCGTATGTACGTTGTGGGGTCCGGGCCCGCTCAAGGGTACGGCATAAGTTTGGATTTTAGATGCTCTGCGGTGCAATCTGAGGCATTTCCTGATGGCCACTTTCCTCTGACTCTTTGAATTCAATTTGCTCGTGTTTACAGCTTGACGGCGAGATTTTCAGGGGGGGGGGGTCATCAGTTGGGTTTTTTTTTGGGGGGGGGGGGGTTTTTTTCAAAAAAATTAAAAAGATTTTTCGTTGGGTGGGGGTGGGTCAACAACATTTTCTTTAGGGGAGGGGCCAATTTTGTGTATGTATTTTTTACGACCCCCCCCCCCCCAGCCGGGCCTTGAAGGGGGGCACAGTAGCAGTAAGGGGCACACCACAAGAAAAAAAAACATACACAAGTACACGTGTAGCGGTATTATGATTAATATTTCGCCCTGTCCAAAAGGCATAGTCTCCGGTAAAGAAAGAAACTAGGCAAGGGGTTCTCCAGTCAGCTCAACTCTTTTAACTTGGAGGAAACTGCTCCTCTTTTTATCCCATCAACCATCGACAGTCGACGAAAACACAGCTCACTCTCTCAAATCTTCTGCTTAGCATTTTCCATACCCGTACCCCCCCCCCCCCCCCCCCCCCAATGAATACATTTGTGACAACTTGTCAGCGCGTCTTGCTCTTTGACCCATGACCCCTGCTAGTGGGCCCTAGGTGCACGGCCTATTATTAGCGCACGGGAATTAACAAAAGTTTAGCACAACATGCACGCCAAATAATCATTTCCCCACACACGCATACACATGCAATTTCGGTGCTTATGTGGGTTTTTGTTAACGGGGTTGCTTGCCCCCCCCCCCCCCCCCCCCCCCCTGTTTGGTAGAACGCCCACAACCCGGAGGCCGCAGGCTAAAATCCCGCTCCAGTCAATTTATTGGTTCCAATTTAAAATTACTTCAATAATTGCTGTGAAAACAACTGTATTCTGCATCATGTTCTATCTCTGTTTTATGAGCATGCATTCAGTTTCGATTTGTTCTGTTTGATCAAGCGACCTTTTGGACCCAAAGGCTGAATTGTGAGGTTTATATAATCATCCATTTTACAATTTGTTTATCAATGCTCACACACAGTGATAATAATGATATAAAAAATAATGGCTAAAACACTTCATATAAAGTACATTAAGAAAAAACGAAACACAAAGTCGACTCCGATTGGCTGACGCACAGGTTGCATAAGGACAGAAGACTGGAACCGTACATGTCATTTATACGGATGGCCCTGGATATGTAAATGAAAAGTAGGACAAAGCGAAGGTCACTCTTAGGAATGACAAAGGTTGCAGTTTCGTGTTTGTTTAATGATATCGCAGTGAGTTCGGCACACACCTCTGAATCTACAATGAAATCAACCATGAACGCAGAGGAATTGGTATTATAATTGAGTCGATATACCGCGAGAGACTGCACCTCATGAATCAGCTGTGTTGAAAGCATCACCGAATAAACTGGTATATGTCCTGCAAAGCCATGGCACCGATTGATCTGAGCGGCGACTGGAAAAACGTCAAGAACGAGAATCTGGGCAGCTACTTCCATGAAGCGATGAATCTCAACTTCATGGCGAGTATTTTCCTGGCGTCACAAAGTATGGACCTGGAGATCAGTCAGGACGGAGACGTCTTCAAAATCCTCGTTCAGGGTCTCGAGACGTTCAAGTCCAACATCACCGTGGGGCAGGAGTATACTGTCAAGAACCCGCTGACCGAAGAGAGGGATACGTGCCTTGCAGTGTGGGATGGAGACAAACTACGCATCGACAGCAAGAGTCCAAGTGCAGGTTCAGGTTGTGTTGTCTATGAGTTGATCGACGGACAGCTGGTCCTGACACAGACTCATGGAACCGGAGACAACGCTGTTGTCTGCAAGAGGATCTATGACAAGAAGTAGGTGTTGGAGACAGACGTCTTTTGGGCGTCAACGATGCGGTGCAAACATCTTAGACCTAAAACTTGTTATAATCAATGGACGTGCCAATAGGCCTATATATCAAACATTAAATGTTTAACCTCATTCGAACATAAATGGGGCAAAGAAGTCATAATGATATAGTATAAAACTATGGGATCTGCTAGAGGGCGTATGGGATCTCGTAAGTTTATGATATGCATGCAGTAGGTATTAGCCGATCAACACAATTTTGAAAAAAAAAAGTAATTCGCTTTTTCAATTCAGCGCCAATCTCCTCGAGACGAATTTCCCGATACTATGACGAATCGGAATGCTCACATTTGCGAATTACACTGGACCAAATACGAAATCTAGAAAGGTGTAAATTCGACATCGGAATCTACAATGGAGCCAAGTAAACGGCTTTCTTGAGCTTGTCTTAGTACTATGTTTGAAGTTTTATTCCCGTAACAAACGTGGTGAAGTTGCCGTTGCGATGGAGGTCTATTAAATCCTGTCCTGGCTAATATTGGCAGCCGCTCCGGAGGCGCAGCCGCGGGGGCATGAATTAGTGGGCTGCATGGGCGTCGCCAGGGTTTTTCTAGGGAAGGGGATAGCACATTCCCCCATACCCTGTAATTTCTCTAGCATATTCTCAATTTAACATTATTCGAAAGTGGGCGGGGGGATTTGCCCACCCACCCCCCATTGACACTCGTGCAAACGCAATCACGTTTGTTTATGGTGTAAATCAAGGATTTGCTATTGTTCCTCTTCCCTTTTCCTTTGTTTATACTCTTTGCAACAGCTCTCATTGGTTTTGTACACGTTTTCTAATCGAGGTCGTCCTCGATTTGGTTCCTGTCCTCAATTCATCGATGATGAATCCTCGATTTACACCATAAACAAACGCGCCCATTTGTTGCAATGTGTATCAAATGAATAGCAAATATGACTTCACACTTTTTGTCTTCCTCGTGACGCTCATGGTGGGCTGCCAATATTACTGGTAATCATGAATATGCAAAGCTGTATGAAAGCATCCTTCAGGCCTATTAAAGATTATGTTAAGAGAGCAACGGTCTAAAGTGCGTGCTTCCCAAAAACCCTATATACTTAGTTTCCAAATGCAATTACCTAGATGTATTTTCTCGTACAAACTGAAAATATTCTACAACCACCTTTGTTTCCAATGACAACCAATATTGTTGGGTCGCAGCCCCTTTGCTTGGTCCGGGCAACGGTGGCTGGGGGAGCACAGTACCTGCTAGGGAATACACCACAAGAAAAAAAGACAACAGCATATTTTGATGCTGATGGCTTTTACCGAGGGGGTGGGGGACTCCCCCCCCCCCCCCCCACAAGCGATTGGCCTGGTTGGTAGAGCACCGGAACGCAAGTAGTCCAGAGGTCGCATGCTCAAACCCGCATGTCAATTTGTTTGTTCAACTTTAAAATTAATAAAATAGTTGCTTTGAAAAAATGTTGTTAATTGCAAGATGATATAAGACGTTTAGCTTGTGAAAATCGATAGATGTGCTTCAATTTGTTCGTTTATTCACACTCCCTTCGCAACCCAAATAGTATTCATTTAAAAAAAAATTTATCAATATCCCAAATCAATGATTAATATTTAAATAAAAAGGAAAAACGTGCAGCAAATAAGGGCTAAAACACTTCACATAAAAGTACGTTTAAAAAAAGGAATACTCAAAAAAGAGAACACTCAAAAAAAAAAAGCGAAGTCATACACCACCATGTCTGCGCCATACACCATATTAGAGAACAAACAAACATTTATTTCATTATCCATTTTCTTATATTTTACCACGTCAACAATATTTTTGTAGTGTAAAGGTCACGTGACCAGAAGACTGGAACTAATTACGCGTGACCCTGGATATACATGTAGGTGAGAGAAGGACAAAGCGAAGGTCGCTGTAAGGAACGATAAAGGTTTAATACGGGGTTAGTGTTTGTATAGTGATATTGCAGAATCATGCACACGCCTATGAATCCATTGTCAGCATAAACACAGAGGGTGGGTATTATTGAGTGGATACCGTGTGACAGTGCAGTTCTCGCGAAGCAGCTCTGCTGAATTGAAAGCATCGCCGATAACTTGGGACTGAGACAAATATCCTGTAAAATCATGGCACCGATTAATCTGGACGGCATCTGGAAAAACGTCAAGAACGAGAATCTGGACAACTTCCTCAAGGCACTGAATCTCAACTTCGCGGTGCGAAAAATGGCGGCGTCACAAAGTCCGGTCTTGGAGATCAGTCAGAAGGGAGACGTCTTCAAAATCATCACCAAGGGCCTCAAGACGTTCGAGACCAACTTCACCGTAGGGCAGGAGTATACTGACAGGAACCCGCTAAACGACAAAGAGCCGAGTACGTACCTGCCGATGTGGGACGGAGACAAGCTACGCACGGAGAACAAGAGCCATCCAGATGCGATTCACTTTGTCCGTGAGTTGATCGACGGTCAAATGGTCCAAACACAGACCGTTGGAACAGGAGACAAAGCTGTGGTCTGCAAGAGGATCTTTGCCAAGAAGTAGACGTTGGATGCATGAAGACACAACATGAACAGACGGTATCAATGATGCGGTACAAACATCTCACTTAGAACTAGAGCCATCGGTGGACATGCCAGTAACTTTTTACTGATCATTGGAACAAACACATACTGAAATTTGTATCCTTGTGGAGACATTTCTTTGTTCTCATGTACCAAAGTTTTCGTGTTTGAAAGTACAGTTTCAAAATGCTCTTATTTTAACCAGAATTAATTTCCTTGGCTGAAATTCGGACTTAATATCCCTTTTCTAAAACTCTACTATTTGCGACGGATCAACATACCTTGGAAATTCTAGTTTTTGAGTAAAATCCATATGTCTATTTTGTGAAAACCTTGTGGAGACGTATTCATCTATAGAAATTACCCTGTGGAGACGTATACCATCTTTTGTTCCCTATTGTTTGCATGATGTCTCCAGAGGGCACGGTGTATCAGATCTCTTTTTGTATAGGGGTTTATGCCAATATCTGTTTACACCATTTGACAACGGACCTCATATGATTATATTATGTACACTTTGATTCACTTCATATCACGCCTGGTAATTAATGGAGACCTACTTGACTTGTCCAAAATCAGTCAAACGTTGCGGTGCGTAAAATGGCGATATCACAAACTCCGGTCCTGGAGATCGGTATCATCACCAAGGGTCTCAAGACGTTCGAGATCAACTTCTGGTAATTAATGAAGACCTACTTGACTTGTTCAAAATCAGTCACACGTACTGGTAATTACTACTTAAACTTAAAACAAAATAAACACTTATACATTTCCAAATCCAGCCCATGCAAACATACCGTCGACCCAACTGGCAGTTGGTATTTGCAATGTTTGTGTCTTGAACCGAAGATGATATTAAAGCCTTTGATGTTTCATAATTATACTCAACATTCGATCCATGTCCAGCATTCATACATATGTCTCAATCAAGTCTCACATTTAGTTGTACTTTTATGATCTTTTATTTACATTAAACATTTGATATTTAATCAAAACGCGACATTGCGTTTAAATTTGCATAGCGCATCATGCAAATTCTCAGCTCAGGTTCTTGGAAATTTACTTTGTATTCAGCACGTCTAAATATATAGCATTCGCAATTTTTGTATATGGTATACAAAGTTTACAATTTTACAAAATTTTCCAAAATTATAGAATTTGTGTATATGGCAATCGGATTGATTTAAGTGCCCAAAGTGCCAGACACGATGAAAACGTGTAGAAATGCTATAAACAAAAGTCTAAAAAAAACTTATGAAGACAAAGGCGGTTTGGGCAAGTTGCCGAACAGCCAATAAAAATCTAGTAATGGTGACTGACTCACTTTGAAGGTACTGACACATTTAAATAAGGCAAAACAAATTCCTTGAGCCCCTTCAATGAAAATGAAATTACTCAACCCCCCCCCCACAGCCACTTAGTTTCCAAATACAATTACCTAAGATGTATTTTCTCGTACAAACTGAAAATATTCTACAACCACCTTTGTTTCCAATGACAACCAATATTGTTAGGTCGCAGCCCCTTTGCTTGGTCCGGGCAACGGTGGCGGGGGGGGGGGAGCACAGTACCTGCTAGGGAATACACCACAAGAAAAAAAAGACGACAGCATATTTTGATGCTTATGGCTTTTACCGAGGGGGTGGGGGATTCCCCACCCCCCCCCTCCCCCCACCCACAAGCGATTGGCCTGGTTGGTAGAGCACCGGAACGCAAGTAATCCGGAGGTCTCATGCTCAAACCCCGCTAAAGTCAATTTGTTTGTTCAACTTTAAAATTAATAAAGTAGTTGCTTTGAAAAAATGTTGTTAATTGCAAGATGATAAGAGACGTTTAGCTTGTGAAAATCGATAGACGTGCTTCAATTTGTTCGTTTATTCACACTCCCTTCGCAACCCAAATAGTATTCATTTAAAAAAAAACCTATTTATCAATATCCCAAATCAATGATTAATATTTAAATAAAAAGGAAAAACGTGCAGCAAATAAGTGCTAAAACACTTCACACAAAAGTACCGGTACATTAAAAAAAAAAGAATACTAAAAAAAGAGAATACTAAAAAAAGAAAGCGAAGTCATACACCACGATGTCTGCGCCATACACCGTATTAGAGAACAAACAAACATTTATTTCATTATCCATTTTCTTATATTTTACCACGTCAACAATATTTTGTAGTGTAAAGGTCACGTGACCAGAAGACCGGAACTAATTACGCGTGACCCTGGATATACATGTAGGTGAGAGAAGGACAAGGCGAAGGTCGCTGTAAGGAACGATAAAGGTTACGGGGTTAGTGTTTGTATTGTGATATTGCAGAATCATGCACACGCCTATGAATCCATTGTCAGCATAAACACAGAGGGTGGGTATTATTGAGTGGATACCGTGTGACAGTGCAGTTCTCGCGAAGCAGCTCTGCTGAATTGAAAGCATCGCCGATAACTTGGGACTGAGACAAATATCCTGTAAAATCATGGCACCGATTGATCTGGACGGCATCTGGAAAAACGTCAAGAACGAGAATCTGGACAATTTCCTCAAGGCACTGAATCTCAACTTCGCGGTGCGAAAAATGGCGGCGACACAAAGTCCGGTCTTGGAGATCAGTCAGAAGGGAGACGTCTTCAAAATCATCACCAAGGGCCTCAAGACGTTCGAGACCAACTTCACCGTGGGGCAGGAGTATACTGACAGGAACCCGCTGAACGACAAAGAGCCGAGTACGTACCTGCCGATGTGGGACGGAGACAAGCTACGCACGGAGAACAAGAGCCATCCAGATGCGATTCACTTTGTCCGTGAGTTGATCGACGGTCAAATGGTCCAAACACAGACCGTTGGAACAGGAGACAAAGCTGTGGTCTGCAAGAGGATCTTTGCCAAGAAGTAGACGTGGTTGCATGAAGACACAACTTGAACAGACGGTATCAATGATGCGGTACAAACATCTCACTTAGAACTAGAGCCATCGGTGGACATGCCAGTAACTTTTTACTGATCATTGGAACAAACACATACTGAAATTTGTATCCTTGTGGAGATATTTCTTTGTTCTCATGTACTAAAGTTTTCGAGTTTGAAAGTACAGTTTCAAAATGCTCTTATATTAATCAGAATTAATTTCCTTGGCTGAAATTCGGACTTAATATCCGTTTTCTAAAACTCTACTATTTGCGACGGATCAACATACCTTGGAAATTCCTAGTTTTTGAGTAAAATCCATATGTCTATTTCGTGAAAACCTTGTGGAGACGTATTCATCTATAGAAATTACCCTGTGGAGACGTATACCATCTTTTGTTCCCTATTGTGTGCATGTCTCCAGAGGGCACGGTGTATCATATCTCTATTTGTATAGGGGTTTATGCCAATATCTGTTTACACCATTTGACAACGGACCTCATATGATTATATTATGTACACTTTGATTCACTTCATATCACGCCTGGTAATTAATGGAGACCTACTTGACTTGTCCAAAATCAGTCAAACGTTGCGGTGCGTAAAATGGCGATATCACAAACTCCGGTCCTGGAGATCGGTATCATCACCAAGGGTCTCAAGACATTCGAGATCAACTTCTGGTAATTAATGAAGACCTACTTGACTTGTTCAAAATCAGTCACACGTACTGGTAATTACTACTTAAACTTAAAACAAAATAAACACCTATACATTTCCAAATCCAGCCCATGCAAATATACCGTCGACCCAACTTGCAGTTGGTATTTGCAATGTTTGTGTCTTGAACCGAAGATGATATTAAAGCCTTTGATGTCCTATTGACTCAACAATCGATCCATGTTCAGCATTCATACACGTCTCAATCAAGTCTCACATTTAGTTGTACTTTTAAGATCTTTTATTTACATTAAACATTTGATATTTAATCAAAACGCGACATTGCGTTTAAATTAGCATAGCGCATAATGCAAGTTTTCAGCTCAGGTTCGTGGAAATTTACATTGTATTCAGCACGTCTAAATATAGATCATTCGCAATTTTTGTATATGGTATACAAAGTTAACAATTTTACAAAATTTTACAAAATTATACCATTTTTGTATATGGCAATCGGATTGATTTAAGTGCCCAAAGTGCCAGACACGATGAAAACGTGTACAAATGCTATAAACAAAAGTCTGAAAAAAAAAACTTACAGAGACAAAGGCTGTTTGGACAAGTTGCCGAAACAGCCAATAAAAACCTAGTAATGGTGACTGACTCACTTTGAAGGTACTGACACATTTAAATAAGGCAAAACAAATTCCTTGAGCCCCTTCAATGAAAATGAAATTACTCAAACCCCCCCCCCCCCCCCCCACAGCCACTTAGTTTCCAAATGCAATTACCTAAGATGTATTTTCTCGTACAAACTGAAAATATTCTACAACCACCTTTGTTTCCAATGACAACCAATATTGTTAGGTCGCAGCCCCTTTGCTTGGTCCGGGCAACGGTGGCCAATAAAAACCTAGTAATGGTGACTGACTCACTTTGAAGGTATTGACACATTTAAATAAGGCAAAACCAATTCCGTGAGCCCCTTCAATGAAAATGAAATAACTCCCCACCACAGCCACTAATTTGGAAAAATTCTAAATTCATGTGAAAGACAAGGTAATAACCATTTCTCAATAGTTATACTTTATTTGCCAATTGGTGAACTTGCCGTCCAGATCATTGTGACTCACCCTGTATGCGACAAAGATTGCAGATTTCGTGTTTGTTTAATGATATCGCAGAGTTCTGCACACACCTCTGAATCTACAATCAATAATGAACACAGAGGGTGGGTATAAATTGAGTCGATATACCATGATAGAGTGCACGTCACGAATCAGCTGTATTGAAAGCATCACAGAATAAACCGGGCCGAGACAAATATCCTGCAAAATCACGGCACCGATTGATCTGAGCGGAATCTGGAAAAACGTCAAGAACGAGAATTTGGAGAACGTTCTCAAGGCGCTGAATGTCAACATTGCGGTGCGTAAGATGGCGATATCACAAACTCCGGTCCTGGAGATCAGTCAGGACGGAGACGTCTTCAAAATCATCACCAAGGGCCTCAAGACGTTCGACACCAACTTCACCGTAGGGCAGGAGTATACTGATGTAAACCCGCTGAACGATGAGCCGAGTACGTACCTGCCGATGTGGGACGGAGACAAGCTGCGCACGGAGAACAGCAAGAGTCACCCAGAGGCAATTTGTGTTGTCCGCGAGTTGGTCGACGGACAGCTGGTCCAGACAAAGACTCATGGAACCGGAGACAAAGCTGTGGTCTGCAAGAGGATCTATGACAAGAAGTAGGTGTTGGAGACAGACACTACGGATGGGCATCAATGATGCGGTACAAACATCTACAGCCATCGGTGGACATGCCAGTGACATTTTACTGACCATTGGAACAAACAAAGTCCTTATCAAAAGACTGGAACTGCATGCACTCTTCCTGTATAGAGTTAGGCCAATACCATTTGGACGGACTTTTAGAATTATATTACGTATATTTGTATTAACATCTTTCTGTGCGATACTCCTAATGCATCGACATAATATACGCCTTGGTTGTAACGAATTGAGCTCTACTGATTGGTTCAAAATCAGTCACACGTACAGGTTATTACATGGACTCCTAAACGAAAATAAGATCCAAAATCTAGCCCATACAAATATACCGTCGAGCCAAATTGCAGTTGGTATTTGCAAAAATGTGTCTTGAACCTAAGATGATATTGGAGCCTTTGATGTCTCATAGACTCAACAGCAGTGTTGTAGCGAGACCGGATAGTCCGAGACCGAGACCAAGACCGAGACCTGAAGTTGCGAGACCGAGACCAAGACCGAGACCAGCCCCTTCAAGGCGGACCGAGACCGAGACCGAAATGGTCCGAGACCGAGACCGAGACCGAGACCGCGGATAATAAATAACAATAATCTAAATAAACAACAAGACACTAATTACAGCTGAACAGTCTGTCCTTGAGATGTTGATGTTCATGGGGATGTGAAGGAAGTGATTGGAAGTTAGGAATCACTTGTACCTGCTTAATTGTGTCATGCGAGTGCTCTTCGTGTTTGCTTCATGCCATAAATTACAACATGGCCACAGAATTTGTTATTGTCACAATCAATTAAAAAAAATTGGAAACAACCTAATTTAAAGAAGGGGAAAACCTTATTTGATGAACTCCATATATTTTTGCCACTTTTAATTTTTTTTTTTTTTAAATATTGTTTGACTACTATAAAGTGTAAATCTGATGAAGAAACTCTAACTTCGGAGTACGACAATTTGTACTAGTTTTTACAAAACTTGAACATGTTGAAACTTGACAAAAGTAAAAAGTTAAAGGTGGATATTTCATCTGTTATAGGAACTCGGACCCTAAACTCCACAGCCACCCCTTGGTTTCAGCAATGACCACTAACAGATATTTAAGTGCAACTTTAATTTTACATTGGACCTCCTTGTAAACCTGATTCGAAAAAAATTTGGAGCAAGAAAATATTGATTCATTTTTTAAAATGTCAGTCATGGAATATAGATTTGTACATGTAGTCCAAAAAAATTGAGAGATGGTAGCCAGATATGGATTGGTCTGCCCCCCCATACCTCTTTGTGATTCTCCTTCCAACCCTGCATGTTTGTGTGTCCCCTACATGTTTGTTTCTTGTTCCTCTGTCATTTACCTCTGAAGAAAATGTTTATATAATAAATTTGACGTTGACACTGACACTCTAATTCCCATTAATTGTAGACATATCGAATCTGTTAAATTTGTCCATCATCGGGCTCGTTCCAATGCTGCCCATCGTTCTCTTTTTCACAGATTCCCTAGATTATGGGATGAACTACCGGCCTGCATTAAAGATACAATTATCCATAGTTTATCCTCCTTTACAAATTCTCTCAGAAATCATTTATTAGTCCCTGGCCAGGAGGTCCCCTTGACCAAAACAGTTTAAATTTCTAGTTGCCTTGCCCATTCAAATACCTTGCTGCTTGTTTTTTCTTCTCAATTTTATAGTGCCTTTTGCATTATAATTCACTCGAATCTCTCTTTTACCGAATCTGCATTTTTTAATGCCCATTTGTGCTTTTAAAGTTTTAACTGCTTGTATAGTTCTATATTCTTATACTGTAAGCCATGTTTTAATAATGTCCATTTGTAATGTCCTTTTGTATTGTCTCATCTTAAATTGTGGCATCAGGAGATTAACTCGATAGTAATTTAGTTTACTTTTTTAAAATCCATCAGGGGTGCTACTTTTTTTCTTCTCTTTTTCTTGTTCTCTCTCCTAACTGTATGTGCATGTTTTTGTTTTCTTTACTGTTCTTATTGTCTGTACTTGAATTTTTACCTGTGAAATTAATAAATGAAATAAATGAAATGAAAAAAGAAGGCCTGGCTAAGGCTGAAATGTAATGCCACTTTATTTTTGTTTAATGTCAATAACGTTACATATACTATAGAAGATTGATGAACCATATTTGCCTGATCTATCTTCTGCCCGCCGTCATCATCGTCATTAGCCTATTTGAGAATATGGCCGACACAATAGAAGGGCGCTGTCACAAACTGAATGTGGTGGGTGAGATGTACTTTTAGGGTGGGTGAGATGTACTTTTAGGATTCATGGCTCAGTGCCCACGCCTCTATGTGTTTTGTACCGTGCCATCGTTTCGCCCGCATCAGCTACTTTGCTGGGCAATTTACTTGAATATTTTAGTGATTAACAAGTACGACATGTTGCCAATTTATTAATAGTTCATTGTGATGGCCGTAAACAGCATATAGCGATTAATGGAACACAATTCCTCTCGACTCATGCAAATGCAATTGACATTTAGGAAGGAGACGAGGCGGGCAATTAGACTCTATTTTTGTGTGTACATGGCAGTAGCTCAATTTGTGTTTATCATGATGAAAAGATGAATACATGGCGAGTCAAAAAGAAAGTGACTGTATGATAAAAAAAAATGGCACGCTCCATTTTGTAAAAAATATAATTGGGATAAAGAACATGTTATTGAGTAGTAACTGTGAACATTTCACGTAATTTGCATACTCTATTCCCAAGTCGTGTCTATTTTAATAAAGATATCACAAAATTCAGCTGTCCACCACTAATACCAATTTAACGGTCTACGAATTGATGAATATCCATTTATCAATATAATGGAAGAAAAAACGTTTTCCCGCCTCCACGAATAAAGGAAAAATTGAAAAAGAAAATAGAAAAAAATCACCAATATTTCTAGGGAAAAAGAGTTGAATTGTTCCCCATTTTCAAAATACAAAATCTGACGGTAAAAATAAGTTTCAGTTTTGATTCATAAGATTTAAATCTCAGTTGTATTTGGAATCAATGAGGATGGCTATAAAGTGCTTGTTTCAACAGATCATCCCACAATAAAAACGAGAAATATAAGAAGAGGAGCAATGGTTATTGGACTATGCCTCACTCACTAGAAAGTGAAGAGAGACATGTCCATTAGCATCACACTGCAGTCACATTTGCTTTAAACTGATTCTTTACTTAACCCTAAAAGGGCCGGGGGCGGAACCCGCCCCCTCACTTTTTGGCTGGTCTCGACTCGAGACCAGCCAAAACATCGAGACCAAAGGGGACCGAGACCGAGACCAAGACCGAGACCACAGCTCCCGAGACCGAGACCGAGACCGAGACCGGCAAAAAGTGGTCTCGAGACCGAGACCGAGACCGAGACCGGTCTCGAGACCTACAACACTGCTCAACAGTCGATCCAAGTTGAGCATTCATACACAAATCTCATATTGAATTTCACTTTTAAGATCTTTCATTTACATTATACACTTCATTTAATCAAAACGTCACATTATGTTTAAATTAGCAATGTGGCACATTGCTGTTTCGTAGCTCAGGTTTATCGAAACTTATTCAGCATCATGTGAATTCAGTTAGCCAACTTCTATAAAAAGCGTTCGCATTTTGAAGCCCTGACTGAAGCTTCTACATGTCACTTTTGTGGTCAGTCGTGAATTCGGTCTGTCAGTCTGTTTGTCAGTCTATCACTGAAAATTGACCAAAAGTATGGTGTTCCATATCGGTGCCATGCTGCAAGACTTCTAGCAACATGGCCAGAGCTTATTGTGCACTCGCACTTTTTTCTATCTTTGTACCAATTGCCACTACCTGTTGTCCAAGGGCCGGGCGTAAAGCCCGGGGGATGGGGGTATATATCCCTCCCCCAACACTTTTTCACCAGCGTAGAATGGGTTATTAAACCCCCCCCCCCCCACACACACACACACACACACCCATACTTGTTTCACATGACTAGTGTGGACTTTCCATTGCTTTCGTGTAGTTAAGAAAAACCAGTGAAAAAACTCATTTTTCTCAAACTGTGAAAACTCTTTCAACCCAATTTTTTTTCTATGATTCCCTTTAGTGTTTCTCTTCATTCTGCTACAGATAAACCTAACCCAAAAATGCCTCTTAACCTGTTTTCCAGAAATGGGGAAACACTGTGTGGACGTGGGGTAAGTCCACACAACGTCGGTGCTACCTACATTATGTGGACGTCTTTTGTTCGGAAGTCCACACTGCGTATGTAAGACAAGCTCACACCCACACACACACACACCCAGACTTGTTTCACATACCTAGTGTGGACTTTCCTTTCTTTTCGTGTAGTTAAGGAACACCAGTGGAAAAACTCATTTTTCTCAAACTGTGAAAACTCTTACAACCCAATTTTTTTTCAATGATTCCCTTTAGTGTTTCTCTTCATTCTGCTACAGATAAACCTAACCCAAAAATGCCTCTAAACCTGTTTTCCAGAAATGGGGAAACACTGTGTGGACGTGGGCAAGTCCACACTTCGTCGCTGCTACCTACATTATGTGGACGTCTTTTGTTCGGAAGTCCACACTGCGTATGTAAGACAAGCTCACCCCCACACACACACCCACACACTTTTTCGTGATGAGAAAAAAACGCGGATTTAAGGTATTTTTCGAACATCCCAACAACCAAAAGGTATTCAATAGCACTGAAAAGTGGAGAAACAAAGTACAAAGGCTTTTAAAATGCGCCGTTTTGATGTAAGCGCGAGTATTATTGATATACATGTACATCTATATCATGAAGAGCGCCCGCTAGTGTAATGTGCTGTCGCTCGTCAACTCTTGTGGTTGTCATAATTGCTTGAGGAAACGCCAATTTAGCAGTTGTTCATAGAGAATGAAAGTTTCTTTCGCCTTCATACATTTCGCTAAAATCATCATCATCTGTTTCATCAATGATGTAGCCATGATTTGCTTCGGAAATGTGCCCCCTAGAGGGGGGGGGGGGTGCCAACAGCATCTCGAGAGGCGGGTTTATTTTTTCGGTAAAGCCATGTATATAGGATCATTTGCAATTACACTGGTACCCGTACACATAAGAACTTTGATCAAGGAGGCCAAGTACAAGACTGGTATCCTGTGAAATTACTTTGCCTGAAATGGCACCATTCGGAAGTAAGCAATCACTGAAGATGGTTTTCAATCATATAAGGGTGGCTATTTCAGTGTTTATTTCTTCTTAATGAAATGCTGTCATGGGCACTTAAACTATGTACATATTACACAATTATCATTTATAATTCTGTAACATTTATGACGACAAAATGTAAATGCATTTGTATATGTATAATATTAACAAAATATTTTATGTACCATCTTCATCATAACCAAAGGGCAAACAAACAAAATTCCACCTGAAATCAACAAATAAACAAACAGTCCAGTCTTCATAAATGATTCGACAACGTAATAGACCATGTGACATAGTTATAGACCATGTGACATGTTCACAAATTAGATGTTGTTGTCACGTGAGTCCAACTTTCAGCAAACTCTGATCTCTTGCACTTTTTGAAATTATTGCTGTAAAAGTGTTGACATAAACTTTCTAAGGTGGGCCAAAGAACATGTAAAAGATGCTGAAATGTTTGCGTTGCCTGTCGGTTGCCCATCGGTTGCCCGTTGGAATGACTTCACATGGCACATCGTCTATGTAACGACAACTATGTGTCTGTCCTCGATCCTCTTACGTATATGAGTTCAGGTAGTTATAAGATCAGCTTAATGTGTTTTGCAATATTAATATGAAAAAAAAATCCTGAAACATGTGGAAAGACAATCACTTAAAACAAAAGACAATTTTACAGTACAATATTTGTTACTTGAAAGACTTCAGGTCGTCCCACAAAAAAACAACGACCAGTCAAAAACCAATTAATAAAGGTATATAATTATATTGCATGTGAGTGTTGTGAATACTTTCACCTCTTAAAGTCAGTTAACCAATCTACCACACAAACCTTATTAAATTCAAATCGATGCATTGGAACAAACGCTATGCTTCATAGGTTGGAGATCGTCTTCGGCCACTTTATTTGAAAGCCAGAAAGCGCAGTTTAGAGAAACACACAAAGGATTTGTTTTCCTTTGTTCAAGAGTAACGTGTGACTTTTTCTACCGGCTTCGATCTGCAAACTTGACAAATATAAAAAGTGGCCCGAGTGGTTTTTCAAGTCCCGTGTTGTGATTGCTGTATCTTTTGAACAAAACATCCTAATGAAACCAACTAAAAAGCATCTGGAAGACCAATTATTCTACTCAGCAATACATTAGACACAATTTGAACACTACCCCCACTTTTCTGTAAACATGCCCGATTCGACTGTAAGGTTTTTTGTGGGACAACCTGTACAATATATATATAGTTTAAGAATAATTTGTGTACACCTTGAAAAGGGACACCAGAATAAACACTTGTGGGATAAATATTTTTATCTGAGGAACCACACTTCTATAATTAAAGAAACATGTTTAATTAATGTTATTCAAAATCTTCACTAGATTTCGTATAAAAGACTTAAAGTTGCATACCCCATGATCTTCAAAAAATGATTTTTTTTTATGACGAATTGTCATTTGTATGTGTTGTTGTAACGAAGAAAAAACTACTTTAGTCCAAATTTGGGCATCTGTAACCTTCCGAAAAAGGGCTTTCATTTGGTGCATGCACAATAAATTGGCGAATCATTGTCTGGCAGCCAATAATCCGAATTTTGGGAAGTAGCCCAATAACCTTTTTTTTGTTCGATGTCTCAGTCAAAAGTAATTAACGCATATATTGCAAGGAAAAGAAAGCAATGAACAACAAAGGTTAGAGGTCAAACTCAAACATAGCATGGGAGAACACGTCTTTAAATACTGATGCGTGATTTATATGAAAATAAGAAATATACATTAACATGTATATCAACTTTTTCCTTTACAACATTTGTACTTCCTCATAAAATGTTATTTGCATTTAAAATTTACAAGATACAGAAAGTTTTACTATTGCAATATCGGTAACATCTTAACAAAATATACTTTATAAAAATATTGATTTCATTTGATGAGTTCAATATTTTACAAAACTACAGAACATGATGTCATTGCATATACATGTAATATTAAAGATAATACGCAACATTTGCAAACATCAAAACCACAAAATTATTTTGGAAGACCTTACTTTTCAACAAGCGTCTGGTGAAATCATGGTACACCTTGTGTGCTGTAATTTTCAAGAAAAATGATGTTTTGTATCAGTTTCCAACGGTGGTCGGCCGACCATCGTTGGAAAAAAATGATTTTTTTTTTTCAAATAAGCCAGCCCCAAATTTACTCAATTTAGTTAGTCACACATTTTGTTTGCAATGGGCTATACACATCCGTGAACGTGTGCAAGCCAGCTAGTCTGGTTCCCCAACCTGACCATTCCCCGTTGTCTATAAATCAGGGAACCAGACTACAAGAACAGTATTTTTGTTTTTGGTTTTTCCAGCATCCATGAAGCCAAAGCTTCAAAGTGGTCAGTGTAACAATATTTGCTATAAAATACTAACCCTAAATCCTTCCACTTCTGAAAAATAAAGCAAACGCAAATGTTGTATATTACCATTAACAAGAACGATTAATACAAAAGCCCTATTCTAGGGAAACATAATAACAAAAGTACAACAGGTGACATAGGTTTTCCCGGCTATTTTAAACATTTTTCGTTCGAATTCACCGATTCTTGAATTCAAAGTCGTCCGGCAACATCGATTTAGTGCACTTTCAATGTTTCATTATTTTCGTCTTTTGTCAAACAATTTCAAATTTAGTCCAAACAAATTCAAACAATGAGCACACGTTTTCGACCAGGAGTATTCGATTTCGTCTCGTCTACGCCAAACCTTGTTACTCAGAAATCAAATTCGTCTAATCGAATACACGAATTCGATCTCTGAATGATGCCAATCAGCAACAGCTTAGACGAATTTGATCTGTACTGACGAGTATTCTCGACCCGGTGACTAAAGAGGGTGGCCAAACTTTGAAATTGGCTGGTTTTGTTAAAAGCAAGTGAAATTTTTCTGGGACGAAATTGAATGTTAAAATAAGTGAATTTGAATGATTTTTTTTTATATTTTTTTTTTATTTTTTTATTTTTTTTTAATAGCCGAGAAAACCTTTATACCAAAAATAATCTCGGCAAATAAGGCAAGCAAACAAAAGGTTGATTTTAAGATAACAAGTCAAAAAAGGGACATATTTTACAAATGATTTACAATAAGCTATAAACAATGGGCTTGTCCCTCATTGTAATGCCTGAGCGCTTCCAACGGCCACTGAAATTAAAAACCAAAGAAATATATATAATTACATGTAAATATATGGAAAACTATAGTTCTGTTAAGAAGGAACATCTTGCAGTTCAAATGTTCATGTGATTGCAAGAAGTACTCTGCTCAGTGATGATAAACAGTAATAAGGGAATAAATACTGTACAATGTATGTGTGCTTGGCCGGTTTAAAAAAAAAACGTGCCCTAAAAACCGGCTGAAGGGGGCCTGGATGCTTATAATGGCCCGAGCAGAAGGCCAAAAAGTCATAAGTCCTCAATTCACTAATTTCCAATGATTTTTTTCTATAATTTTACTTCATGTTTTGTGAAACACCTCTCTGGTCATGGTGCACGTTATGCTGAAAAACTTCTCATATAGAAATTGGTGCCTACGTTATGTGGCGCAGAACGCAGCAGTGTTTTACCGGTGGTTAAAAACCACTGACACGACAGGCTCTCGACAAATAGGGATTGGTAAATTGTCCCAGGTATTTATGAACGGGCGTTAAAGAGCTAATAAATACACATTCTTCAATTGTATTGTCTATTGGTTTAACTCCCAAAGTTCCAAATCATGATAGAGGTTATCTTGTAACTTTCTAATGGTCCAAATTTATGAAATTAATCTGAATTTTGGAATTAATTAGTTTTGATTTTTAGGATTTTGTGGTATGGTCATCTCCCCACTCTCCACTGTTCACAATGCATATGAGAGATTGTCAGTAGGGCAGACTTTGCAAACTATAATTTCTTATGGCGAGTTAGGAAGCTACATCAGCACGAGTGCACCTGATGTGAATGGATAAGCCGAAATGTGCAACCAAAAAAAAAAGGTGACCGTATCATAAGTCCGACGCCTATCAGTCCGAAAGTTTGGAATTATGAGGCGTCGGATTTATGAGGCATCGGACCTATGGGGCGTCGGACCAATGAGATGTCGGACTCATGGGCCTTTATTTGGTTGGGGGATGAGATTTTGTCGGACTTATGAGGCCTCCGACCTATGAGGCATCGGACTTACGAGCGGACCCTCCCCCTGTCTTTCTTTTGGAATGCCCTTGGCAGTTTGAGACACGCGGCGAGTGAGCAAAGACGTGAAACTTGTGAGAGGCAACAACAATAAAAAAAAAAATGCCACGTTCATCGTTGGAAACGTAACTTACCTTCTGTAATAACGAAACAAACAGAAACCAAGAATGGCCAATCCAGCAACGATGATCACTACTGCAACAACCGCTCCAAAAACTGCAGGATAAGACAAAACTTTCAAACAGTCTATAGAACTTCCTGAATAGTCCATTTAGCCCTGCCCACTGGAGACAAAATGTGCATACCTCTCCTATTCAAACGTGTAAGCAAAGCTTACGCGAGAGCGTTTAATAGTTTAGCCATCAAGTGTTTACTCGTGTCTGCCCCTGTGCCAACCACCACTGCCCCAGCTCGCAAGCGTGGCTGCCCAGGTGAAATGACGCGCCCTAGATTGAAGATGGCGGCGGCAACTTCAATACGAAGTGAGAGATTTATGACTTATTATGAATTATTAACGGTGTCCAGTGAGATTAATTGAAATATGTTTGGTGATTCAGAGCACATCGGTACCTTCAGATTTCAGAAATCGTTGTTTTGCATTGATGAAACCTGTGCCTTTAGGATAAATGGTGCCACAAAAGTTTAAAATTGGAATTACTTGAGATGAGAGAAATCCGAGTTACGAGCTTGTTGCACTGACGCGACGATATTCAGAGTTCGGAGCAATCACAAACTCTAAAAGCACCTTCTTACCGGAATGCACTTGAAAATGGATGTGTACATTAGAATTGCTTTAATGTCCACCAATACCAAGAAGAGGCTGTGTCAGTTTGCATAAACTTAACAACAAGATTGAAGGTGCAGTGTGAACCACTTTTCATCATCTTGACAAAAGTCTTAAGCTTACCATTACTGTTGTTTTTGTTAGGGGCCGTTGAAGTCTGGACAGTTGTCAAAGCAGGCTGGATGGGCACTCTTGGAGGATGGCAAAGAGTAACTTCTGTGTCCTTTACACTACAAGTGACTTGGTTGAGTTCAGAGGCAAGGATGTAAGCAAAGACGCCAGATGCTGTCTTGCCGTACAGTATGGCGGAGTACACAGCTTCTGATGGACTGGCTGGATCTGGTCCTATTGTGTATACACCAGCGTTCAGCTTTCTGTTGGATCCACAGTATTCTCCACCAACGACTGATCTTTTTTTCTCGACCTTCGAAGCAGAGGCCCGACCACGGCCAGCCGTCTCCTGAAGCCAAATCTGTTCAGAATGCTTGCAAGGCGCCACTATGGTGATGTAGGTGTCTACTTTTGTGTCGAGTTCATACGTTGAGAATGTAAAAGACTGACGCGTGAACTGTTCTGCCGGTGGTACGGTGACTAGTGCGGTGTCCACAACGGGTGTCTCAAACTCAATGTGGTGGAGCAACAGGAATGGTTTGGAGCCTTGAATTTGCCCGATTTCATAGGGACCACAGCTCATATCATGATTCTGGCCACTGTTGAGTATATAGCTTTCGTGACGATACTTCCCGCTTGACTGTTGCCCTGAAATCCAAGTGATGTTGGTATTTTCCCAGACGGGTACAATGCGGAAGATGTTTCGGAGATGATTTCCAGCAACTGGCACTGCAGTGTACCTTGTCCCTAAGGATACTACCGGGTTCAGCTGATCTAGTGATTGAGCCCAACCATACTCTGCGGATGCACGGTGTGTTCCCACAATGCCAATGAGTGGTTTGTTTGTCACTTCTTGTATATGACCCCCCATGAAGCTGTCAGTTGTCTGATACGTCACCCATCCCCCAATTCCTCGCCGAAATTGCATCGTTGCTGGCCAATCCTCATGACCAAGAATGGTGACATTACTGTATGGGTGCAAATTAAAATATGTTTCTGGTTCAGTAGCAACGACAGTGAGTTCTGACACATCTTCCTCTAGCCTTCCATAAGAAGCTACGATGTAATATCCATCCAGGGAGTCTACGGGGAAAGCGGTGTACGCATTCAGGGTACCAGCAATCTTGACAAGGACGGTCACAGTTATGTTTTCATCGGCTGTAATGTTAAACATAGCCGGCGTTGGTGGTGTGGTAGTTGCCAAGAGTTGAAGTTCAGAGATGCTTAGAGAAACAAAGTTTGGAGATGTAGCCTCAACGCTAAAACTTTTGGAAAAGTTTCCTTGTAGAAGAGTGATGCGACCTGTGGCAGATGAACTGTAAGGAGAAAACAAAATGATTCAAAATGAGAAAGCTTAATTTGATGTCAAAATTTGGAGTTAGAAATCACTATCACTGAATGTACATGTACTTCATGTGTCTCTCTTTTTCAATCTACTGATGGATCCTCCCCCCCCCCCCCATTTTGTGGTGCAATACAAATCTTTATGTATGGTAAACGAACGTGTGTTCAAGTTTGGTATTACATGAACATTTTTATAACGAACAGCATCCTCTGGTGTAATGTTGTGTCCACCCCCCCCCCTACTGTCAAATGTCCAACCCCCTACTTTCGAATTTCCACGGCCAGGCAATTTTAGGAAAGGTTGCTGTGCGGGCAACCCCACCCCCCCCCCCCCTCCCTACCCAACGGACAAACGCCACTGGTTATACCCAATGAATATGGTTTTCTACGAAAAGAAAATTTATTTGTACCTTTGACAAGCAACACAAGCAATTTGGAGGGATGAACCAAATTCTGGCAAGCCAGTAGTCAGGGGTATAACCACCACAAAATCCTGTCCATAGATGCGGGTCCGTCTGCCTGGCTCTGTTAATTATATAGTTGAAGTATTTAAAGCAAAATTACTTTCAATATTTTCAAAACCTGGAGAGTCACACACAATCCTAAAGCCAATTACTCATATACCAAGTTATATATTATTTCGTGTGTGCATAACATACAATTTCAGCATATTGAACACACAATTTGAGTTCATGACAAATTTGGAACCCAAAATTTCATCCATTCCCTTTTCGCCCCATCTAAATCCCAATCCCATTCAATTCCAACCCTTCCCTTACCCCCACCTATTTTCCCATCCCATTCAATTCCACCCCTCACCCTTACCCCCACCCTACATGTATCCCCATTTTCCCATCCCATTCAATTCCACCCCACCCTTACCCCACCCTACATGTACCCCCATTTCCCCATCCCATTTAATTCCACCCCTCCCTTACCCCCACATATTTTCCCATCACATTCAATTCCACCCCACCCTTACCCCCACCCTACATGTACCCCCATTTTCCCATCCCATTCAATTCCACCCCACCCTTACCCCACCCTACATGTACCCCATTTCCCCTTCCCATTCAATTCCACCCCACCCTTACCCCACCCTACATGTACCCCATTTCCCCTTCCCATTCAATTCCACCCCACCCTTACCCCCACCCTATGAACCCCCATTTCCCTTTCCCATTCAATTCCACCCCACCCTTACCCCCACCCTACATGTACCCCATTTCCCCCTTACCATTCAATTCCAATCCCACTCCAATCAAAATCTTGAGAGGAACGTCTTACCACACTCTGTACCTTTTGGTACATTGTACATGTACTTCAAATATTTAAAGGCATGCTAATAATTGTTATGGTTTTACAGACAAATGCTGAAAATCTCCCACAAGGATAACGTCACAAATGAAGAGGTTCTGGACAAAGTAAACATGAACAGAACACTAATGAAAGACATAAAACAGAGAAAACTACATTTAATATTTTGGTCACATAATTTAATCCGAGCCAATAGTCATCAGAGGCAGCTCATAGAGGGAAAGGTGGAAGAAGAGTGGAAGAGAGGACGCCCTATAGGCGAATGCACAGAGAAACCTGTGTTAATTAATGTCTTACTTTAAGAGTAATAATTACCTCCGCCAAGGAGGTTAGTTTTTTTCATCGGATTTGGTTAGTTTGTTGGTTGGTTTGTTAGACACGTACTACTGCTATATAGACGGTGCCTCAGGCTTTTTGTTTGTAGACATGTTTAGGGTCCTCAGAAGTTCTCTTCAATTTAAATGTAGGTCATTTGTTTCAGAAACACATCTTTTATTAGGCCCATATGATCAATTAGTGCAAGTCCTAATACGTTGTGGTAAGCTCTTTCTACGTACTTCTGAGAGAAGGTAATCAATAAAACAAAAATTAATTTATAAGATACGGTAGGCCCTAATACGTGTACGTGGCTGCGCGATGCCGAAACTGAATTTTGCATTCCCGACACGTATGCGTATAATACGGATACGGATACGTGCAATTTTTCACGTTTGCCGAACCAACAGTCTTCACCGCACTAACTGCCCGACTGCTGAGTGTGTGTGCTTAACGGGGCACAGAAGGTTCAATGTATATACATGAACCTTTGCAAATAATTCATGAATGAGGACTTTGATCACTTCACAACAATCACATTGTTGTTGAAGAGGTTTTGACTGTTGAGAATGGATCACACTCGTTATATTCCACAAAATGTCAAGTTTGCTAAGAAACTTTATGTTAACTTTGCTTTGACTTTAAAAACGATATTTAAAGTTTGTCAAAATTCCTTGCAAAGAAATGAGGGGGACAGCCGAATGCACAAAGAATCTTGTGTTAATGAATGCCCTACTTTTATTAGAGTACTAATTACATCCGCCGTGGCGGTTATGTTTTCATGGGATTTGGTTAGTTTGTTTGATGGTTTTCTATTAACAAGATAACTAAAAAAAGTTATGGACAGATTTGCATGAACTTTTTTTAGGGGTGGTCCTAACCCCTTAGTACAAGCACAAATCGATTCGATGTTGGAAGAAATCCACATCTGGGTCTGGATCCAGGATTTTTGTTAGAGGATTATTCACCATTTATGCAAGTATTTCTTATGGGTGTATACTGACAATATGGCGGAGAAGTGTTAACCTTGGCGGAGGTTTGCGCTCTCTAAGTGCTTTCTTTAGATATAAATTAAACAAAAGAAATTACAGGAGGGCTTTGAACCTGTGAAATCGAGATTGTAATATTTGGAAAACACCTTAATTTGACAAAGTTCTTTCTTTGTCTCACTAACATATTTCCCACATGTTATCAGAGTGGCCTACAAAATCATTCCTTTTGTATTAAAAAAAATTACCAGATTCTGGGGAAAATTTGGTCTTCAAAACTGAGCTGATTCGAACTTTTACTTTGAGAAGTCAAATTATTTCCGTGCCGCCCCGCCGGCCCCCCCCCCCCCCATTGCGCCCCCTTCCACCCGGTACATAATTATCCATGTTCGTTCCCTAAGACTTATGTTCCCCAATGTTTCCCAACCGTAATCTTAACATCTTATTGACCTTAACCCAAACCCTAAGGATTTGGGGGAACATAGGTTTCTGGAAACATAGGGCGCGGGTAGACTCAGCTCCTATATCTGAACAAATTTAGTTTAGTTTGCAACCGGTTTGTAATCCATGAATGGTAATTCATGATTTTCCCGAGCGGTAAACTTGCATCATGTTGTGATGGTGAAATAAAGTGAGACGGACACGGCTTGTTTGTGGACCTCCATGTATCTATATGTATCTAGCTGGTAGCTTTATTGCCCCGAGTCCCTAGCGCGCATGCGCTGTACATGAACAACATGAATATGCATATCTCTACTCATCATAGCACATAAGGTGGCTGCAAGTCAATATGTATTATTAATGAACGTTTTGGAAGGGGGGGGGTTTCACTGGAAATCTCACTTTGCATCGAAAAATAACTGTTCACTTTTGTTTTCAAAACGTATACGCAATTTCAACCCGATAGTGTTGGGTCTACAGTGTGTGTTTCTTGAATCGGCAAAATATACACTTTTTGGGAGAATGAATGGTGTCAGTAGTTTAAAATGCTTGTTATACAAACCTGTGATGTTGAGTTGGCCATTTACAACTGGAATGAGTGCAATAATGATGGAAGCTGTGAAGCTTGCAAACCAGCTGAATCGGGTCATCTTGCTGCTGTCTAGACCGTAGACGTGTAGTTGAACACTATACAATATAACAATGTATACACATGTACTGTAGGGCTCAAATGGGGCAGCTCCTGAACCTCGAAAAACCAAAATTGTACGCCTCTCTTCTTGTCCCCTTGATTCACTGAATCATTATCTAGGTTGTACTATGGAGGTAGAATTAGATTCTGATTGTACCTCCGTGGTACGTATCCCCTACAACAGTACTGTAGAAGAGAAGTGGCCAGCCCAAATAATTATGGCAATGTTTACATACCACTACGAGTACGACTACATACATACAGTCCAACCCTGATAAGAAGACTGCGATATACAAACAGTCAACTTGAACCCTCGGCTGTATTATGTAGGCGTAGTGGTACTGTTAATACAACATCGGTACACGAATCTAGTGTTCCAAAAACCGTAGACTTGAAATCAAGTCTGTAATGAGTGGTTTTAATCGCGTCCGCCGCGCGCGACTGCCAAGCTCTAGCTGTGCCGGGGGTACGACATACCGCATGCTGTCGTAGTAGCGGGGACGCTACGTACATTTTCGACCCCATGCGTGTGCGATCCCATGCGTGTACTGCGTTAGACACGCACTGACCATGCCGCGCGGTGTACGTGTATGTACACCGTACATCGTACATGCACTGCACATGACTTTTGCATGACTGGTTGTAGCGCTCATGTTGCGTGAACGGCGGTGGCATGGCCGGTATGCGGATTCTGGCGCTGATGACGGACATAAACCACTATAGTCTAACGACTTGCCATCAAGTCTACAAAAACCGCTGCACAGTTAAGTTTGCCCCTGAACTCCATCTGATAGCTGCTAGCTACTGCCAGAATTTGTACGGTGACCTATATGAAACACTACGACGTCATCAAATTGCACTTTGGGGAAGGCAGGGCGCCGCTTACGGTAGGTAGTAAAACGTGCCTGCGGCTACGCAGAATCTACACGTGAATTATAGGACGTCGGGTGTAAAAATTGAATGGGATGAGGAAAGGAAAACGTTAATAAGACTAATACACCGATAAATGAATGAAAAACTTAAATGCGTGAACGAGTAAAACAATAAAAGAAGGATAAAAGTATACCTGTCATTGAAAATAATGTAACAGACAGTTTGTATATCACTTTCTTGTTGCTTTTGTTCACTAGCCGCCAACCGAGGGCTCCGGCGGCGCGTCGTTAAGGCGTGGGGTCGACAGGTGCACTGACATAGTTCTTTCGTCTTAAGTGCGCTCTTCGGCGATAACTTTCTATAAATAGATCACTAAGAGGTTTGGCTACTCCAATTCTTAGATTGAAATACATGTTGTGCAGCTGTGCTTTTCTATGCTGGGAATGATCAGTTGTTGCAGTGTGACAAGTTGTCCACAGAGTTTTTGCTGTGAATTAGTAAGTTGAGTTTCTTCTGGAGTTGGAATTCCTGTGTTGTGTGTCCCCTTTTCCTGCGTCACTCGTTTCACGCTCGATCATGGCTGGGCGCCTCTTATTTTCTGTGCTACCCCCCCCCCCCCCCCACGCCACACCGGAAAAAAAAGCCAGTAATAGAATATTGTTGAACAAAAGGTGGTGATTTATTTAAGACACTCATGAAGTATAATATTCAAACTGATTGGATATCCCAAAGTGTATACGGCATAGAGTATACTGACCACAATTCAACCATTAGCAGTTCTTCACTGCTTTCTTATGGGAGGAGCTCATATCAACTGCCTCATGACCAATGCTCGGAGCATCGCGAACAAATTACATGCATCTGAACTGAAGCAACTGGTTTACATTGTCGGTGCACTCCCATTGTGTTTATAACAGAAACCTGGCTATTAAGTGACGGTAGGATTCACTCATCTGAGATACTTGATTCATCGGTTCAAATTTAAGACATAATCGCAATGGTGCCGGTATCCTCAAAGCCTGCATGCAAGAAGGAACTCAATCCATTACATATACTTGCTTTTTAGAGACAGATATCTAATTAATATGGATTAAAATTTAAACCGACCCGGACAAAGCAAGGAATGATTCTGAGAAGATTAGTACACTAATTTACACTACTTGGTAAGAGCATGGATGTGCTGATGTTTTTAATTGTGCCTGGGAAGCAAGACTGGAATTACGACTATAATGACAGCCTTGTCTGGTCTGTGTATATGGAGATCAATGGCCTTATGTGAGTTTTGCCGCGTCACATGACTTGGCTACGGCTGGCTTGCCCATACACTACATGTTACTGCCGGTCGTAGCCAAGTTATACAATTTTTATTCGGGGGCGAAACAAGGTTGGGGGGGGGGGCAAACTTAAAAAGTCCCCCCCCCCCCCGTCCGCCATCGATTGACGCCCATGTTTTGGTATGTGACTTGTACATTGCAAATGACGGTTTATTGCCTTTTAACAAACACTCCTCAGATGTTTAAGAAATACATTTTTCATCTACAGCATTCACTGTGTATGTGGTATAGTCCATTTTCTCGATCCGATATAATAATATAGAATGAAAAAACTAAATAAACAAAAGGGCATTTTCCAAAAGAAGAGGAAAGTGGGCGGGGGGGGTGTTGTTGGTTGAACATCATTTTGACCCTTTGGACGCCCATTATCCCCTTTGTTTTAAAAATGGTTCCCGGCGCTATTTTCGAATTGCATCTCGAAAAACTAGATTTGATTATAACAACTCATTCATTTTTAATGAGGCTTAAACGAAAAATTCTCCGACGCCTTGATATTACATAATTTCTCCACAAAAATTGAATGATTGGATGCCTGACAATAAATCGACTCTCTCGCCGGGAAAATCTAGCCAGCTGGATTATTAAGCCTGGGACGGCAACGGGGTTCCATCGTCACTGCTACACCTTTCCTTCAGTTGTGCATCATTGTGTATGGATTGCCACGAGCGCCCACTGATAATTCGAAAGGTTAATTGAAGGGGACAGTTCGTTTGAATTTGGGGCTTTCGATCCTTTCCCCTTTTTCAAATAGGTTAATTATCGGTACTTTCTTGCTGAGTATCTCTGTCTGAAGTTGATGAACCATTCCTTTTCTAATCAGTCTTCATAATTGGTAAGGACTTTCTCTTCGTGGTCCAAAAGGTTCGTAATTCACACGGGCGATGCCAATCATCTATCCAATACCATAAAAAAATAAGATATCATTGCTAATAATTGTGGTGTCATTAGACAAAGTCGGTGAATTCAAGTATATCGCCCTAAGGAAAGTGGAAACTATTGCTTGAAACTAAAAACATCTCATTAAAATATACTTTCCTTGCGTTTTTTGTGTGTGTTTTAGCCCCCAACACTTACATAATTTCCTTTTTTGGCCAGCAATACCAGATTTTTTTCTCTTTTGAATGAGCCATTGAAAAAAAAAGTCTGCACATTTATCATTATGGAATTACAGCACGAATTTCGAATTATTTTGCTGGTTCCCTCCCCGTCAGAATCGAATAGGGGGGATCGATAAGACGCGATATTTACGCTAACCAATATCAGATTTTACGTAGTAAGTCACATGATTCAAAGTGGCTGCCATTTTGTTTTCATGTGACCGGTCATCGTGTGACTAGTCTTCTTGCAACATATTACAGAACAGAATCCGGCATGTACGCGGGTAACGTGGCGGTCTAATCGTAACGGTGAAAAAAAAACGTATTAACGGTGAAAAAGAAAACCCGTACCGGTGATGGGGTAAACTATTGAACCGGTAAAACCGGAAAGATGTACGGCGGGCTTTAAGTCAAGTCTCCGCTGAATTAGGAGCGTTCCTATATATTCCAAACCTTGATAACTGAAAAATACATGTAGCATTTTTTCGCTCAATGTCTCCTCGGAAAGTGCATAACTTTTGCTTACAAAGACCAATTCAATTTTTATATGTATCTGGTGGGTAACACACCCAAATGCCCTTCATAAGATGCTGCCCCCTCCCCCCTTCCCCATTCTAGAAAAGAAAAGTCAATTTGATTTGAAAAGGCCACCTCGCATAATTACAATCTGGAATAGGGATTGAAATAAATGTTGTTCGCTTACAAAATATGTGGTTTTTAACTGTCTGCATTCTATATTATCAATATTCATTACTAGAATAAAACTGTTATAGTATAAAGGGTCCAGAAGCTCGAAGACCAAATGGCGTACTTTCAGGCTCTATTACCCGGAAGCGTATCTTTTTTTGCAGCATACATCGTATTTTAACCAATCACATCACGCACCCTAACATGAATATTTATCACTCTGTGTGGATGAAAGACACTTAGGTTCTTATATAGTGTTTTCCTTTCAATTAAACCTATGCCAACCAACAAAACTATTTGATGAAAATGAGCATGAGCTCGAACCACAGATCTATATGATCCATTGACGATGTGAATAAAAACACCGCTACCCGGAAACTACCAATTTAACAGTATAAACCTTGAAAAAAAGTAAGACTGCTGCAAACTGCTTACTGACTGGATGGACCTGAAATATATAAATCTAAAAATTAATGTGGCCTGACGTTGCGAACTTAGCAAGTTCTTCTTCAGAGGCTAAAACAGAAATGACAGAGGTACATACATTAACATGGGGGTGCACACAAACATGCAGGGCTGAAAGAAGAAACACAAAAGGAGGATTAGGTGGGAAAGGTGTGGAAAGATGCAGGGGAGGGTGGATGAGAGAACAAAGAAACAAAGGGAGATGGCAAACCACAAGGGGTCTGGTATAAACAGGGGAGGGACCAGAAAGGGGAAGGATCAAAGGTCACAGGGAGTGGGAACGGACAAAAGAGTGTGAGAGTGAAGGGGGTGATGCGGGGGGGGGGGGGGGGAGACAGAGGGAAAGATGGGGGAAGATGGGTAAACACAAACAAGGAAGACCAGGTGGATTATCTGTAAAAGAAGACAATGGAGGAAGAAAAGGATTAATCATTTCCAAGTTGGATGTTGAGACCATGTGGTTGAATAGTTCGAAGACGATGCATCCACACTTTCTCTCTGCTGAGGCGAACTGAGTCCTTGCGATGGCCAAGAGATTCAATGCCCTGCAAAATCATATCAGAAATGGAGTGGTTAGGCAGGTTGAAGTGATGACCAACAGGGGTGTCTAGTTTCTTGGTGTTGACCGTTGACCGGTGGGCATAGAAACGCTTCTTGAGCGTATTCTTAGTCTCACCTACATACTGCACTCCACAGACCCTGCAAGAAATGAGATATATGACATT